GGGGGGGGGAACACTTGTGGCTTAGATGATAATTGTGCCATTACATTTTAGGCGCTACTGCGATTCGATGGCGTTAACTTATCAAGCCGACCGAATGCCCGAAGCGATTCGGCTGCGAGTCGGAGGCGTAACGCCCCAACAGTTGGCCGTGTACGAGGAGTTCGCGCACAACATACCGGGGTTTCTGCCCCTATCCGATAGAGACACGGCGCCTTTCATTCACAAACCGACGGTCAATTTGGAGCCGCAAGGTCCGACCAATGTGTTCCAGACATCTCAGTCGATCATTCCGTCCGACGAAACGAGTACGGTGTACGATAAGCTGCTAGGCGAAGTGGAGCAGTTCATTCAGGCCACCGGCAATCAGCCCAGCTTTAGCATAATGAATAATAACATGCACATACTGCGAGACTGTCTAATGCACGCCATGCGCAATCGAGATATGATTCTATCGGCGATGACTCTCACCCAAAAAGTAAGTGGAGAGGGGTGCTTAGTTTCCGAAAATCAAAATCTTGCTTTTAGTGTGTGGAGGGCTTACAAGATGGTTTAATGTCGGTAGCGAACGATCCCGATCATGTCCTACACCGATACAAGGAGATTTACGTACGCGTGTTAAAGACAATGCAAGATCCTCGAGCTTTTGGCCAGCAATGGACGAACAAGCAGGTTACCCGCTTCCTTACCGAATGCCGCGACGATCTGCGCTACAACTTGGACGCCGTCGATACCCTCATTCGCGCCGGCTTGGTCAATCTGCCCCAGTACGACGTCGCGCTCACCCAACTGATGGACAACGGCCTCAATTACGTCGCCGTCAACTTCGCCACCCAGTTAATTCCTTTATTTCTCATCGAGGAGCGTACGAACCAGAACGTTACCGAGAATGATCTGCCGAACACAATCGAAATGCTAGTCAAACTTGCCACGCACACCAGACAGCCGCCCGAGGGATTGGCGAACGTCATTGAATTGCTACGGCAGCACCACGATCAGACGACGTTTTTCGGGGATCGTGCGCCCCACGGTCCTTCGATACACATTCACAATGGCATCTTACAGGTAGGAGATTGTTCGGTTGCGTGCCACGTTGAGCTTTTACAGAGAGTTGCCCTTTGATGATCATTGAAATTAAAAATCACTCAATAAATTGAACACCCTGTCCCCCTCTTTCTTCCAGGTTACAGTCGCGGAACATGGGCGGCGGCAGACTTTTTTGTTTGAATTTGAAAGACAGTTTCAAATCAGTGGAGAAATTTTTTTTGAGAAAATTAACCATTTCTGTCGGAATGTCGAAAAAAAGCTCTCAAGCGGCGATATGTGAAACTAACAAAAAACTTCAAATATTATAATATTTGTAGCCGAAGAATCTTTTCAATTAACCCAAGTTTGTTAAAATCGGCTCTGCCGTTTCGAAGATATAGGGTGTTCTTTACGGAAACCTTTGTATACCCCCCACCACTTCATTTTTAGAGATACAGGAAAAATTGTCAAACAAAAAAGGTTCAGATTATCGTCGTCTTCAAAGATCGGAAATTTTTTGTTAGGTTAATGTAGCGGAATTCACAGAAACGTCACTTTTTTAGATTTCAGATTGCAGTTACGCCCTCTAGCGGCCATTTCAGAAACTTAAAAATATTTTTTGTTAGGTTAATGTAGCGGAATTCACAGAAATATCACTTTTTTAGATTCCAGATTGCAGTTACGCCCCCTGCCATTTCAGAAACTTAAAAATATTTTCCAGGTTTTTCTCGTGGCCGTTTTAGTAATAACTTTTTTTACCGCAAGCCTCTACGATGGACAGGTTCCCAGATACAGTACCTCGCATTCTTATTTGGCCACCCTGTACACGGTATAGGAAAGGTGGAGGAACGAACTTCGACACCCTTTGTCTTTCAGTCTTTTTGTAGGCTATTTTTAAGAAAGTCTTCCAGTGCATTTAGGGACCTGAGATATCGAACGCTTCCAGAGCGCTCCCTTGCGCGCTGGTGTTCAAGAGCCTTGCCCCTTTGCAGAACTGTTTCTGTTGTTTCCACAGCTTCCTAGGCCCTTTTCTGAGCGTTTTTGTTTTAGAGACATTGCCCAGAGTCACTTTGTCATTTCTCGAGAATCTTTAAAGTCTTTTTAAAAAACTCGCCAGATGGCTATAAGCGTTTGAGGGGTGTCTTTCAAGCAAACAAGGTTTTGTCCAGTTTCAACGATCGCAAAGGTTGCAGGATGCTTTGATATCTCCATTTTGGCTCAACGTGCGCGATAACTCTTGCGTTCCCGCACGCTTTTAAACAGCTTTTATACAGATTGACCACGGATTTTAACCTGGTATCAATCACGCCCACAATATTTGATAACGCCGAGTCACTATCCGAGACGAATTACGTCGCGGATGTTGGAGATACCTCAACATTACCCCTTACTTTGTAAAGATTCGCAATAAATGATTTTGTTTAGCTGCCGCTCATTCATTTGATTGCTTAAACTTGAGCTTTAAAATGTACACCGCGCTTCCTATTTTGGTTGAGACTGCAGTGCAACTCGGCTGTTTGTTTTGCGACCTTGTATTAATACCACAAACAGAATCGATGTAGCTAGGTGCGTTCGTTGCGATACAGGATGAAAACGAAAAGATGTACAACAGAAAAAAGATTTAGATATTTTTACATAGAATCCAGTGGCATAGTCACAATTTTGGTATTTTTTAAATGCAACACCCTGTATATCTGAACGTCAATTTTTTACATTCTTTCTCCTGATTACGTTGATGTATCACGACATTTCTTTTTAATTTAAGCCACGAACCAAAAAGTTTATTTTTACAGTTTAAAGTAGTAAGCCGTGGATTCATGGAGAATTTGTTTTGGTTATTGTATCTATGGTAACTAACGCAGCTGACATCTATCAATAAAAATGGCCGACAGTAAAAACATGCCATTTTAAAAATTGAAAAATATACACTGTGTCCATTTTTCTAGTGCCACTATGGGGATCTCACTTATCTTAAGAGATAGAAAGTTGGTTAAATGGGGGCAAAGTTGCCAATTTTCGTGGCGAATAAGAATCTGAAAAGAAATTTGAAGTATCTTCAATACTTTTTAAAATATCGCAAAAAAAGAAATTTTCGTTTTTAATTTTTTTATGATAATTTAATCGTAGTAGACATTTCTAATTATTAACACATTATTCGGACACTTTTTAATGGAGATTTCAAATATGGCATCCTGTTTTTAATAACTTTCAAGATGACGGAGAAACACGTGGCAACTTTAGTTTTTCTTATGGGCGCCATTTTGAATTTTCAAATTTTGAGATAACGTCTTTTTTTCTCTTTACAACGATATATCACACATGGTGGTTCAGTATCACATTTTTCCTAAAAATACAGTTTTTAATTATTTGAGAAGAGTGCTTTGGAAAAAGAAAACGTTCTTTTGTTGTGAACAAAAGGTTGACTTATTTCATGTAGGGCCATTTAGGTTTATGCTAGTTGTATGCAAAAATGCCTTTTTCAAGTGCAGATCAAACAGATATGATCCAAATTTACTACACTTCTCATCGAAATGCCCACATGGCTGCTGCAACATACTTCCAGCGTTATCCAGAGCGGCAACAATCTAGTTTGAGGTATTTTTCTTTGCTGCATAAAAACTTGGGCGAATATGGTTCTTTTAAAAGATGTAGACAGTAATGTGGTGATAGACCCAATGAATAGGAGCAGGCAATTTTGCAAGCGGTAAAAATTTTGAAATTTGACAATGAACATTACTGGTCAATTGAAAATTCTCATCAATTTCAAGAACGACGACCACAAATACGTTTTAGCGTTAACGTATGGGTCGGTTTATTGGGCGATACAATAATTGGTCCTTAGGAGACTCTCTAAATACTGATCGGTACCTCCATTTCCTGAGGACATTTCTAACCGATTTTATTGACAATAACGTTCCTCTTCATCGTTTGAACTCGATATGGTTCCAGCAAGATGGCGCACCGCCCCATAATGCTAGGAAGGTTGGGGAATGCTTATCGGAGTTGTTCCCCAATCATGTTATTGCTAATAATGGCGACGTACGCTGGCCGACGCGGTCACCTGACCTGTCTCCCTTGGAATATTTTTTGTGGGGAACAATGAAAAATGAAATTTACAAAACGACCTTGTTGAACTTCGTCATTTGTTCACAACAAATGAACGTTTTGTTTTTCCAAAGCACTCTTCTAAAAAAATTAAAAATTGTATATTTAGGAAAAATGTGATACTAAACCACCATGTGAAAATTCAAAATGGCGCCCATAAGAAAGACTAAAGTTTCCACGTGTTTCTCCGTCATCTTGAAAGTTATTAAAAACAGGATGCCATATTTGAAATCTCCATTAAAAAGTGTCCGAATAATGTGTTAATTAGAAATGTCTACTACGATTAGTTTATCATAAAAAAATTAAAAACGAAAATCAGAAATTTTCGTTTTTTTGCAATATCTTCAAAACTATTGGAGATATGTATGTATTTCAAAGTTCTTTTCAGATTCTTATTCGGCACGAAAATTGGCAACTTTGCCCCCATTTAACCAACGTTCTATCTCTTAAGATAAGTGAGATCCCAACAGTGGCACTCGAAAAATGGACACAGTGTATAACTTACAGGGTGTTCCTAAATATGATGTAAATGTGGAAGGGGCTAATTCTTTGGTATTTTATGACTAAAAGTTCATATAAACATAGGTCCACAAACGCTTCGATCTACAGGGTGTTATAGTTCTACCGGGGTCCGTGAAGTTAGCAGAACATTGACGGTACAAATGTCAAGACTAGATGGATTGGTTAGTGCTTCGTTTGTGCCGTAAAAAGTTTACTTCGATTTTTAGAGGTTTTGCTAATAGGCCAGTCATTGAGGATTTTTACCTGGAAATAACTGGGGAAGTACTAAAATTGTGTATGCTTGAGTGTGTAGAACTAATTTCATAAAATGCACAATTCGTAACCTGCCGCCGGGGCCGCCATCTTGCCAAGATGGCCGTCAGAAGCGGTTTTCCGCCGATATCTCCAAAACTCCTCATTTTACGAGAAAATATGGGACGAAAAAATTGCACAAGACCGAAAAGTTTCAAAACAAACCAGAAAATTAAATTCTTGTTTCACCATCTACCAGTGGCGCACCAAAAAAAAGTTCAGGAGTGGAAAATCCCCACAGAAATTTCGACCAAGTTCAGGAGTAGAAAATTTCGACTCCCCCGCTCCCCTGGCACGATTTTATGAAAAATTCCAAATAACGCGTCCCCGCGATGGAACGTTTTGGAATAATTGGCGGAAAAGTACCTACGAAACGTCATCCGCGCTTCCTCCACGTCAAACCACGGAGCGCGAACTAGGAGCATTCGGTTTTGGATCCCAAGGGCGTCAGTGGCGTGGTCCAAAGTTTTTCGAGCACTAAGCGGGAAGCCGTCGGTGTTTCCCACGTTAATTCAATTAGCGCTTAAAAACGTCTGTTTAAAAAATGTGCTTTATTTGCACGTGCAAAATTTGTACTTGTGTCCTATGTGCAATTTTTTTAGCTAAATGTAAAATAATTTTTAAAATCGTCTAGTAGGCCTGGATGACATCATGTTTTTATTAGTTTTAAGAGTTGGCTTTGAAAATTGTATCTTGTGTTTGCATATGTTTCTAAATTAAAAGTTTCAATTGTAAAATTTGAAACTGTAACACCCTGTAGGTAGGTGACAAGGCATTCGAAGAACGATCTGTATATGCATGAAATAAATCAAAGAATTAACCCCTTCTGTATTCATATTATCTTTAGGAACACTCTGTATATTATTATAATAACGATTAGAGAATATGTTTCAATTTATCAACATTCTAGAACTCTAAAATTGTCATACTTAACAATTGTAGGTACGTTCTCTGAACTACGAGGATCCGCCCGGTTTAATGGAAAAGACCGACTTCCTCCTTCGCGACTGGATAGGAATCTATCACTCTCAGCCTTCCGGTCGCGACTCGACGAAGGCGTTCAGTATGTTCGTGCACCAGATGAACGTGCACGGAATATTAAAAACCGACGACCTAATAACGCGCTTCTTTCGACTCTCGACCCAGTTGTGCGTCGAGGCGGTTTACAGGAACGTAACCGAGGGAAGCGCGAGCAATCAGACCGTGCTGAGAACGAAATGCTATCACACTTTGGATCCGTTCGTTCGTCTGATCGCGTTACTGGTGAAACACTCGGGGGACGCGAGCAATGCGACTACGAAAATTCATTTGCTTAACAAGGTCTTGGGAATCGTCGCCGGGTGCCTGCTGCAAGATCACGAGCAGCGCGCCGGCGATTTCCAGCAGCTGCCCTATCACAGAATCTTCATAATGCTCTTCTTGGAATTGTGCTCGCCCGAGCCAGTTTTGGAGACGATCAACTATCAGGTCTTGACCGCTTACTGCCATACTCTGCACATTTTAAGGCCCTCGAAGGCGGCCGGCTTCTGCTACGCCTGGCTGGAACTGATATCGCATCGGGTCTTCATCGGTAGAATGTTGGCGATTACTCCGCAGCAAAAGGGGTGGAGCATGTACGCTCAGCTTTTAATCGACTTATTCAAATACCTCGCGCCGTTTTTGAGAAACGCAGAGTTGGCGAAACCGGTTACGATGCTGTACAAGGGAACGCTCCGAGTCCTACTGGTGCTACTCCACGACTTTCCCGAATTTTTATGCGACTACCACTACGGATTTTGCGACGTTATTCCGCCGAACTGCATACAGATGCGAAACTTGATTCTATCCGCGTTCCCGCGCAACATGCGGCTACCGGATCCGTTCACGCCAAATCTGAAGGTGGACGTTCTACAGGAAATTACGTACTCGCCTCGGGTAATCACAAATTTCGCCACGCTAATAACGCCGCTTCAGTTCAAGAAAGATTTGGACTCGTACTTGAAGCAACGGGCACCGGTTACGTTCCTGTCGGAACTAAGAAGTAACTTGCAGGTCTCGAATGAGCCGGGAATGCGTTACAACATTCCGTTAATGAACGCGCTAGTCATGTATGTCGGCACTCAAGCGATTGGCTACATACGAAACAAAAGTTTGACACCAAACATGTCGACGATCGCTCACAGTGCACATATGGATATCTTCCAGAACTTAACCGTCGATTTGGATACGGAAGGAAGGTATCTCTTCCTAAATGCGGTCGCGAATCAATTACGCTACCCCAACAGTCACACCCATTACTTTTCGTGCACGTTACTGTACTTATTTGCCGAAGCCAACACCGAGGCTATACAGGAACAGATAACGAGAGTTTTGTTAGAGAGACTAATCGTAAATCGGCCCCATCCCTGGGGACTGCTAATTACGTTCATCGAGTTAATCAAAAATCCGAGCTATAAATTCTGGAATCACGAATTTGTACATTGCGCGCCCGAAATCGAAAAGTAAGTAAACGTTTTGCCACATCCTCCTGACCTCAATTCGTTCGTTGCAGGTTATTCGAATCTGTAGCTCGGTCCTGTATGGTTCAAAAGACAACCGTTCAAGCACAAGAAGGTGATGTTCAAGAGTGATATGTTTTAGTGATTTGTAAATAATTCAGGAAAAGTTCTATTGTTTTGTTTGCCTTTTACGGTACAATTTTTGAAACTCTTTAGTTATAGAGATAAGGATAGTGTATAGAGGTAGTGATATTGTAATATATTTGCAAATCAAGTATTTTTAAGAGAATTTTCATGTATTTGTAATTATATAAATACGATTGATGTAATTAAATGGTTTAAATGTTTTGAGCATATTACAAGTCTTGTTTCTTTGTGAATCACTATTTAGATAAGTTTAAGAACAAATAACTAGTCACGTTTTTATTACTTTATTAACTTACACTGACTTATTCCAGTAACGGTCGTATTTTTCCGAAATACCCTGTTGAACATCGCTTTGTGATACGTGAGTTACAAAACCGTAAGGGAACATGAGACACGTCCACCGCTCATGCGCATTATCAGTTGTCAAAAGTATCAAAGAAAACAGTGAATTGTTGAAGGATGGCCGTGTACATAATTTTTTAAAAAGGTAAAATCAATTACCTTTTCCAATTAAACATTCCCTTAAATCCTCTAATCATTCGTATCTTTTTCTGCTACAAATCTCTGGATTTCCCCAAAATTTAAATCTTGAGGTTTTGTCTTGTTTTTATTTTATACTTTTATAATTTTGATCCTGCAATTTTGAAAAGCTAGTCACCTCGCGACTTTCAATTTTTTCCGAAACACGCCGTCCGCCCTTCGGCTGCGAAGGGGGCGTTAAATGTTTTTGGTTATGTTCTGCATGTGCATTTCGTTAAGATTAATCCGCATCTTTACAGAGCGCAGCGAACTAGAATGGCAGAATCATGTCCCCTAGATAACGATAGCTATAATAGAGAATCGGACATTTCGAAACAAGACTGCACCAGTCCAAGTCCCACGGAAACGATTTGTTTGGAGTCGCTCTGTAGTGATAACATACCGGGTACGTTTAGACGCGCTTCCTCTCGCCCCCTTAACGAAATGTTGTTTAGGTACGTCTCAGCTTTTAATTAAAGAGGACGTCGCGGACAGAGAGGAGAAGGCCACATTCCTTAACGAGTTAGGTTTAGGCGAATGCGACGAGAACAGTAACGATAATGTCGACTGTTGGGAGGACTGCCTCGACGCCGACTACATGGAGGAACATCCGTTCGAGTCCGAGTTAGCGGACGAGGTTTGAGCGCTTTCCGTTTACCTTCGTTTTTTGCTAATTGGGTACTTATAGGACGATCCGGTTAATAGAGAGGATACGTTTGAGGCTTTCTCGATTACGCATAATAATATTCGGGTGGACTCGCTCAAAACGTACTCTAATAAGTCTTGGGTTTGTATTTTACCGTTTAAAACGGGTTATGCGCATGTTTAGATTAGGAATGTCGCGGGGCTCCTTTTTGCAAATACTTGGGATTGACCAGTGTGATAATAATAAAGAACTTTATTAGGCAAATAGACAAAATCAATACAGTAAAATGTTAATAACTAAATGTAATTTTAAAGGACATTTATAATGAGGGTTTAGTATCCATTGGACATCTATCCTTCTAAATAAAAGCCATTAAGGTTAATTGTTTTAAAACAAAAGGTAACAAAACTAATCATTGTAAATAAACAGGTAATAAAACAATTATTTTATGCTATGAACAGTAAGATCAAGTAATCATTTTGAATAAAATCGTGTAAAACAAATGGTATCAGGCAATTGTTTTAACCGCTAACAAGTTTTCTATACTGCATTCATTATAAGAAGGTAGTAGATGGCGCTGTGTTTGAAAATAAGCGCACAGGAAAAATATAAAACAGCACCAAATTATTGTAAAGTATAAATATCCAGCACTGCAAACAGAATCTTTGACATTAACAGTTAATGACACTTCAACAGTTTAGGTGGCAACAGAAACTACTAGCTTGCAAAATTCGCCACTGTTTTTTGCGTAATAATGACCTGTGTTTTAACCAATCACACTCAATCTCAAAGTGAATACAGTATAGTACATTTACTAGATTTTGTTAAAGAGCGAATGAAATTTGAGGATCACCATTGACAATTTCTGAACAATTTCAATAATGTTTTATTTATTTAAGTCAGAAATGAATGGTTAACCGCCCCTATAACCTGATGCCCTCGATATCTTACTACCCATGTAAAAGCAAAGAATACTTAATAAATTACTCTTTGGTAAAAGGTAAAAACTACCTGTTCTAGATATTTTATATAGAATCCAGTGGTGTAGTTAAAGAAATTGTTGATCCATTGAGATTTGATCCAATATTGGTATTTTTTTAAATACATCACCCCGTATATCTTATTGTCAATTGTTTTGGATTAAATTTTATCCGTGGACTAAAAATAAAAAAACCTTATTTTTTACGGTTTTTAAATAGTAGGTGATGGATTCATTGAGATTTTGTTTTGTTTTTTTTATCCATGGTAAATAAAGCGGCCAATATCAGTCAATCAAAATGGGTGGATTTTGCAAAATTTCGGTGTTTTCCGGATATCACCGAGAGTAGTCGGAATTTTTTAAGTTTCAAAACTGCATTTTGTTAAGCATCAAAGTACGCAACTTTGCCAAATTTAAACTACCTATCTCACAGTTCCCGAGGTCCCCATAGTGGCCCTCGAATTTGAATCGGCCTGTATAAATAAAATAGATAGTGATACATCAATAAGGATAGTACCAAGAATGCAAAAAATTAACGAGTGTTTTGCATTTAAAAAATATCAACATTGTATTAAACCTCAATAGAAATTGTACTAGTCTATTTCCGCGTGTAGGTGTAACAAACCTAACCTAATTTTTGACTCATCTACGTAAATAATTAAAGGCGGAAGAGGGGGAGGGCACTTTCACTGTCGAGGTGTACATACCACCATAAGTCGTACATACGAGGGTATTTGCACCTGAATAGAAATCGTACTAGTCTATTTCCGTCTGTACGTGTGACAAACTTAACCTAATGTTTGACTCATCTACGTAAATAATTACAAAGCGGAAGGGGGGGAGGGCACTTTATGTCCTCACAGTATACTAGTACTGACGCTGCTCCATCCAAGGACGAGATTTGACCTTTGCAATAAAACTAGAAGGCCTAGACAACATTTTATAGCGTTTGTTTACAAGATGGCGACGATGTTTCAATTTTTGTAAACAAAAAATGTAGGGGGCGCATGACAAATACGTAACGTGGTAACTTGATTCTCTTAAATGAGGTTTTAGCAAATACCTTAATATATTAATACAGGAAACTGACCCGGTCGCAAATTACAGCGCCACGACGTTGCGGTAGGAAGTGTCAACAGTAAGCTGTCATACTTGGTTTAAACTTTAGTGATGGTTTTAGTGCTTTGTGTTAGTTCTTGTTATGGTTAAATTGATAATGTTGAGGTATAGTTATATCACATATCTTAGATATTAAATAACCTTGCTCCTTAATTTTTCGTCATTCAACACCGGGCCGTGTAGATGTCGCTCTTTTCGATGTTTCGCTTTATTCATTGAGAAAGTACCGCAATCATCCGCCATTTTTGGGCAAATTTGCTGCCAACTTAAAAAAATTGACAAATAAAGTCTGAATAGCTGTAATTTTTTTATAACCTAACTTCATAGTACTGTCATGTTTTATAAAAATATATACAGATATCTCCGAACAGTTGGAACAATCCCTAACATTAAAGTTACTAGAATCTGGTAACTTCCGCCATTTTTGGGCAAAAATCATGCGTTCTCTCTCTAACACACGAGCCCAATTGATTGATGGATTAGTATATTAAGGTATTTGGTTTTAATTAGAGAAGAGTATTTCCAAAAAGGTACCCGACTGTCCAATTTTACCGGGTATGCAGAACCCGCGAAAATTGGCACTAGCGGCATCTGTAGTTTGGATGATGAAACTTAAGTGTTTAAAAGCAGTATCTGACTAGCTAATGATAACGTTATAATCTTCTCTCTGATCCTGTTTTTATACCTTCATTTGCTTTCAGTAGCTGTAATTTTCGTTAATCTAATTACGCTTGTAGAAAAAACGAAAACTGGATGTACATAATGGATTTCCCTGTAAGAAAATCTTACCGGAGAACCAAACGTCGAGTTCCTTGTTTTACAATCGAAAGGCACACACTTCCAATTCGTCTTCGGACGATTCCACGAATTTTTGTATCGATAAACTAAAAACACGTGCGCTTATACCGACGAAGGATAATCCGCCGCCGGAAATGGCCGATTGGCTGACGCAGTTTCAGGTACGCCGCCCTTTACTCGGTAATTTCCGGCTAATCGAAGCGTTTTGCAGAGGTGGTCGAACGCCGAACGTATACTGGCAATCGACGGACTGATCTTACGTTGCGATCCGAGTCAGGTACGTCACATGATGCAGGTGATCGAACCGCAGTTTCAAAGGGATTTCATATCGCTGTTTCCGCGCGAACTCGCTTTATCCGTCTTACGCCTTCTAGAACCTTGTGATCTATTACGTGCCGCTCAAACTTGTCGCAGTTGGAGATTCCTCGCCGATGACAATCTTTTGTGGAAGGAGAAGTGCAAGCAGGTGGGCATCGAGGAGATTCCGAAACGTAAGGGCTCGCCTCGGTCTCCCAGTAATTCGTCGTCGCCGTGGAAGGTAAGCGGAAACATTAAAGGCTTTGTAAAACTTTTCAAAGATTTTGGACGCTCTGACTTAGAGTTTACAGGGTCTTCTAGTGCATTTCCGGAACTTTTTGGTTTTTTCTGGAACATAAAAATGTTATACAGGCGTGGGTAAGCGCCGATGGAGTTCTAGAAAAGACCTTGATACAAAATTGTCCGTGCGAATTGGGGTTTTTGAAATCTAACCGCGAATGTTCGCTATCTGCATTTCGCCCGCCAAAAAAACCGAAAACGGAACCAAGCGAAGCCGTCCTCTTGTAGACCTCCATATACGCGAAAGCCCCCTCCGATGCGACGATTTTTAGAACTAGCAACATCGCTCTCATCTCCCGACATACTTTCGTTCACGTTTACTATGAAGCGGTCCGAAATTTGAAAATTTTAAAAATGCAAAGCGGCCACCCGTTACAGTACTACTACTGCAAATATTCTGTTTGTAGGCGGCGTTCATGCTACACCACGCCATCGAAATGAACTGGCGCAGCAAACCGATACGGCCACCGAAAATGTTAAAAGGTCACGACGATCACGTAATTACATGCCTTCAATTTTGTGGTAATCGAATCGTCAGCGGCTCCGATGATAATACGCTTAAGGTCTGGTCGGCCACCACGGGAAAGGTTAGTATTTATTTTATATTTGACGTCGGAACGCTTACCTCGGTAATTTCCAGTGCCTACGTACGTTAGTGGGGCACACGGGCGGAGTTTGGTCGTCGCAAATGGCCGGCACCGTTATAATTAGCGGAAGCACCGACCGTACCCTCAAAGTTTGGGATTCGGAGACCGGCGTTTGCATTCACACTTTGTACGGGCACACTTCGACAGTGCGCTGTATGCATTTGCACAAGAACAAGTCTGTTTTAAAGCGTCTCTTTGTTTAGAAATTTAATTTGGCGTTTCAGAGTCGTGAGCGGATCGAGGGATGCCACCCTACGAGTATGGGATATCGAGACCGGCGAATTTTTGCATGTGTTAGTCGGTCATTTGGCTGCCGTTCGGTGCGTGCAGTACGATGGCAAGCTGGTCGTGTCCGGCGCTTACGATTATATGGTGAAAGTGTGGAATCCGGAAAGGGAGGAGTGTCTTCATACACTACAAGGTCACACCAATCGGGTGTACTCATTACAGGTAGTAGTACTAGTCATATAGGGTCGGTTCTGGACTAGTTCAAGGTAATTCGCCACCTGACCTTGGTAAGTAGTCAATGTTAATTTCAAAGGTCACGTGAAGGTGACCTTGGGGAGTAGGTCAAATGAAGGTGACCTTGCGAAGTAGGCCAAGGTGACATTGGGAAGTAGGTCAAGGTCACCTTCACGTGACCTTTGAAAATAACATTGACTACTTACCAAGGTCAGGTGGCGAATTACCTGGAACTGGTCCAGAACCGGCCCTATATGACTAGTGGTAATGACGGAATTCTGTCTCTTTTGTACCGAGGCATTTCATATTTCTAAAATGAAATTTGGAATAAATAGCTTCTCCATTCATCCCCGCTTAACGCTCGGTTAATAATTAATTGAACATGTGTTGGAAAATTTACAGGATGTTTCATTAAAAACAAATGCCAGTGGAAAATCTTAGCAACCTGATATTCATTGTTTTTTCTGATTTTACGAATAGGTTAATCACACATCCAAGTAAGGTATCTATTTTTATTTTGGTATGTTGTTTAGGCTTATACTGGTAATTTATGGAAGCGGCGTGGTGCTTGAAAAGCTTCATTTAACGGTTACAAGTCTTCAGTACCCTCGTACAATCCGGTCGTACTAGACATACGTTCGTTCACGTTCGCTATAAAGCGGTATATGTCTAAATTTTCCTATGTTGAATAAAATTCAAATTCAAAACCAAATTTTTGAGACGGTAAAGCGGGAGACGCACTGTAAAGTGTTTCATTTAAAATCTTGACCTCATTCCAAATTTCACTTGGATTGAACAGATCTCTATGATTACCTAGTAAAAGGTCTGAGGTGTTAGTCGAGTTCCTTGTTGAATTCCTAACCCCAAATGATCACAATTTGGAAGATGAGGGATCGATCTCATCTTCGCTCGGGTGCTATACTGCATGCGTTATAAGAAGGTAGTAGATGGCGCTGTGTTTGAAGATAAACACACACAGGAAAAATATAAAACGGCACAAAATTATTGTAAAAATAAATTACCACCTTACAAAATTCATCAGTTGTTTTATGTTTCATTGTGATACTGACTCATGTTTTAACCAATTACAGTGAAGGTTAATTGTTACGTAACGAGATAAAAACCACTATCGCGACTACGTTAAGTTGTTCTTAAACTTATCTAATAGTGATTTGATCACAAAGACAAACTATAACGAGATCTTAAAACGTTTAATAGCTATTTATATATCAAGTACATAAACTGGGTCTTTATGGACGAGCCGTTTATTTAGCCGAGCGAGGCACAAATAAACAAGGCGAGTCCCCATAAAGCCTATTTATGGACGCGATATATACAAAGCTTTATGTACGACTGCAACAACCCTTAAAAATGAAAATTTCACGGAATTCAATAAACGATAAAATCTATACACGGTGTCCATTCTTCGAGTGCCACTATGGGGATCTCACTTATCTTAAGAGATAGAAAGTTGGTTAAGTGAGGGCAAAGTTGCCAATTTTCGTGCCGAATAAGAATCTGAAATATCTCCAATAGTTTTGAAGATATCGCAAAAAAACGAAAATTTCTGATTTTCGTTTTTAATTTTTTTATGATTATCTAATCGTAGTAGACATTTCTAATTAACACATTATTCTGACACTTTTTAATGGAGATTTCAAATATGGCATCCTGTTTTTAATAACAGTCAAGATGACAGGGAAACACGTGACAACTTTAGTTTTTCTTATGGGCGCCATTTTGAATTTTCACATTTTGAGATTACGTCTTTTTTTCTCTTTACGATATATCACACATGGTGGTTCAGTATCACATGTTTTCTAAAAATACAATTTTTAATTTTTTGAGAAGAGTGCTATGTAAAAAGAAAACGTTCATTTGTTGTGAACAAATGTTTGACAGTTTGATCCATCTGTCTGGTTGCAGCGTTGTCAGAGAAGTAGAAATTCGATTTTCATCTGAACAGAATTGTTCTTTTCAGATTCTTATTCGACACGAAAATTGGCAACTTTGCCCCCATTTAACCAACTTTCTGTCTCTTAAGATAAATAAGATATCCATAGTGGCACTCGAAAAATGGACACCGTGTATATCATTGACAACAGAGGTCAAGCATTTGTCAAGTATTTCTAAAATACTTGAATTGACCTTGGATTGACACCTAAGTACGACTGTCACATTGACAGGTGGCCGCTTTACTTTATCATTATGGACTAGGCCATAATATTGCAAATTATGGCCACTAATTGCGACTGTAATCACCGCATTATCAAGCAGTCGTACATAAAAGTTTATTTTATAAGATTTCAATCTAATATGACCGTGACAAGACGTTGACAATTTCTGTCTGTCCATATACATTCTACACCTATGCTTTCTCCCGCTACCTTCTTAAACTGACTACAGTACAGTCGTATTATTACATCTCTAACGTTGTAATTTTAGTTTGATGGTGTGCACGTGGTGAGCGGATCTTTGGATACGAGTATTCGCGTTTGGGAGGTGGAAACGGGCGCGTGCCGACACACGCTGATGGGTCACCAGTCGTTGACGTCGGGAATGGAATTGCGCAATAATATTCTCGTCTCGGGCAATGCGGATTCGACGGTGAAAGTTTGGGATATTATTTCGGGACAGTGTTTACAAACGCTTTCAGGTGAGTTTTTTTTAACACGATTTTTTGTCTAACCCCCGCAATTTTAGGGACCTACAAGCATCAGTCGGCCGTCACTTGCTTACAGTTCAATAAACGTTTTGTGATAACTTCGTCGGACGACGGCACCGTTAAGTTGTGGGACGTACGTACCGGCGAGTTTATAAGAAACTTAGTGGCGCTCGATAGTGGGGGCTCGGGCGGTGTAGTGTGGCGTATACGAGCTAGTGACACCAAGTTAGTTTGCGCCGTCGGTAGTCGTAACGGAACCGAAGAAACTAAACTTTTAGTACTCGATTTTGACGTTGATGCCAGATAGCTAAAAACAGGCGTGAATGTGTCGAAAGTTTGTTACATGTGCTCCCAATTATAAGTTATTAACAACTGCCATATTTATAAAAGAAAGAGAGATTATCTATCGAATAACAGCAAACTTATTTTATATGACGGCGTTTTATTTTTTCAGAATGTTACCTTAATTGAGAGTACAAACTGAATATAAATAGAATCAGCATTGAATCCGATTTGTCAAATCAATCTTCTGCATGAATGCATGTGTGTGTAGGGAAAGATGTATTTTTTTCTTATTAAGTTATTGTTATTTTTTGTAAATAAATGCAATTCGAGCAGTATACAAAAGTCAACTTGTATAAGACCAGTGCAAGGGTATAGCTCCATCTTTCCATTTTGCACTTTCTACCAACGGCCTCCTTGAATTACTTTAATGGTAGTGGATTTGGGGATTAACATAAAGAGCGGTAGCTTGCACCTCCCCCATATCCTTAACGTAGGATCGTAGATGTACCGTTAGAATAGTAAAAAAAATCGATCGTTAGAAATACTCCAGCGCATCAGATTAAAGTAAGGTGGGTCACCTACATGTTGAAAAGCGCGCACTGTAATAATCTGACGATTTTAGCGTAATTTAAGGAAGTGGGAGGATCACAAACTTGCAAAAATACTGCCCTATCATAAGGGGGAACTGAACCAAGAATAATCTCGATCTGATCGGTTGGTATGGGAAGGGTAGGAGAATGTGAATTGTGTAAATGCGAAATTTTATTATGTTACCCTCGAGGCTAAACATTTTGTAGAAGATAAATGTTATCGGGAGTATGATTTCCGGAGAATTGTGTTAAAAGCGGCGAGGGTTTAAAATGGCACCCAGCAAGGATTCGAGAGGTATCCCTACTCATATTCTCATGGTGGTTTACTGGAAATGGAAATGATACGGGGATCTCGCTTATCTTAAGAGAGAGAAAGTTGATTAAATGGGGGCAAAGCTGCAAATTTCCGTGCTGAATAAAAATCTGAAAAGAAATTTGAAATATATATACAACGACCAATATCGGTATACAGTAATCGCCTATTGGTCGTCGACGTTCTAGTTTGACGTCATCATTGATCACTTTCAATATTGAATTACCGTGGGTATATCCCATTTATTGCGAAATGTTAATTTCTTTTTAATGTTCAAAACAACTACAAATGACAGGATGATATTAAGCAAATAGAGAATTCCGCATTAAAGTGCAAGCCATTCGAGCGTCTACCTTGGTATTCGTCGATTGGTATCACTTTCTCCGATCACGTGACTGTTGACAAGACAAGAAACGACTTTTATTACGTCCTTTTCGCAGTGAAAACGTGCATGGCTCAAACACGATGACGACCCAACAAATTCAACCAAAGCGTGGAATTGTCAAACAAGTAGGTGCTTTAATCGCTCATTACCCAAGAACGAATTAGAATTAGAGTTTCATTAATTATACCCTCGCCTTTTGCCCAGTTGGCATCAAATTCGACTTTCTTTACATATGGAGAATTAAGTAGGCTATTTACCGTGTAGGTCCTTTCCGGTGACTCCGTCATCATAAGAGGCTCCGTCGGCGCTCCACCACCCGAGAAAACTATCGCATTTTCGAGCATCACCGCGCCGAAACTCGCCCGTCGCGGTACCGACTCGTAAGTGATCGTCGTCTCGACGAGAGATCGCCTCTCATAATCGTAAACTTGCAGAGTGGACGAGACCCGTGACGAACCTTGGGCGTGGGAAGCTCGCGAATTTATACGGAAGAAACTCGTAGGGGAAGAGGTATGGTTTACGTCCGAGAAACCCGCGAATTCTACCCGCGAGTACGGCACGGTGTATTTGGGCAAAGGTAAGCGAGTGTTTTCGTCCTCTAGACGTTTTGAAACAAACAATAATTGATTCATCATTTTTTTTTGTTTTCCCTGATATGTCTAAATCCCCTCTGAGGGCGCCTAATTTTATGCAACCAAAATAGCTTCTTAAAACAAATGAAGATCTAGCTGTCATATAATGTTGCTTTCCAGAGACTTGCTATAACTAGACTGCGCTTAACGTATCTAAGGTGTTGTCGACACAGTATGCAACACACAATGCACCGCGGGGCAAAAATCGGCAATATAATGAAATAAGCTGTTATTTTAGATGTTCCGCTCGTGATTAGCTCGAATTAGTACAGATTAGAACATATAAATTTCTGTTAACAATAAACCAATAAACTTAGGTTAACTTGTGCCTATCAACATGTACTCTGTCGATAAATTTTTAAATAATATGCTGATTTTCAATGAATAAAAGTTTAAAGGGTCATTGGATCAGAGCCATTCGAAGAGAAAAATGTACTGCCACCATAGTGCATTTGCGGGGAATGAAGCCGATTTTGGAAAGGTACCGACGAAGGTGTTAATCAATAATGCAATACCGAGCGTTTTCGGCTTTCCCATTCATTGATTGAGAAGTCTGATCGAAAAAGTACAAATTGTTTTGGATTCTACGCACCAAAATTAGTGAGAAAAAGTGTTTTCCCGAGAAATTTTGGTGTAGTCGATTTTTGGTAAAAAAGGAAGGTTATACACTGCCTTTTTTGAGCCCCCAAGAAAAAATTGCCTCGGATCGACCCGGAAAAAAAATTTTCTTATAGAATGTGGCCTGTAGAATCCATAATTTCGAACAGTTCCAAGATTGGGCTACTAGTTCAAAAGTTACAGCCCTTTGAATTTTCTTTCGAAATTGGTTTCTAGTCTATAACTTTTGATTGAGAAGTCTGATCGAAAAAGTACGAATTGTTTTGGATTCTACGCACCAAAATTAATAAAAAAAAGTTTTCCCGAGAAATTTTGGTGTAGTCGATTTTTGGTGAAAAAGGAAGGTTATACACTGCCTTTTTTGAGCCCCCAAGAAAAAATTGTCTCGGATCGACCCGGAAAAAAACCTAGTACGCAATTTTCATTAACTCCGAGTACCTATAAATGAAATGAGCATTCGGTGTTTTAAAAAATTGTTACCAAAGCTGATTTGCGCTTAAAAGTTTATCTTGTTGGCTTAAATTTTGCCAGAAAGATTTTTAATTCACCCACTCGGTACCTCAAAACCCGGACTACCATTGATAACCCGCCCGGATGCCCCCTAAACTAGGACAAATCCGGACAGATGGCAACCCTAAATCCACATCACACCGCGTTGTAAACAAAATGGTTATCAGCAGTCTAAGAAAAATAAATAACAGTTACAGCCCATTTGGGTCTTTGGATATATTGAGTCAAAATTCGCTAAATAATCATATCTTACTACTTGCATCTTTAGTTTCAAGAGTATATTCTCCCATACGCGTTCACCACCAAAATACACATATAAATCAAATTAGGACTAGAGTAAGGCAGTTATATACCAATTTAATTCAAATAAAATACCAATAAATTCGATTATAACAGTTAACAGTTATATGTTATCTTTTTTTGCTACTAAAATTTAGAATAAACATGGCTAAAGCAAGCTGCAGAACGTACGTCTGCCCCGCGATGAACAGTTGGTTGCCTATCCTATTTTGACAACAGGCGTTTATAGTAAAATCTACTTCTTGCTTTTGCTTTCTTATTTTTGTTCTTGTGCGATGTTCTTCAACTGAAGAAACAGTTGATATTATCAATTGGTATTTTCTGTGAAGCCAAAGCCACTAATCAAATTAATATGTGAGCCAAATCTTCTTTTGTTTTAAGAGGTTATTTCGTTTACATGACAGTAGACAGGAAAATATCACCGTATATGTTTTTTCAGATTTCTCCTCGGCCGAAAATGTCACCGAATCCCTAGTGTCCGAAGGTCTGGTAACCGTAAGACGTGAAGGTATCAAAACCACACCCGAGGTGACCCGACTGATCGAATTGGAAGATGCGGCGCGAGCCAGTGGTAAAGGGAAGTGGTCGGGCAATTCTGCGGTAAGCCACCTCTTTGGTTGCGATCGTAGACGATCTTTCAATTTTAGGAGCACGTGCGCGACATCAAATGGTCCATTGAAAATATGCGCACGTTTATCGATAGGCAATCGGGGAAGCCGATCAAGGCAGTCATCGAACACGTCCGTGACGGATCGACGGTCCGCGCCTTTCTCCTCCCCGACTTCTATCATATTACGTTAATGATTTCGGGAATTAGGGTGAGTATTTGGCGGGTGTTGAATTTGGTTTTGAGTTTAACGTGCAGTGTCCCGGTTTTAAATTGGATGACAAGGGAAGACCGGATCCGTCGATTAAGGTCGCGTTCGCCGAGGAGGCTCGATATTTCGTCGAGGTTCGTCTGCTGCAGCGCGATGTGGAGATTATTCTCGAGTCTGTCAACAATAACAACTTCGTGGGGACAATCGTGCATCCGAAGGGAAACATCGCCGAGGCACTTCTGAAGGAGGGTTTCGCGAGGTGCGTGGATTGGTCCATGGCGTTTATGAAATCGGGCGCCGATAAGTTGCGTAGCGCCGAACGGAAAGCGAAAGAGGCTCGTTTGCGGCAGTGGAAGGACTATCAGTCCACGTCGCCGCAGATCACAGGTAAGGAGAAGGAGTTTAGCGGAACCGTGGTGGAGATTATGAACGGCGACGCTATGTCTATTAAACTTCCGACCGGCCAAGTCAAAAAAGTCTTCCTTTCGAGTATTCGTCCGCCGAAGGAATCCGGTCGGTAAGTTTTATATCGTGTCATTTTTCAACGTTTGATTTGTCGTATTAAACAGCGCCGCTGATGAGGAAGGTAAACTTCCAGCACGACCCAAAGGATTTCGTCCTCTCTACGACATTCCGTTCATGCTTGAGGCGAGAGAATTTTTACGCAAGAAACTAATCGGGAAAAAGGTGAATGTGGTAGTCGATTACATTCAAGAGGCGCGTGACACTTTTCCAGAGAAGATTTGCGCAACCATAACCATCGGCGGAGTGTAAGTTAATAGAATTATTGATGTTGGTAGGTATTAACAAATGACTAAACTGCGCCCCCTTATCTCGCTTAAGTACCTGATGGGCCCTTTATGTGTTGTAAACTTTGTTTCTAAAGTCTCGGCCATCTTGATACATGACTGGTTCTTAAATATACAGTCGACAATACATGCCTGACTGTTTATGCAACCCACCATACACACAAATGTGGCAATGTAACCAAAAGAAACTGCCTAACCGCAGCAAAGGTATTTTTTGCTAAAATGTACTCTCTGTACATATCATCCTTTTCATTATAAGTAAAATTATGCATTTTTCTACTAAATTGAGCTTATTCAGTATTCACACAACAATTCAACTGACAGTGGTAAACAACATAAATTGCTTCGGTCACAGCACTCTAAAATTTAAATCCATACTCATCTTGTTTCCTCCATAGCACACTTATTTTAGTTATAAAGAAATAAATCTTAAGATGTGGGTATAAAAATATATCACTGAATTCAGAATAAAATTCTCCATCCAATAAGGAAATGAAAAAAATATAGTTCCATTCAAAATAACAAAGTTGGGGTTGTGAACCACTGGCTGACAAAAATCATTTCCGTGCCGATTCAAGTAGTATTATAAAATAGAAATCGTTTACTAATTTAATTGTCCTCGTTAAAGTCACTAAATATAGAAAGTATCTCAATCCATTGGGCTCGTGTGTTAGAGGGAGAACGCATGATTTTTGCCCAAAAATGGCAGAAGTTACCAGATTCTAGTAACTTTAATGTTAGGGATTGTTCCACCTGTTTGGAGTTATCTGTATATATTTTTCATTGATTTTTATAAAACATGACAGTACTATGAAGTTAGGTTATAAAAAATGACAGCTATTCAGATTTTATTTGTCAATTTTTTTAAGTTGGCAGCAAATTTGCCAAAAAATGGCGGATGATTGCGGTACTTTCTATATCTAGTGACTTTAGTCCTGACTGAGCTTAGGTTCGGACAGCAGTGTATTGAATACTAAAGATTTTCGTGTAGAATAAAATCATAATAAGCGCATTAGGATTGTCCTCTACCCTCTTTCGTTTAGATTGATGTTGAATATATTTTAGGAACGTAGGAGAAGCCTTGGTGTCGAAAGGATTGGCCACTGTAATACGTTATCGGCCCGATGATGATCAACGAAGCTCTCACTACGACGACCTTCTTTCTGCGGAAAACAAGGCCATCAAATCCCAGAAAGGCATCCACGCCAAAAAAGACATTCCTTCCCAACGAATTTTTGACATCGATGCGGCGAAAGCGAAACAGTACTTTCCATCGTTTCAAAGGGCGCAACGAGTGGACGCGATCGTTGAATTCGTCGCGAGCGGCTCGCGCATGCGCCTTTTCATACCGAAACATCACTGCTTGTGCACCTTCCTTTTGGGCGGAATTACCTGTCCGAGAGCCGCCCGTTCCGCTACCGTAACCGCGCCCGCGAGCGAAGCCGAGCCGTTCGGCGAGGACGCCCTGGCGTTTACCAAGGAACATTGCATGCAGCATGAAGTTCAAATACAGGTCGAGTCGCAGGACAAGGCGGGAAATTTCATTGGAGGTCTTTGGGTCGATAACCTCAACATAAATGTAATTATCCCACTTCTGAAATTGGTAATTTTTCTAAATCTTCGCAGGTCGCATTAGTCGAAGAGGGATTCGCCGCCGTACATCCAACTGCCGACAAATGCGAGTACAATCGCCAACTGAAGATTGCGGAGGATAACGCTAAACAACAGAAATTGAGGCGGTGGAAGGACTACGTCGAGGTACACGAAGAGGAGCAGCAAAGAATCGCGGAGGAACAGCAGAATTTGGAGCGAAAGCCCGCCTACGAAGAGGTCGTTGTAACCGAGGTGACCGCCGAGGGCACCATTTTCGTTCAAAGCTGCCAACAGGGACCAAAAGTGGAGGCGCTTTACATGAAATTCAGGCAGGAATTCAAATCGAGCCCGCCTTTACCCGGCGCGTATACGCCGAGACGTGGCGACATTTGTGCAGCGAAGTTTGCCCTCGACAACGAGTGGTACAGAGCAAAGGTGGAGAAAATTCAAGGACCAATTATCACCGTCTTTTATATCGATTACGGTAACAGAGAGACTTTAAACGTTAGCAGTTTAGCAAGTTTACCCGCCGCTTACGCGAATGAAAAACCGTTCGCCACCGAGTACTCGTTGGCGTGCGTCACTTTTCCTAAAGATCCCGAATATCGCGATCTCGCCATCAAGTGCTTGCGCGAAGACACCATCGGCACGCTGCTGTTGAACGTCGAGTATCGCCCGCAAGGATCGCCGCCCGCCGTTACTCTGCTCTCCGAAGGGCAAGATCAGGATTTAATCAAGACTCTTGTCGGCGAGGGCTTGATGTTCGTTGAGGATAGACGGGAACGTCGTCTTAAAAGTTTGGTACGTCCATTCACATTTTTATTTGGATATATGGTTCGCTAGTGATATTTATTAAAAAGTAGACATGACAAAATCTCTTCTGAAGGACGCCTAATTTTATGCAACCAAAATAACATCTTACAACAATTGAAGATCTGGGTGTCATATTAATTAATTTGTGCTCCTTAAACTGTCACTATACTAATTGATAATGTCAACTCTTTCTTTAATTAGGAACATCGGACACGAACGCAAATAAAAATACGGAAACCAGATCTTTATTTTTTTTAGGAATTTGGTTGCATAAAATTAGGCGCCCTTCAGAAGGATTTTGTCTTAAAAGTAGACATAGGGAAAAACAATGCAAATAAATCCCTCTCTACTTGCTAGTAAATATCAGGGCTAACCTGGCTCAGTTTAAAGTCACTAGATATAGAAAGTACCGCAATCATCCGCCATTGTTGGACAAATTGCTGCCAACTTAAAAAAATTGAGAAATAAAATCTGAATAGCTGTCATTTTTTATAACCTAACTTCATAGTACTGTCAAAAATATATACAGATATCTCCAAACAGGTGGAACAATCCCTAACATTAAAGTTACTAGAATCTGGTAACTTCCGCCATTTTTGGGCAAAAATCATGCGTTCTCTCTCGAACAAGGTCATTTGACTCTTGTGAAATGAAAAAAATGCGTTCAGTTTTTATTTACGATATTTCTAGATTTCAGAGTACAAAGCAGCTGAAGAGGAAGCTAGGAAGAATCATAGAAACATTTGGGAATACGGCGACTTTAGGGACGACGACGCTAAGGAATTCGGGTTAAATTAGTACGGGCTCGTCTCCCAGAACAGAGCAACGCTTACCTACTGCATTATCTTTAAGTTTTAGTTACGTTTCACTGAAATTCAATTTTCACGAACATTGCCTTTTACGTACTACAGAGAATTTATTGTATCATAATATAGAATATCGAAAACCGTACTAGTCATATGACGATATGCGATAAAAGACAACAGATTTATTTACAATTCATATCATTGTAATTATATACATTTACGCTGTTATTTTATACGAATCCTCCGTACTAATTATTATATTTATTATGGTGAAATTTTAATTGTATTTGTAAACGATTTTTGCAACTTTGACGCGAGTTATCTACAAATTTGTTTTGTAATTGTTCTTATTGTGGTACCGGTTTCATTGATTATACCTTGCCAATTTAAAGGTGTGGATGTAGGATCTCGCTCTGTTTCAATAAATTATAGAAAAATTTAGTAACTGCTCTTCTCGAATAAAAATATCATTCCAGACTGTGATCAACAATTGCAAAGGACGGGGTGTGTACACATGGGCGCCACCAGGAAGAATATTTGGGGAATTTTGTTCTCTTTCTGATTCTGTTAGCCTGTTAGTAGTACAGTTGGTAGTATTACAGTGCACAGAGCATGCCCAGGCATCTTGCGAGTCCAGCATCTATAATAATTGATTTATTATGCATGTACTGTATTCATTATAAGAAGGTAGTAGATGGCGCTGTGTTTGAAGATAAGCACACACAGGAGAAATATAAAATTGCACCAAATTATTGTAAAGTAGAAATATCCAGAAATAAATCTTTGACATTAACAGTTAATGACACTTCAACTACCAGCTTGCAAAATTCGCCACTCGTTTTATGTTTCATTGTAATACTGACTCTTATTTTAACCAATCACACTGAAGATCAAAGCTTCCCTATGCTTTCTACCGCTATCTTCTTAAAATAAATACAGTTTTTATAGATGATCATTTGGTAATTTTTTGCCTTTGTCTCCATACCAAATAGCCTCCAGCACTCTGCAGGCTTGGACAGTTTGTCCAAGTGGGTAACAGTTATCTGGAACCAGAGAGGGTGCAGAAATTTAGGTTAAACAGGGTCCTATCCTTTTTTAGCGTATGTTCCTCAAAGTGAAAAATCGCTATTAGCTGCACTTTGTCGTCCGTCACACGTACTCCTACACCACTGAATCGATTTTGGTGATATAGGGCGCATTTGAAAGGGCTCGGTCCAAGGATTCCGTGCATTTTTTGGTTTTGCGCATGCGCAGTGTCAAAAATTTAGATTAACGCATGTACAATGCTTCGAATAAAAGTAAAACTAATGCCCATTTCAAAATTTGTATGTTTTTGTATACGCTCCACCATTTTTCATTAAACTTTATAGACTTTGACGATAGGCGGCTCATTTGAAAGAGAATGGGGTAAGGATCTCGTGCCTACCGGTATTTTTTCGTGGTCCTAGCATTAATATTATTAGGAGGAAAATACGTATGTTTGCATAATGACTTTTTAAACTTGTTTTTACTATAGCTCTGAATCTAGTTATAATAATATTTATTCGTGATTTTGCTAAAAAAAAGAAGCTTAACACAAGTCAAAGAAATAGTTATATTATACATGTAATAAGTTAAAATGTGTCTTTAAGAAACTCGTCCGTACTATAGTAGGCAATTTTTGACAGTTTTCTTTTAATAACGGCAGGGAATAGTTTATAATTTAGTTTTTGCACGTCACTGGGAACGTGAATGTAGAGTTTAACACTTATAATAGTCCGGTCCTGCAACTTCCGTCTTGGTGAGTCGATGCTGCCTTGTCTTTTGACATATACTAATGAATTGACAAGGCAACGTTAGGATCCCTAAATTGATAAATGCTTGTCGGCGATATAGTCCATATTCTGCATTTCCTTTGGATAGCAAAAAGACGCTTAGCTGCAGGAGAATAGTGGTCCTAACACGGAGCCTTGTGGTACTCCTATTTCTGCAATTATTTCGTCTGATGTATCCCCATTAAAAGTCACTTTTTGTGTTCTGCGTGAAATGTAGTCTTTAATTAATTCGATTGATCCTGAGTTAAAGCCGTAATTTTCCAATTTGTGTACCAAGGAGGTGCAAAGGAAAGGGGGAGGCTTTGCTGCTGCCTGGTCGGGTTCCTCTTGGAAATAGAATATAAAGTAGATCTGCACTGTCCCATAGTTTCAGACATGGGCCGTTGGTAAATGAGATTGATAAAAAAAAGGAGAAAAAACCATCACCCGGAAAATCACACACAAATCAATTAAAAACGGCTAATGTAATATTCATTCGCAGCTGTAATTTCTTGCACCTAATTTTAAGTTTAACTTTTGCCCGAATTACGATAATTGGTAGGCGGGCGCACTTGAATAAATTAGTGGCGGGTTTACGAGTAAGCGGCAGAGCAGAGTTACAGCGACCATGGACGAATCCGAAGTGATTCATTTCTTCGACTATCCGAGACGCGTTGCGAAACTAACGGGACTAATACTAACGAGGGAAATAAGCAGAAAGGAACTGGTATGGTCTGCGATCTGTCCGACAATGATCAGTCTTTACAGTATATTGCTGATCTTTAGAGACTGGACTCAGAATGAGGACTTTGAAGGAATGTTACACGCTGTGGGAATGGTTTACAGTAAGTGCCCGCTTAAAGGCTGAGGATTTAATGATAGTTCTTGCAGTGCTGCCACGAATCATTCTGATGAGATTTCTCAGAGCTCGGTTCGCGGATATTTTGTATTCGCTCGAGGAAATCAGGTCGTACGGCGCCGATCGTCGAGATGATCTCAATGGGGTGTTGCAAAAGTCGGTTGTTTCACTGGTAAGTCGCGTGTGCCGAAGGTGCCGTCGATAATTGCCGTACTCACAGGGCAGGTTTTTTTTCCCGTTTGGAGGCGTGAGCGTAATAGGAGCCGTGATCACCTGGACCTATTCTCGTTCGGAGGGACAGCTTCCCTTCGGCCCGATCGCAAGGTGGGCGATGGACTACAGCTTTGTCGGTTGCTTGATATTTCAAGTGGTATCTTACATTCCGTTAGGGCAGGAATACTTCATGACCGATGGGGTAAAAATGTGCGTCTTGAAAAATCTGGCGACGCGGTTTCGATACTTGAATTTGTGCTTTAAAGACGTCTTGCGTTACGCAAAAGAGGAACAGTCTGCCAGAGATAAGGTTGACATTGATACCATCGATTCGGGCAGTGTCGACTGGAAGCTATTGCAGAAACAGTTGGGAGTGGCGATTTCGTATCACAATGCCCTTATCCAAATCGCCAAGAAAGTAGAAGAGATATTTAATAAGACCGTATTGATCACTTTCATTAGCGTGTCCTTATTGGTATGCGTACTCCTGTATCACATGTCCCGGGTAAGCATTTCCAATGCAAATCACAGCTACTAATACAAATTTTAGCTTCCAGTAACCCATCTGGACTACTGGAAATCAATCTTCTACATTTTTATGGTTTATCTGTGCTTTTTCCTGGATTGCTACCTTTCGCAGCAGGTAATGGACGAAAGCGAAGATCTGACCAACGCATGTTACGAAATCAACTTCGTCGGCACTAACCTGAAGTTTCAAAAGGCGCTCGTCATGATCATGACCAGAGGACAGAGATCGATTACTTTCACAATTGGAAAGTTTGCGCCGCTCTCGATTGTCGCAATTGTTATAGTAAGACAAACGCGCCCTGCAAGTGTTATACTCTAAAAATCCTAAATTACAGATTGTGAAAACGTCCGTCTCTTACTACATGTTTCTGCTAAACATGAAGGAATAGAGTAGCGACTACGTATCTACATTTATTGCACATAGCACAATTGAAGGCGAATATTTACATTTTATCACATCTTTTATGCAAACTACAAATGTTTTGTAGCAATTTGTTTAGTCATTGAATTGATAGTTATAAATTCAATGGTAGTAGCATAATAAAGGATTTTGCTTCCACCAGGATACAGTAGAAAGATTGGACTGGTGGTTACAGTGAAAAGCACCCTGGGAAGCGGCGCAACTTCGATTTCGCTAAGCTTCCTAAACCTGTATGGGTAATGCTTAAAAAAAAAAGGTAATAACTGCCTTTTTTTGAGCCCCGCAAATAAAATTGTCTCAGATCGACTCGGAGCAAGAATTTTCTTATAGAATGTGGCCTGTAGAATCCATAATTTCAAACAGTTCCAAGATTGGGCTACTAGTTCAAAAGTTACAGCCCTTTGAATTTTTTTTCGAAATTGGTTTTTAGTCTATAACTTTTGATTGAGAAGTCTGAATAAATGGCAGTTCAAAATGTACGGAGTCTTGCAAGATCTGTAGAGCATATTGTAGTTTAAAGGACCGGTTTTTGAATAGATAATACAATAAGTACTAGTGCGCCATCTCCATGGCAATCGATACACTTTCTATCAATTATAGTTATACAAGTCTAGTTGAGATGTCGCCACGTACGTACCTTCTTTTAAAATATTATTTGAATTTATGCGATTAATAGCAACGTTGCACTTATTATTCCTTAAATGCAGTGCCGTTTTTAAGTTTTTCGGGGCCCTGGGCCATTCGTTCGTGGAGGCCCTCCTTACCCTCAATAAAAACGGCAGATTGGGGAGATTCAAGCAAATCTCTAATTTGAATATGGGCAACCCGATATTTGGGTAGCCTGGTTTGTAGGCAACAAATCATGCTCAATGAACAGAAAACATTTATTTTTGCAATTCGTAACTTCTTATGGATAGGAGTTTATTTAAAGCCCTTGGAAGAACAATTTCAATAACAGGTGCATTAAACTGAACCGTTTTACAACAATTTTCACGCGAAGATCGCACAAACAACACATTTTTTCGTGATTGCAAACTGCGTAACACTTTTGCCTTATTTCGCTGCCAATTTCACTACCGTTTCTATAACTGTAGTTCTATCAAATAAACTCTAGGCTCATTTCTTTAAAGAATAGCTTTGCACCATCGCCAGCTGCTGCAATCAAGTAATTGTTCCGATTTTAACCTTGAGAAATTTGAATTGCATTAGAATGAGTTTTCTGCGAGTTCTCCACGGTGTCCTCCTGTTTTGGTTACAAAGCATTTCCCTTTTCAATTTGTGTTGTCTGAATTCAATGCTAACGTTTCTCATCCATCGAGAACTACATGTCTTCGATTGCACGACCCAGAGCGAACAGTATCATATTCCACAAAGGTTGAGTCTGCCGCTTTCCTGTCACTCCCAGTAGCCAGTTCCCTAATTTAAACCTGTAAGCGAGAAAGGAATGATAACAAAGTTTAATTTTTGACTATAAAATAATCAAACATTAATTATACATTTGAGGTTAGAACTTCATATATCTATGGTTTTTAAAATCTGCGCTCTGACATCTAACGTTAGTTTCATAAAGTACATTCAAAATTAGTGTGGCGACATCTTTGAGGTCTAAGTTCCAACTAAAATAATGGTGGTAATAGAGTGTCCTTCATTTAACTGTAAAATGTTAGTCCCCAATAATAAAGACCGATGTCAGCACATTGTATTCTCCTTTGATTCCAAAAACTCAGGCAAGGCTATAAACATTTTGGGATTTGTGCCTTTCGCCTTTCGCTGTCAAAGGAGTAAACCACGAAACTCGAAAATTAAACATTTCGCTCCTGTATTATATCCTATTCCTTTGCGCCATAGCGTTTTTGGAATGCCAAAGGACAGGACGGGTAAACGGACGGCCTTCCGTATACCTCTTTGGTATACCTAAATCTAGATTTTTGACGATTTTAATAAAGTATCTGTTCGCAATACACGAGTTAAATCGCCATAAAGGGCTACTAGTTCAAAAGTTACAGCCCTTTGAATTATTTTCTAGTCTATAACTTTTGATTGGGAAGTCTGATCGAAAAAGTACGAATGGATTTGGATTCTACGCACTCAAATTAATAAGAAAAAGTGTTTTCTCGAGAAATTTTGGTGTAGTCGATTTTTGGAAAAAAAAAGGAAGGTATAACACTGCCTCTTTTTGAGCCCCGGAGAAAAAATTGTCTCAGATCGATCCGGAAAAAAAAGAATGTACTAGAATGTACGAGATGTGTTGAGCAATTGTAGTCCTATGTATTAGCAATTTTATCTGCTCTATAATTTTTCCGCCTTCGGTTTGGGTATTTCACCCCTTCGCACTTGGACCCTTGAATCTGAATCAATGGAATTCGTTCTGTAAGGGAGGCAGTTTGTTAAAAAATCTGAGGATCCTCTCCGGCTGCAACTTGCTGGTTTACTGCGAAGTGCTATTGCAACCAAAAGCAGGAGTTGTGATCTCTTTTCGGAGACAGCCGCACACCAGTCTTCCTCCTTGAAGCAGATGCGACCATGTGTTATTCTCAGCTACCCTGGTTTTATCGAGATGGTATTCCAGGGAGCTTCTACCGAGTGGTAACAACGAGCTGGTCTCAGTCTTTTGAAAACTGGTTAAGTTCTTAGACTGCCCTAGTCAATGGGCAGATTCCCATAGACGTTTCCCCTCTTTTCTGAGCTGGCTTCTTATCACTCCTCCAGCTAGACTTGCTGGTGCCCTACAGCAGGGTTGCGGACCGAAGACTTTTTTGTGGGTGGGGTCTGAAAGGGCACCTCTAAAAGGGAAAGCTTCTTGAGGGTCCAGAACCAGAGAGGAACAAAGTTTTTTAACGATGTTTAATGATTATAAGGATTGGGGCAAGTTATAAACGAAAATATTGTAAATATGAAATGTTGTTTTAACACTGTACTAACTCTCCTGCAGTTTGATTCCTAAAAATAATAAAAGTAGCTTTGAAGTAGGCACCAGAGATGGTTTCTTACCAAACCGTTCCAATGCGTACGTATTATTCTTTGGGTCAATCTTCGTATGAGGAGGCGTTTCGATTGACTCCCAATGCGTGTATGTAACAATAAAGGTAACAATATCGACTGCGGCCGTACAAACCAAATATCCAGCGACAAGTTTAGGTTCAAAGACTCCGCTATCAAAAACATCCATGCTGATATCGGGCAGGTAATTTATACTGTACCCGAATATACCAGCCAGCAAGATTGTAATACAACTGTTGTAAATTGATGCTATTATTAACGGAAGCATCAAATCTGGATTTCTCAGGCACGCTCCACAAAGGAACGGCAAAAATGTGCACGCGGCCAACAGCTGAAATCCCATGAAAATCCGATTTCCTCTTCCGATATTCACAGCGCTGACCTTTCCCAAACCGAACAGGTTACTTAGGATACTTTCATTGAGCAAGACGCTCAGCAATTTGACGAGAAAGAAAAGTATTCCAATTGATATTACAGCTGGCCTCATATTGTAAACTTTTGGAAAAGGCACGTGTTTGACAGCAACAAATGAAATATACCCAGGTACCTACTGGTTGATTTTTCAGCGAATGCGTGCAGGGGGGAGGCTTACCAGAAAGAATAATCCTTAGAATCATTAGGTATTAGGTAGCTTAGTATACTTTAGATTGAGTAGATGTAATAGCAGGAACACGTGAACAATATGAATAAAAAAAACAGCCAACCTCCACCATCTTTGGTTTTAAAACCAAGAAAGAATTCGCCTCGCACGAGGTGATTCGGAGTTTGGTCATTGGTGAGGTTGGATTAGAGTATAGGTACTAGTTAGGTTAGCTCAAAAGTCTTGTATCGGGAGAATATAATGTGCGAGGAGATTAAGGTTAGGAAAAATTTTTAGTGAGGTTAGGTTAGGGTGATAGTTAGGTTAGGTCAAATTAGTTTGCCAAAATTTTAGACGCCTAAACAAATTTGACCTAACCTAACTATCACCCTAACCTTCAATCTACTCGCACATCATATTCTCCTGATACAAGATTTTTGAGCTAACCTAACTATCACCCTAACCTAACCTCACTAAAAATTTTTCCTAACCTTAATCTCCTCGCACATTATATTCTCCTGATACAAGATTTTTGAGCTAACCTAACTATCACCCTAACCTAACCTCACTAAAAATTTTTCCTAACCTTAATCTCCTCGCACATTATATTCTCCTGATACAAGATTTTTGAGCTAACCTAACTATCACCCTAACCTAACCTCACTAAAAATTTTTCCTAACCTTAATCTCCTCGCACATTATATTCTCCTGATACAAGATTTTTGAGCTAACCTAACTATCACCCTAACCTAACCTCACTAAAAATTTTTCCTAACCTTAATCTCCTCGCACATTATATTCTCCTGATACAAGATTTTTGAGCTAACCTAACTATCACCCTAACCTAACCTCACTAATTTTTCCTAACCTTAATCTCCTCGCACATTATATTCTCCTGATACAAGATTTTTAAGCTAACCTAACTATCACCCTAACCTAACCTCACTAATTTTTTATCCTAACCTTCAATCTCCTAACCTAACCTCACTAAAAATTTTTCCTAACCTTAATCTCCTCGCACATTATATTCTCCTGATACAAGATTTTTGAGCTAACCTAACTATCACCCTAACCTAACCTCACTAAAAATTTTTCCTAACCTTAATCTCCTCGCACATTATATTCTCCTGATACAAAATTTTTGAGCTAACCTAACTATCACCCTAACCTAACCTCACTAATTTTTTATCCTAACCTTCAATCTCCTCGCACATTATATTCTCCTGATACAAGATTTTTGAGCTAACCTAACTATCACCCTAACCTAACCTCACTAAAAATGTTTCCTAACCTTAATCTCCTCGCACATTATATTCTCCTGATACAAGATTTTTGAGCTAACCTAACTAGTATACTCTAACCCAACCTCAGCAATGACCAAACTCCGAATCATCTCGTGCGAGAACAACCAGACCATTTAGCAGTTGAAGGAGGTGGTTGGAAACCCCTACAATTTTTGGAAACTACACACCTAAAGCATGAATTTACTCTATGCCTAAAGGCAAGAATACTACTCTTTGCCTGAAGGTGGAACTGGAAAAGGCAGCTTTTATAGATTCCTCTAAGTTGTTATCTGAGTGAGAACCTGACGAGAACTAAACGGCGCTTGGCGGTGCAGAATTCCTAGGCAAAAGTAGGCAGCTGTCAAGAGGAATGGGGGCGTAGGAAGTCCTGTACAGGTAGACAAGATTCCCGAAGTCCAGAAATGGCCCAAGAGAAAGCACGGAGAGGTACACTAACATCTAACATAATTCTTAAAAGGACACGGGGAAAGCGCAGAGTATAGCTAGTAAAATGGCAGTTAAAAATGTACGGACAAGATGAGATCTGTACTGCATTTGTACTTCAATTACCAGATTTTTGAAAAATTAGTGGAAATATAAAGGCTGCAAGTGCGCCATCTTCTTGTTAATCGCTACACTTTCTCTCAGTGTATAGTTTTAGTAGTTTCGTTGAGATGTCGCCACGTACCTAACTTCATTTGAAATTGCTTTTGAATTTATGCGATTAATAGCCGCCTTGGACTTAGTTTTCCTTAAATTGCACTTCAATAGGGACGGAGACTTGCAAAATCTGTAGAGCAATTGTAGTTCAATGCCCCGGTTTTTGATTAATTAGTTTAAATGTAATATCATTGATAAATTTAATGATGATATGTACAAGTGCGCCATCTCCTTGGTAATCGGTTGCCATTCACAGGGGAGTCCGACCATCAGGCAGCACTAGGCACACCTAGGGCGCACTTTCTTTCGCAACCAGTACGTAGCTCTTCTACAAGCCCATTGTTGTGCAGGTGATAATCCTTCTATTCAGTTTTACTGTCCGAGCCCGGTTGCTTGTTGCCACCTCTTACTCGTCCTTCTGTCAACCCAAGGTTTTTGTGAGGCGTCTTTCTGTTTTACAGCAAGTTGATGGCTTATTAAAGAAATCGCCCCTTACAGTGCTGCAAATTGCTCTGTAAGAAGGTTCTTTCGTCCATCACTGATGTACTAGGTTTTCTCTTCGCTTAATGATGCCGACGGTTCCGACGCCAAGAAGCGTCACACAAGCCAAAAGCTCCTCGACCTCTGATAGCGCCGCGCTGGTAGTAATCCCGATGCCCCGTCGCGAGGTCGAAAATCAGGTATTGACCCCTCCACCGCAACGGAGCCCTCTCCCTTACTTGGCATACCCGGAGCACTCGATTTTCGACCCCCCGCGTGCGCTTGAAAGTTTTGCCGCCCGACACCAAGTGCGAGGAGAATCCTACTAGGTTCCTCCAACCAGTCCAAAGGTCCTCGCATTCGACCAAAATGCGGCCTCACTTGGGGCAAAGCTTATTCGTCAGTCCCTTCCGGACGGGCACCATTCTCGGTACCTTTGGTCCGCGGCGAGGACCCGCGTCGCTACCAGGGGCGTCCCCCTATTGACCACCCGGGGACGCGCCTGATGGGTGCCTTCACCGCACGGGATGTCTGTTCGTAAAATAGAGCCATTCTTTTTCATTTCTGAACAGTTCTAGAGTTCTACTCTGGTAAACAGAGAATTAAAAACGGAACATAATGAACTATTACGTGACTAGGACCAAATAAGTGATTTTAGAGCTGCATTAGTTTATTACAATCTGATAATAATTCTACTTGCGCAAACCTTCGTCATATCAATGACGATGTCCCCAACATCGTTTTTCAATAGGAAAACACCTTCGCAGTAGACAAAGTGCTACCTGTTGCGTGTGCATTTAGAAATCAATACTTGGGCTTTCCGCTACGAACGTTTGAGGGTGATCTAAACTATCGGCGGGAGAGTGGCGTCATCTAGAAAGAACTGTAACAAAAATGAAAGGGCGCGACTCGCCTGGTAGAAGCCCTCAGTGTGCCCCGGCCGGCTATTGATTGTAGGAGCGCGCAGTGCCGAGCCACAGCCCGCGGTACCTGTCCTGTGCCCCGTGTGGTTCACTTGGGGCGTCACCACACATTCAAGTGACGTTTAAAATTTTGGTGTGTTTGAGTGGTTTATCGGTGCGTGATGTTGGGAATGTGAGTGGAAGGACAAAGAGACTTTGCAAATTGAGTAATTCAGGTAAAACCCTTTGACGTTGTGATAAATAATTATACGCTATGGGGCGGTTAACGATTTGTTCAATACTCCGCTCAAGACGTTTTGGGTTTTTCTGCACGCAAAAAAACTCTTCCGCTCTGCACCCGAGTCGAGCCTTTGGAGATTCCAAATTTTCCGCCCAAATGGAATACGACACTGCTTGATCGCTTCATTTGGTGCATGCACATCATTTCCGTTTGAAGTGATATCTTCGGTTCATGGAACCATCGGTAGAGCTCAATGAGCCATATATCTCTCACTCTATATCTTCTAACGTCAAGATATTTTTGGTCTATAATCAACATATGGAGTTCTTTGATAGTCGTGCGTAATTTTAGACATTCTCCGGCACTAAGCACAAGAATACAGCTTCACACTCACTACTCTCTAATATCTACATTATTTATGCACTGAAGCAAGCGAGTATACAATTTGGGAAAGTAAACATATATAATGTACTCAGTACTGCATATAATATTTTTTTGATGTTTAAACTGATATTTTTGCATAAATGCTTGCATCTTTCAACCTCTTTTTGACAAAGAAATGTTTGATTTGTTTATTTATTGTTTACTTAACTATTGCTATGGTTAATTTTTTATTGATAGTTTGGTGCAGGTAGATCTTTTTATTTATCAACATTGATTATTTGTCTAAATTTGCCAATCCATTTCGCATAAAATGATCATTAAACAACACCTATGTACCGAGATGAGGTCCACTATACGTATAATCAACAAAAATATGTGGAAATCAGTGAATCTCAACTCATATATCACAGATAGATTCTAAACTGAAGAGTTTCTATTAGCAGAATTTCACCCCCGAGGTAGATAACTCGCCCCTCGTTCGGACCCCTGTGACCGTCTCTTTAATGCGAAAATGTTAGTTTTCAAACAATTCGATAATTTTCACATCAAAAATGTAAATCTTAATTTGGACCAAGACCGCGTAATCGAAACAAACAAAACTTTAGGAAACATTACACCAAAAATGATCGCGATTTCAAACAAATGGTAATTAAAATGATGTGGCGAACGTAGTAGTACAGAAAGTGCAATTTAATTCCATCGGTAAGTTACAATGTGCTTCGTAATTTAATATTAGATGACCCCTGTTTACATTCGGATGCTATTGCGCATGTGCGGTGTTCTACTTACGGTGCAAAATATATCCCTGCCTTTGTTATGTATGTTGGCACAGATGCTCCTTGTTGAAAGTAAATGGGAGGCTATCATCATCATCATAGATATGAACTAAGGTTCAACTATAACAAAAAGATTGACCATAATGTATAATATTGTGGGTACGCTCCACGCATATCTTTTATATTGTTAAGGAGTGTCTAAAATGTTTCAAGCGGAGAAATCATCTCGTGTTTATTTGATTTTATCTGTCAATATTGGGACTATGGGACATAGGCCAGATCCATAGCTTTGGCCTGAGTGCCTGATGCAGTGATCGCATCTACGTAATCAAATGTATTCAATGGGGAATAAAAACAAAACGGCAACAGCGCCGATACAAAATTGAAATGAACGAACGCAACCAAAACAGAAAACATCTTTTAAATCCCGCGTTGGCGCGTTGATTTTCATATGGCATGTTGTGGTTTTGCTACTCGGAAAATCAATTATCTGCAGGAAAATCGGCATTAATTCATGCTGTTGTTAAAAGTGTGTGTTAAAATTAGATGCCGAGGCGGCATAACGATTTTAAGGGAGATTTGAAAGAGGACAAGACATAACCTCAATATTGTTGAAAATTCAAAATTGAAAGAACTGTCACTTTTAAAATTTGGCAATGACCCAACGTATTCGCAGTTGTTCGAGTAACACAAATTTAGATACGGTTAATTGCGATGCGTACCAAACGAGACTTTTACCACGAAGTAAAGCACCATCGAGGAGCAATACACGGGAATGCTCGGCGACACAATTGAAAGGATATAAGAAATCTAAAGGCCGAAGCGTTCCTAAAGAAACGAGTAAGAGCTCTGTTACTAGCGAAGTAAGTAAAAACCGCCAGCCCTGGGCCAATCTGTTAACGTCATCTAGAAGTGTAGACAGTGTTACGACGTTCGATGGTTGCGATCCCTTGCGAACCGTTCACTTTCTTTCAAAAGAGCTCAGCTCCAAGCTACAGTGCGCTTCGTTCGGTAGGTAATCGCTTGTCTCGCTGAAACTAACGTAATTTTAGGCGATCCACACGTTTACGACCTGATATTAAGCATGCAACATGCGCTAAATCGTGTACCGGCCGAAGTCACCTCGACACCAAATCTACCGCTGAAACAATCGCAAAATGAAATAAACAATTACGACAAAGAAATTCCGGTAATACACCCCCACCTTAAAGACTTTTACAAAATGTGATTAACAGGAAAAGTTGCTGCCGGAAAAGTCGGAACGAGGATGCCAAACAATTGACCGGCGACATCTGGAGGTGAACACGGCGAAACTTCAACTTAGCTGCGAACAAATAGAAAAATCCTACAACATCCTAAGGAAAGAGAAGGAGCACGTGGAAAATTTACTGCGTCTCGAATGCGAAAGAGTGGCCAGCTTTCGGAAGCAGAACGCCGTCCTACAACACGAAAACGCGGCCATAGCCCGGCAACGCGACGAGCTTGAAACGAAGCTCAAACAGTACAAGCAGGTCGATCCTAACGAACTCAAGGTGCGCATCGAGGACCTGCTCAGGCAGAGGGTGGAGTTGGAGCACGAGAACATCGGCCTTAGGCATCGGTTAACGACCGTCGACATTGAAAGGGAGAAATTCGTCACGCTGTTGGGCATGCGGGACCGACAAATCAACGAGATTTTATCGGAGATTGACGCCTTGCAAGAGATCGTGAGAGAGCAACTGTTGGAATTGCAGAAGGTGCCGATTGTTTCGTCCACTTCCAGTGTAACGACGTTGTTGAGTGATGTCGAAACGTAACGCGTTATTTGCTACGGTAACGACGAATTGCTGACAGGTAACGACTGTGATATGTCAATGCAGTGTTGGTACTAATAAATTTTGTAATCGGAAACGTGTAGAGATTTTTTAACTTTTTTTTATTTATTATTAAATGACTAGAGAATCGTAATTTTCGTTGTCTAATTTGCCTGTTGTGAGCATGTGCTTGGAGTGAAAGAGCCGTGAGTTGTGCTAACTGTAGAACGCATTGGGATTGGGATTAAGTTGCATGAAAAGTGATTAATCCATTACTTGTTTAATGGGTGTACTCCGGCTTTAAAGTAACATAAACAAAAGCAGTGCTTAGTTATTAAACAAACCTCTGAAAGTATCTGAGGACTTGTCAATATGTATGCCTCCATAAAAACTATCATTTGGAGAGACTTTAATTTGCCCACGGCTAGCTCAGTAATAAAAATGTTTTTTATACCCCTTGCCTTATTGCGGAAGTTTACCCTCTTGAGTTACTGGTGCTGGTTCTGCTGTTTAAAAATATACAACCCCTTCCCAATGCTACACAAAATTTGAATCCAACCAAAGGAATAGATCACTGAAATTAAACTCAAATGGACGAAACAAAATGCCCAAAATCCTTTGTTTGGATTTAATTCCTGTCAAGAAGTACAATAAAAAATCTGTTGATGCAAATAATTCTCATAGGTCGATTTCTTCGGGAATATCAAAATTACTTAATCCAAAATTAATATGCAAACTTACATTAATGGATTTTTATTTGCGAGATTCCGTTGTTGCCTGAAAAAAAGGCGTTAATTAAAAAGGCAAAATGTGCCCTTAAAGAATTTTTCGGCCGCGGAGAGCAGAGCCCGTGGGCGTCTATTCACATTGTAATCATATGACGCTGTGTTCCTAGACAACCTCACCGAATAATTTTCCCCGCTCCAGGAGCAGTGTAGGAGTTTTGTTCTATGATTTACATGAGTGGGCGTGCGCTGACGGTTTTCAAAAATAGAAGAGAGGGGTGCATTGAGCTGGGAGCTCAGGTCAAAAGTTAGGTAGTCAAATTTGGACCACAATTGCGTCTTCGTATCATGTGTCGTATAGGTGATTATTGAGATGTGACTCTGTCACCCTGACCTCTCTTCATACTGTTTCAACAGTTGAATTGAAGTGCGTGGCCCAAAGAGCCTTGTGGAGGGGAGAGAGGTACCGTTCCCTTCATCCCTATACACTGAAGTAAATGATAAAAATCTGTACACGCCTACTTTATTTCAATACCTACCTATTTACACAAAAATAATCTTTTATTGTTTGTTACAGTATTGAAATCGAAGAATGTGACGCCCAAACTGAACAACCAACGCTTGATGGAAGAAGAAAGGATTGCTGGGTTATCTGTTTGAACATTTAAGTAAGTACCTTGAAGTTATTGATTGCTGAAAAACTTTAGTTCTTTTGCCCTTTTTATTTAGCGGAATTTCGTAACTTTATTAGTAGCGAAAAGTTTACATTATACTATCGCTTCGGAAAAAAGCTTACGAAGCAGAAAAAGCTAGTACAATCGAAGAACCCGAAGCAACCCTAAAAGGGTATTAAGGAACTGTGTCATTTATTACACCATAAAGGGATTTTTGTGAGTAGAACTAGGACACGTCGCCCCTCCTCTTTTTTTTAATTCGCTGTGTAATTCCCGAGGCCAATCAATGACAATGAAATTGATTCCCTGGGTTACCAAGGTGGGCGAGCGTGTAATTTGGATATTTCTGGGAAATTAAAGTAATTTCTCGGAATTTGGACTTTGATTTGATTAATTAATTAAAAATTGGCACGATTTTGAGCTTTATTGATATTTTAGATAATTAATGACGTCATCAATTAAATTGATTACTATCTAATTAGATAAATCCACGTGTCGATTAATTTAATTCGCGGTTTGATTGATCTAATTAATTTAATTCGCGTTATAATAAAGAAAAATAATTACACATATGTAATATAACACTTTAATTGAAGGCAAAATGGCCACCAACGGCGGGAAATTTAAAATGACGGAAGGAGGGAAAGGCAAAATGGCGGATGGTGATAAATTTTTCCCTCTTTTTCTTACACATGGGACCTATCACTGTTGCACTTGCTGCTGAAATTGGAATGTTCGATGTCATTGAAGTAAAGATCAATTCGTTAGTCGTGACATTAGCCGTGAAGCCGCCAAAATTGACCGCTGCGAGATCTTAATGGTATCATTAAACACATCTTTAGCGAGACGAGGGCGATTTCTATACGTATAGAGCTAATTAACCTTCGGAAGTCTCCGGTTGCTTCCATATTCAGATATGTGAAGCGCTTATGCTTTGAGGCTTCCGAATTAAGTGACGAACAACTGCAGTAGGTACTCAAACTGGGCCACTCGGGTCCGGCTCGCCCCGTCAATTTTATCTCTTCACACTTACACATGCAAAGCAACCGTAAAGCACAAAGTGAGCGCGAAGACTATTGATGAAGAAATGAAGGAACTGGGTAACTGCACTGTATCGCAGTAGGTACTGTTCGTCGCGAGTACCTACTCTATTGTTCCCATAAACCAGTTTTTAGCATGCCTATAAAACACACCCTTTGAAAATTGTTTTGAAAATGATGACTCATCGTTCACTAGTCCGGTTTTTCGGTTGATTGTGTCAGAGTGACTTCGGCAGGTTTTGCGGTTTCTTCGACTCTTTGGTAGCGTACGTTGTGCGCGGCAGAGTTGGACTGGGTCACAGGGTCAACTGGGTCACCTGGGTCACTAAATTAAACTGGGTCGCTGGGTCACGTCATACTCTTTTCAGTTAGACCCAGTGACCCAGTTTGACCCAGCGAACCAATTTCACCCGGGGACCCAATTCGACCCAGTCACCTAGTTTGATCGAATAACGCAATTAAGCCAGTGCCCTCGGTTCAAGTGTACAGATTATGAAATAAATGAAATGCTAGTTTGTTGAAAATAATACTCGATTGCTTGACAACTGCCATTTCCGTGATGTTTGCTTTAATACTGCCGTAAAAAACTTTCCATGTCCCGAATTGTATTAGAATAATGTTATTTCTTTGCCTCAGGGCTTACCAGTTTGATTACACAGGTGTTCATTCACATTTAATTTTTTTTTTACTAGTTAACTTAATCCAAATAAATCTTTTCTCTAAATACTTTCATTGACTACTTGACTACAAACTATAAACAAGTGCATTTGATTTTTTTAGGTATTAGTTCTCTTGAATGAAATTGGGCTACGTGCTTGTTGCCGAATATCATTGAGGAAGTTTTTTTTTAAATTAAAAGTTACTTGAAATTGTTTTGGATAATTCCTAATAATAATTTAATTACTGGGCCACCGGGTCAGGACGGGTCACTGAGTAAAGATGGGTCACTGGGTCACCGGGTGAAGCTGGGTCACTGGGTCACCGGATCAAACTGGGTCACCGGGTCAAGCTGGTTCAAACTGGGTCACTGGGACAAGCTGGGTCACCGGGTCAAGCTGGGTCACCGGGTCAAGCTGGGTCACTGGGTCACTCTATGCTTGACCCAGTCCAACTCTGGTGCGCGGGTGCACCATCCTGTTGAAAGCAACAGTTTCCAACTATTGTTTTCTTTTGTGCACCGTAAATAGTTGCATTCGTAAAGAAAAAGCTACTCAATACAGTATGTACTTTTTTTAGGAGCCATTTAAAAAATAAAGTTGATGATGATTTCTCCGAAACGAAACGTCTTTTAGAGCTGGAAAAGTGGCAATGACAAAGTGTCTTTTTTCTGTAACTGAACTGTTGAAATAACATCAGGAAAAAAATTAAAACGAAATGGGCAAATTTCGGTTTTTCCGGCATGGGTATCTTCGGAATGATTTTCTTCATAATTGCGCAACTTTTCCCTAATTTGACCATCGTCGTATTTTCTATGGCTGGGGAGATCCCCATCCTTATCTTGGACACAGTACATTTATCTCAAGAGCTAGTCTTAAGTCTAGGTCATTTACAAAATGTACAAAAAAATTGAAAAGGTAGCGCACCCGAAGAAAGAAGTTCAAAAGCAAGGATTAAGGTAAAGAAGCGGGCGAAGAAGCCTCAGGATCAGAATAAGAAGAAATGCTAAAGAATCTAGTTCGTCATGTCACCCTCTATACATTGAGAGTATTCAGTAAAATTGGTGCTGATTTAATTGAATGGGAAACTGCAAAGAAAAATGATCCTCAAGCCACGAAGAACGTTTCTTAATTAGATACGCAAAAGACCGGTGTAACAACTTCTCCTTTTAGAAAAAAAAGCAAGACCTCACTTGCTTTCTCCGCACCGCGCGCCATGTCATTTACCATTGCAAATACAACAGAAAACACGACCTTACACAAGTACGATTAATTTACTACTGCGCTTGTCCTTATGTTACCATGTGTGACGTTATCGGTGTTGTATAGTTTATCAAATAAAAGTTTAAACAATTTAGTTAACATTAATCGGTTGTGGCGCACGCGAAAAATGGGCGCAGTGAAATCGTAGCTTCTGGATAACTGCAGGTGAGGCTTTACCATTTTAAGAACGTTTAGGGTACAATTGTGGGCTATTACCAGAAGCCTTGCGGCGAATTATCACGCGATTCATTGAAATTCTACTCTTTTAGCTTTATTTTGTTGTTTATTCGGGTGCACTTTGTTGTTGAGGCCCAGGCATGGGATCAAAACCGCAAGGGGTGTCCAAGAAGGAATGCAAGAAGGTGGGGGCTTGTTTAATAATAATGTAGATTTGTTTATTCCACACGCATATCAGCGTAGGTCAAGGTCTAATTATACATACATCATTCATTATCATAACCATGTGAAATTGGCCCCGCCCACATAATTTGACAAAAATGTGACAGTTAGTGCTCTTTAGTGCTTCAAGCTTATCGTTAGTGCTGCTGAGTAAAATTAAAAAAACCGGGGCGAGGCTAACTTCACACTCAAATTTTACTGATCGAAATAATGAACACACACTAGAGTGTTAGTGCTATTTTAGTGCTGTTAAATGCGAGACAAACGCCGCCTATGCATTTTTAATTAATTAGATAAAACCACATGTGATTATTAATGCTACATTAGTGCTGTTTTTTTTGTGCTCGAAAATTACGATTCCATTTCATCCTTTCGATTTTTGCTTTCAATTTCGGGGGAATATTTTCAAAATGTCCCAAGAATTATTTTCAAATTTCTACTGTTCTAAAGAAATTTTTTGAAATGTTTAGGGGGTCTCCAGGGGCGGACTGGCACGGGGGGCGGGTGGCGATTGCCACCTGGCCTGTAGATCATAATGGCCCGTTGGAAATTTATAAGTATATGTGCTGTATTTAGTTTCTTGCACTATTAATAAATTATTAACACGTTTCTCTAATTGGGGTTGATGTTAGGTTGTTAAAAAATTAAAAAATTCTGTTTTAATTGAAGTGTTTTACAATGAATTTATCTTTTTTTGTCGTAGCATGAAAGTGCTGAAATACAATGATAGGCGACGCACCTCGTTTGGATTGTATATTTTGTTACTTTTAATTATCAGCTGCAATTTAAAAAAAAACTGTATGGTAATTTGGGATGAGGATGAGGGATTTCCATTCTAATTCTAGCAGTAGTTCCCAGAAGGTTTGCGGAAAAGGTTTTTAGCGCATTTTCCAGTATTCTTATATGGTTCCGTGTTTGTGGTCGTCCGATCATCTCTTTTATTAATGTAAAGTCCCCCAAACACCTTCAATCGAAGGCGAAACTGGCGCAATCATTTCCTTTACACTCAGAGCTTCGGTCTTACATCCAAACCGTCCCCATTAACTTTTTAGTTCAGCCTCTGCTTCCCAGAAATTCGTTCCGTTATCTGAATGAAGAACCTTCTATTAAAAGGTAAATGACTTTTTGTAGTTTCAGTTTTCATTTCATTTTCTACCGTACGAATTTTATCTTGGACACTCTGTATGTGAGTTTGGACACTCTGTATCTCGTTTTGGATACCTACTGTATCTCATCTTGAATCATACCTCTTACTTCTTGTTGTTAGCTTGACCGACCCCACACCTGACACCAGTGTAACGTAAATGTAATTACGTGGTTTTATTTATTTACAATTTACAATGTGGCGCAGTTCATTTGAGACTGGACTGCGGTACTAAGGGTCCCTGGTTCGAATCCAAGTTCGGGCATGGATATTTGTAAGTATACACGGTGTCCATTTTTCGAGTGCCACTATGGAGATCTTGCTTATCTTAAGAGATAGAAACTTGGTTAAATTAAGGCAAAGTTGCGAATTTTCGTGCTGAATAATAATCTAAAAATAAATTTATAATATCTTCAATAGTTTTGAAGATATCGCAAAAAAACGAAAATTTCTGATTTTTGTTTTTAATTTTTTTATGATAAACTAATTGTAGTAGACATTTCTAATTCACACATTATTCAGACACTTTTTAATGGAGATTTCGAATATGGCATCCCGTTTTTAATAACTTTCAAGATGACGGAGAAACACGTGGCAACTTTAGTTTTTTTTATGGGCGCCATTTTGGATTTTGACATTTTAAGATTAGGTCTTTTTTTCTCTTTACAACGATATATCACACATGGTGGTTCAGTATCACATTTTTTCTAAAAATACAATTTTCATTTTCTGCGAAGAGTGCTATGCAAAAACAAAACATTCTTTTGTTGCGAACAAAATGTTGACTTATTTCAAGCAGTGGCATTTACGTTAGTGCTAGTTTTATTGCTAAAATATTATTTATTCTTATGTATTTTGTTCTAATTTTAATTATAAAATTCTTGCAAAACGAAGGTTCAATTCTGTTCATATGAAAATCGAATTTTCTCAACACATCTAGTTCCCTGATGCCAACGCTGCAACCGGACATATGCATCAAACTGTCAAACTTTTGTTCACAATAAAAGAACGTTTTGTTTTTCCAAAGCACTCTTCCCAAAAAATTAAAAATTGTATTTTAGGAAAAATGTGATACTGAACCACCATGTGTGATATATCGTCGTAAAGAGAAAAAAAGACGTAATCTTAAAATCTCAAAAATAAAAATGGCGCCAAGTTGCCACGTGTTTCTCTGTCATCTTAAAAGTTATTTAAAACGAGACGTCACATTCGAAATCTCCATTGAAAAGTGTTCGAATAATGTGTTAATTAGACATGTCTAGTACGACTAGTTTATCATGAAAAAATTAAAAACGAAAATCAGAAAATTTCGTTTTTTTGCGATATTTTCAGAACTATTGATGATATTTTAAATTTCTTTTCAGATGGTTATTCAGCAGGGAAATTCGCAACTTTGCCCTAATTTAACCAAGTTTCTATCTCTTAAGATAAGAGAGATCTCCATAGTGGCACTCGAAAAATGGACACCTTGTATAGTGGGTTGGGTTGGTAGAGCAGCCTTGGCCTTAAACTCCGCCCACTCAAAAATAATAAAGGTATGCCGGTTTAGGGTGCTCTTGATAACATGCCCCTAGTGATAGTTCGCAAACCGTTGGATGCATCTTTCAGTGCGATTTTCATAAAAAGTGGTTAGCATGCATTTGGAGACCCAGAAGAATTGAGGACTGGGGTTGGTATTACTCCACAAATGCTGACTACGGTGTTGGAATCGACGATGAGCAGTTGTTTAGAAAATAATGGAAGTTTTTTCGAACATATTGTCTAAATTTAGTTAGTTTATTCAAATTCGTATCTTAATACTTACATCTTCCGTTAATTTAACGTGATTTATCTTTTGTTTTTCTATTAAATTGTTTGGATTGCTATTAAATATGTAGATGATATAAAGCTGTTAATTATCCTACCTAATTATTTATTTAAAAAAATCTTTGTACAGGTCCGTGATAGGAATGTTCTTAATTAAGCCCGAAAAGAAGGCGATTAAACGGTAAGGTGCTATGCATGATTGAATTCTGAATAAAAAGAGCTTTAAGAATATTATACCGCAATATCAGGGCCGTATTTAAAAAAAATGAAGTTGACGATGGTTCCGCAAAGACGAAACGTCGCATGAAAAAATTAACAACTCCGCCTAAAAGAGCGTTAAAAGTTGCTGTGGAGACCGTGTGTCATTGGTCTAATATGAACGCCAGAAAAAATTCTGTGGTTTTTGGTGGTTCTCTTAGCAACAGCCTCAATTTGTCAATCGTGTCGTTACGTACTATTTTGTTTTTGTTACAGAAAGGAAATCGCTACACGTTGGCGGCTTAGAGTTCGGAGATCGGAGGTTGGAACATCACTTTGTTAATATGGATTTCACCGGCTTCAAGGTATGAATTTACTCGCTTGGGTGAATGCAATACAAAATTGCAATTAGTTCCGAATATTGCGTTTGCCCGAATTTTCACTTTCAACATGTTTATGATGTGACTCGACCTGCATTAGTCGCTATCTTAATGAATAAAGCAAACAGATTATAATTGAACTTTGGATTATGCATATGACAAGTAAATACACTAATGGAAAGTGTGCAAAACTGTTTGCATGAACGAAAAGTTCCAGGACGTGGAGCAGAAAGCGGAAGTGACCCAATAAAAATCAGAGTTATAAGAATAACGAAGTTTTTCCAAAGGCTCAACCTGCTGATCGAATTATACAAGCGCAACTCACTTAGTCGACCTACTTGTTCGGACCATTATTACAATTTCTTGCATGATTTCACCTGATAATCGCATCTCATTTACTAATCTCTGGTGATGGTTTAGCTTAAGGGGCGGCGGGCAGGATCCGACATGAACTCGGACGGTCCATGAGACACTCGACCGGTTCTCAACGTGACCAACCCACTGCTAGCGGCTCCGTTGACACCCTCACCACCACAACCACCACCACTGGCTCCCAACATACAGGTAATTTGTTCTAAGCATGACTCTCTTTTGTTTCTACTGAATCATAGAAAGTGTCAGTGCTCTTAGATGATGATGATGGTTGTGGTTGGTGAGGGCTATGCTCGGCTGTTTTATTGCACATCGAAATGTAACAAAAACAAAAGACAACGGATACGTCATATTATGATAACTTATTAAATTTACAAATTAAAGAAACGTTCCCACCATCCTCTCCACCATGCTCCAGTAGGAGGATTATATTTCCAGGAGATATTAACAAAATTTGGCGTTCTCCTTCCACTTGAATTTCTGTCCATAGTTTAGCAATGTGTTTTGCATTCGAATCCGCAGGTTCCTTATATTAAAACTGCTGATTTGTCCCACATTTCCTTGCTAGTCGTGAACATATCGGGCGATGAAAAATGAGTGACCGTCGAGTCGCCTTTGGAAGTTAGAGATAAGTACGCATACAGCGCCACCACGCCCAGAAAGTCCCTGACAGGGCGTGTCCGAGGGTGCTAGAAATTTAGACCGTACATTCTGATGCAAAATTTAAAAACACTTTACGGGAATTACATACCTTATCAGATCGTAGATCCAAGCTATATGCGTCTTGAAAAAGACGAGTGTGTATAAAACTGGAGACGGAAAACGTAAAATAAAGCAAATACAAGAAGCAAAGTGTAAACTAAAATAACGTGAAGCGTCAACTGTCAAAACGGAATAATTAATAATTATGGCGTGGAATATATCGCGGCGTTTTGCAGACTTTCTATTGGCCCGCCTGAATTATTTCAAAATTAGTTCGCATATTTTCCGGGGCTTTTCTGGGCATGGTGGCGCTGTATTCTGTAAACAAAAATTTCAAAGGTGACTCGACGGTCACCCATTTTTGATCGCCGTGTATTTATCAATTGTCTTGCCTGAGTTGAAAAACACAAGGCAATAATATTCCGAGCTATAAATTCAAGTTTCTTGAAGGCTTTCTTATTATATGACCCGGTAACCTTGGGCGGCTACCTTCCACTATCAGAGTTGGACAGGGTCACTGGGTCAACTGGGTCACTAAATTACACTGAGTCACTGGGTCGCTGGGTCACGTCATACTCTTTTCAGTTAGACCCAGTGACCCAGTTTGACCCAGTGACCCAATTTCACTCGGGGACCCAATTCGACCCAGTCACCTAGTTTGATCGTATAACACAGTTAAGTCAGTGCCCTCGGTTCAAGTGTACAGATTATGAAATAAATTAAATGCTGGTTTGTTGAAAATAATACTCGATTGCTTGACAACTGCCATTTCTGTGATGTTTGCTTTAATACTGCCGTAAAAAACTTTCCATGTCCCGAATTGTATTAGAATAATGTTATTTCTTTGCCTCAGGGCTTACCAGTTTGCTTACAGGTGTTCATTCACATTTAATTTTTTTCTACTAGTTAGCTTAATCCAAATAAATCTTTTCTCTAAATACTTTCATTGACTACTTGACTACAAACTATAAACAAATGCATTTGATTTTTTTAGGTATTAGTTCTCTTGAATGAAATTGGGCTACGTGCTTGTTGCCGAATATTATTGAGGAAGTTTTTTTTTAAATTAAAAGTTACTTGAAATTGTTTTGGATGATACCTATCAATAATTTAATTACTGGGCCACCGGGTCAAGACGGGTCACTGAGTAAAGCTGGGTCAAGTTGGGTCACTGGGTCAAGCTGGGTCACCGGGTCAAGCTGGGTCAACTGGGTCACCGGGTCACTGGGTCAGTAAACTAACTGGGTCACTGGGTCACTCTATGCTTGACCCAGTCCAACTATGTCCATACAACCATTACATTCAACTGCATTTTGACTTGGAATTTCCAATCAACCCAATTGGATTGTCCCTCCAATTTATCTATCAAATCTCGTGAAACTTCCATGACAAATAACGATAGTAACTAAGTTCTCCTGCGCACTTGACACACTTCCGTTATGATCGTCCACAGCGAAGATTCGACAAAAATAAATTCGCGCCCATAACCTGACGAGATTTGTGGTTACATAAAGAAGTCTTGCAGGAATGGTGAACAGTTGGTATTAATGATAAAAAGAAATGTAATTTAACATGCCAAAAGGCAACATGACAGTTATGTATTTACTACTTGGACCATAATAGTACATGGACTGCTAATTGTAACTAAAATATGGTCAAGGACATCGCCTAGGTATGTGAGTTTCAGGGTAAACGAGTCTGTCCGAAGTTGTCCGATGAGACACGATTTGAGACTGTCAACCACAGAATACGACCTTCTATCAACCTATAAATTAACAAAGGTCAATTAATTAATCGCAAACTTATTCTTATTTGTGGACGTATAGCAAACATTGAAGAGTATTTAAAGCTTCCCGTATAACGCGGTTACTATAATGCTGCTCTTTAAGCGATCCTAGTGGTGTTTACACGACTTTAGTTTACCCTAAGATTCACATACCCTAAAGTCACTAAATATAGAAAGTACCGCAATCCATTGGGCCCGTGTGTTAGAGAGAGAACGCATGATTTTTGCCCAAAAATGGCGGAAGTTACCAGAATCTAGTAACTTTAATGTTAGGGATTGTTCCACCTGTTTGGAGATATCTGTAATAATAATAATAATAATAATAATAATAAATATTTATTTTATTTTTTATTTTTCTTTAGAACCCTACATAACTTCACCAGACACAGACACTAATCGTTACTTGATTTTAATCCGTGCGATTAGTTAACCAGGCTAGACCTGAGTTCTCACAAGAAACACCGACCATAATAATAGTTTATTGCCATGAATAAATTCCTTTACATTGGCATTGTCATGAATGTAGAATTATATAGAAAAAAAGACAAACTAAAAACATAAAGAGGACAAACGTTATACATTGAGGAGAATAAGATGTTAGTGTGTCCGGTTTAATTCGCATCAAGCTCGCCCACGGAGTAGTAATTTTTTTCAAGTAGATATAATTTTAAGTTTTTTTTGAACAATTGAATATTCCTTGATTGTTTTATTGCCTTTGGTATAGCATTAAATACTTTGATGCAATTATAGTAATAACCTCTCTCATAACGCGTATATATTTTTATAAAACATGACAGTACTATGAAGTTAGGTTATAAAAAATTTCAGCTATTCAGATTTTATTTGTCAATTTTTTTAAGTTGGCAGCAAATTTGCCCAAAAATGGCGGATGATTGCGGTACCTTCTATATCTAGTGACTTTAACATACCCACGACTACAGTGCCCTCTATCCATGACCATCCATTTTGTATTGAAAGCATAGGGCGAATAGCAGTCCATGTACTATATGGTCTAAGATTTACTATCACTCTCATATCAACCATAAAAAGTCTCGAAGACTTTAATTGTGCTGATGTCAATTCTCCGTGTGCACTCTGACTCTGGAAAGCACTTAGAAAGTCATTTCCAGGGAATATTCGCCCGAATGTCTCCACAGCTTTTCAGAGCACTTTCTGAGATTCTAGACTCGGTGCTTCTTACCGAATAGTCTCATTCATAATATCTGGAAATAATTTAGACTACTTTCCGGACCTGCAGTCGAGCCTAGAGAGGTCCGGAAAGCCTCAAAAGATTAATAATTGTGCGCGGTTAAAAATACACTCTAATGCTATTGCAGTATCGGCGGAGGTAGTCGAGGTGGAGGAGCATGAGTTTGCCTCCGATGCCGAGCCTGAGGCGACGGAGACGCTCAAGCTGACCGCCCGAACCCGATTCGCGCACAGCCTTCAAGGTTTGCATCGCAAATCACGTGATGAAACGAAGAAAGAAATACAAGAGGACGATGAAGCCACTCTTAGAGAACTGCTTATTAGGTACCTATTATCTGTAGAACTTGTAGTCGTTTGTTTTTCTCTTCGAGGACGTGATTGGTTCTTTTCCTTTTTTATGTTTGCTTTTGGAGAACAAAATTATACGACATAATGTTAATCCACTTGCAGCCATTTTGAAATAATCGATTAGAAGTCTTTTTTGTGTTTTTCATATTGCCATCAGTTGTTTGTGCTGAAGTGCTTAAATATGACACTCTCCACTTTTATGACGTGATGGGGAATTACAACATTACAACAAAGCGCGTTTGCCGTAGAGGATTCGTACGCAATACATAGGTACATACATGTTAATTTAAATTGGCCATTTCGGTGTAAGCGATTTCCTCTACGGAAGAGAGCGATAATCATTTAGTGCACCGTTTTAATTTATAAGCACGCTTCCTGACGGGCTGTGTTTCCAAACTATAGGTGGAAGATGGTCACAGTCCAGGCGTCGCAGTCGTGTACCTCGTGTATGCAATTAGGAAGAACCGAAAAGGCGCTTAGGAAGGTAACGGGATACCTGGGAAAGTGTCCACTGTAGTTTGGAACACAGCCATGGTATCCTTGCCTCCCAGGTATTTCCGCCGCTTATTTGCTGTTGCACGGCTTTAGCTTATTAATCATTCTCATTACTCATTACGCACGATTACTGTTAGCACAACATTTGCTTTTAATAGTAGGTATCGTACCGACACTCTTCTGCATGATGGAGAAACGAGCGAAACAAAGAGAGGGGCCCGCTGTATTTTGCGCTCTCTCTCTTTGCCCATGTTTGCGTATATTTCAATTTCGTCGTGTTAAATTAACTTTAGAGCCTCTGACAAATGAAAATCGAACCGACACATCACTTCATTAATATTTATTGGCGCGTTTTACACAGGGTGTTTTTTTGGGAGCTTAGGTTAAAAGTTTCTGGGAAAGTAAAATAGGTAGGTTTTTAAAAATTTGTACTTAGGAGTTACTCTGAAGGCCGAATCGATGTAAAATATTTTTAAAATGGCCGCACTTCCGGAAACACCGGAAGTAGATAGTAACTTTGTTATTTTAAATGGCAACCCCTATTTTTTATTGCATTTTTGGATTCTACGTGAAATTTCACTTCTTTTGATACCCATATATCGATATCTACCATTTATGGTTTTTAAGTTATTTTGACTTTAAGAAAAAAAATGGCGGATTCAGATGGTACCTTGATAATTGATTACTTGAAAACGGTTGTAGTCATGGCAACCTATTTTTATCAGTGCATAGAGAATGAATAGGGCTTTCTTTTAGTGCACTTAAAAAAAGTTAAGTTGCGTACGACCGCCCCTATGGATATCCAATTTATGAAACTTCAAAGACTAAAAACTCAGTTTTTTTAAATGGAATGACCATGTTCTTACTATTCCATGAGATAGAGAATCGAAATGGGCATATTTTGACAATACATGTTCCTATAGCTATCTTTAACAGTTTCTGACTTATTCCCATTTTATTGAATTGACACTATTTTTTTCGGATTTTCTTTTTAGTAGTCGGCCATGATTTTATAACAATTGAATTTTAAACAAATCTAGTGACACTAATCCATCACCCACTGTTATAGGTTAACATAAGTTTTTCAAAAATCGAAAAATGACTCGCAGTGGTTTCACCTATTTTGGAATTTAATTGTTATTTATGGTGAAATGGGTAGAATCGCCGCGCGTGCTTTCCGTACATTCATTCGAAAACTAGAACGAAATTGTATAAATTTTGGAAATTTTGTACCCCCAAATGCACTACAAACCGTTGAAGCACAAGTGATACAAAGCTCTACAAGAGAATATTTAAGAAAATGAATTGAATTGCAAATGCAAGATTAACAAAATAAATTCAATGCAAAATATAAAAAACTTCGTTGAAACATTTTTGGTATGGAATTGTTGCTAGAACAGATATCGCATTACCTCTCTTAATTTCCAGACTTATACGTTGTTTAAGAAATTCAGTTGAACGACTCTGTTTAGATGTTTCAAAAATTTTCTGTCCTATATCCTTAATAAATAAGTTATTTATTAATGAATTATTTAGACTAGAACTAGAATCAATGGTATTAAAGAATCCATTCCTTGATTTGTTTAAAATTCGATTGTTATAAAATCATGGCCAACTACTAAAAAGAAAATGCGAAAAAAAATGGCATCAATTCCGAGATCAATTCAATGAAATGGGAATAAATCAGAAACTGTTAAAGATAGCTATAGGAACATGTAATATCAAAATATGCCAATTTCGATTCTCTATCTCATGCAATATTAAGAACATGGTCATTCCATTTAAAAAAACTGAGTTTATAGACTTTGAAGTTTCTTAAATTTGGATCTCCATAGGTGCGGTTGTACGCAACTTAACTTTTTTTAAGTACACTAAAAGAAAGCCCTATTCATTCTCTATGCACTGATAAAAATGGGTTGCCATGACTATAACCTTTTTCAAGTAATCAATTATCAAGGTACCATCTGCATCCGCCATTTTTTTTCTTAAAGTCAAAATAACTTAAAAACCATAAATGGCAGATAAGAACTGAAATTTGACGTAGAATCCAAAAATGCAATAAAAAATAGGGGTTGCCATTTAAAATAACGAAGTGTTTCCGGAAGTGCGGCCATTTTGAAAATATTTTACATAGATTCGGCCTTCAGAGTAACTCCTAAGTACAAATTTTCAAAAACCTACGTATTTTACTTTCCCAGAAACGTTTAACTAAATCTCCAAAAAAAACACCCTGTATACGGACACGGGTATAATATTAGCGTTTGCCAGCACGTCGCATGTTTTTTTTTTCGTTTTGTCTACTCTAAAAAGTTTCAAATGAAATTAACCGAGCGTACCCTTAGTTTACAAAAACAGGTGAGCGTGATGAGTATGAATCTAAGCGCTAAATTAGACGAGCTGCAACGCGGCGACAGACATTTAGAGACGACGGTGGCGCTATGCGAAATCCGTTCACAACTTCAAGAACTAACAAAGTCCGTCGAGTCGTGTCAATCGGAGGTGTCCGAGGTTAAGCGGGACATGGTGGCGATCAAGCAAGAACTGGACACCGTACAGCAGGTGAAGGAAGAAATAGAGGAGCTGAGAGAGTACGTCGATCGGCTCGAGGAGCACTCGCACCGCAGAAAATTGCGACTTCTTGAGCAGGTTCGAGACGAATCGGAGAACGAACGCGCGACATTCCTCAAACCGCCGCGTTTACTAATGCGCTTTCCTTTTTTAGGGCCTGACGTTCTTCCTCAGCTACTCGATCTTCTCGGCGGTTTTGGGCATGCTGCAATTCGGGTACAACACGGGGGTGATCAACGCGCCGGAAACCAACATCGAGTACTTCATGAAGGACGTCTATAAAAGTCGGTACGGCGAAGATCTGCAGGAGGAGGCCGTTCAGCGGCTGTACTCGCTCGCCGTGTCCATTTTCGCGATCGGCGGCATGCTGGGCGGCTTCATCGGCGGAATGGTGGCGAATCGCTTCGGAAGGAAGGGCGGGCTGCTTCTCAATAATATATTAGGAATAGGCGGGGGGTGCTTAATGGGGTGTACCAAAATATCAAATTCTTACGAGATGCTCTTCTTTGGGAGGTTCATCATCGGGGTCAATTGCGGTAGGTGACCTCTTCCACTCTCGGAGTAATCGCAGCGGTAATTATTGCAGGTTTAAATACGTCGTTAGTACCTATGTATATATCAGAAATTGCGCCTTTAAACCTACGTGGTGGTTTGGGTACAGTAAATCAATTAGCCGTAACCGTAGGACTTTTACTATCTCAAGTGCTGGGCATTGAGCAAATACTGGGGACAAACGATGGCTGGCCCCTGCTTGTGGGCCTGGCCGTTTGTCCCGCCTTATTACAACTCGTACTACTGCCAGTTTGTCCCGAAAGTCCTAGATATTTGCTCATTACCAAGCAGTGGGAGGAGGAAGCTCGCAGAGCTTTAAGAAGACTGAGGGCCAGCAATCAGGTCGAGGAGGACATAGAGGAAATGAGGGCCGAGGAACGCGCCCAACAGGCCGAATCGTCGATAAGTATGATGGAGCTCATCTGTTCGCCGACGCTACGATCGCCGCTCATCATTGGCGTCGTGATGCAGCTCTCCCAACAGCTGTCCGGTATAAATGCTGTAAGTATCCGTCCAAGAGCGCGCTGCCGGAGTGATGGGGATCAGCGTAAAAAACATGCCTTTAGATTTTTGTACAATTTTTAAAAACCGTTTGTTGTATCAGCCCAATTTCAGATATTCAGATTTTATTTGTCAATTTTTGGCAGCAAATTTGCCCAAAAATGGCGGTACGTTCTATATCTAGTGACTTTAGATTCCAGATTGCAGTTACGCCCCCTAGCGGTCATTTCAGAAATATTTTCCAGGTTTTGCTCGTGGCCGTTAATAAATTTGTTTTACCGCTAGCCTCTACGATGGATAGATTCTCAGATACAGTACCTCGCATTCTTAGTTGGCCGCCCTGTACGTGCTTGTTGTAAATATAGCGAAAGTCTCCGAAAGTTTCCGAAGGACGCGGCGAATTTTCGAGATAAAAACAAGATACTTAACAATGTTTTCAGTAAAGTCACTAGATATAGAAAGTACCGCAATCATCCGCCGTTTTTTGGCAAATTTGCTGCCAACTTAAAAAAATTGACAAATAAAATCTGAATTGCTGTCATTTTTTATAACCTAACTTCATAGTGCTGTCATGTTTTAAGGTACCTTTACACTATAATATATCTCACATGATTTTTTATATGATATGTTATATGATATTTACTGCCAACATATTTTTCATATGAGTTTTAATGTTTTACTTTACACTTGACAGGTTTTTCATATGACTTTAATACAAGAAGTTACGAAACCTATATAACTTCTCTAAATTAAAATGTTCCAAGTTCCAAGATTGGGCTACTAGTTAAAAAGTTACAGCCCTTTGAATTTTCTTTCGAAATTGGTTTCTAGTCTATAACTTTTGATTGAGAAGTCTGAACGAAAAAGTACGAATTGTTTTGGATTCTACGCACCAAAATTAATACGAAAAAGTGTTTTCCCGCCATTTTTGGGCAAAAATCATGCGTTCTCTCTCTAACACACGAGCCCAATGGATTGCGGTACTTTCTATATTTAGTGACTTTAGTTTTCAGACAACATTAACGCCATCTGCCGTTACCCGTCTGATTTTGAAACGGTAACAATCTAAACTAAAGGCAATAAGCTTCCCCACCGCTCTGGCAGCGCCCTCTTAAGTACTTCGTTTCACTAATCACGCACCTTTCAGGTCTTCTACTATTCGACAAGTTTATTCACGAGTTCGGGCCTATCGGACGAAAGTGCAAAGTTTGCGACGATTGGCATAGGAGCGATAATGGTTGGAATGACTCTAGTCTCAATACCACTGATGGATCGTACCGGAAGAAGAACGCTGCATTTGTACGGGCTGGGCGGAATGTTCATATTTTCGATATTCATTACCATCTCGTTTTTAATAAAGGTTCGTTTGGTTGCACCGGCTTAAATCTAGTGCAAAATTGCCGATCGGCAATTTTGCACGCATACTTTAATTACTGATTTTCTCCACAAGTGTGCTGCGTATATACAGCACTTCTCTAGTACATTCACGATAGAGGCTTACTAAATTGAAAATAACGTGGCCGTTTTAAGACACGGCAAACGATTTTCTTTCGCTGTAGATTGCTTTGAAATGTACACGAGAAAACCGAGGGCTAGGCGACAAAACATAATTTTTTTGTGCCGCTGTTCTGCAAAGGTTTGTATAAATGCAATATGCGACGAGAAGTACATATCGCATTTCTAATTGTCCCCGCACGTTTAGATTTGCGTTTGCTACACCTCACTCGTTAATTCATTTGACACTTTTACATCCGACCTCGCTTTTTATGACTCATTCCCTCTGTTGACAACTACTTTCCGGACAGGTGGAGGAGGGACACTGTATATAACGCTAACACGGCTCTGAAAGATTACCTACACGATTTTGTTTTGCATGCACGCATATCTTAAGCTAGTGAGTGAACGAATAATCCGCTCCAGTAGTATTTATATGATTTTGGTGCTCACTCCTCCCAGTCGGGAAAGAACATAAATACTACTGCCTGATAGGAGTTTTTTGGCTACGTGCAGGAAATGATCGATTGGATGTCCTACCTGTCGGTCGTCTCGACGTTAAGTTTCGTCGTATTCTTCGCAGTCGGACCCGGCTCGATTCCGTGGATGATCACCGCCGAGCTGTTCTCGCAGGGACCGCGTCCGGCGGCGATGTCCATCGCCGTTCTCGTGAACTGGATGGCCAACTTCCTTGTCGGCATTGGATTTCCAAGTATGAAGGTAAGTCCGATTGTTAATTGTACAAATCTTACTATTGCGAGCTCGAAAACACGCACTTTGTTAAGATCTTTCGGGCGGGAAGATATAAGCTTGTGCTTAAGTGGATTAGGCCTACTGGGGAAACCACTTAAAAAAACGCGCCGTGTACTTGGGTGGTGTGGAAACAAGTATAGCATTTTAAATCGAAATTAATTGATCATAAATTATTAACATGAATTAATCGATTAATTGAATAAAAGATATGCCATTATTTCGTGATAAATATTTACTAGGAACATGAAACTTCCTCCTCTTTAATTTTGCGCTCTACATACTTTTTCGAAAAACGCATAGTTTTGGAGATATTTGCAAAAAACCTTTTTTTTGGGCGCCATCTTGGCAAGATGGCGGCATGTCTCGGATGTGAATTTTAGTTTTATATCCCAAAACCTATAAACCTACAAAGTTTCAAAACTTCCAGACTTATTTCCAGGTAAAAATCCCCAATGACTGGCCTATAATAGACCCGCGAGTTTGAAGATGTTCTTCCTGGAATTTTATACAATTATGGCTCCAGTGACTCCCACACAGGCGAGTTTCTCAAGCTTTCCTAGCTGCTTCCTGTAGGTTGCCCTGTGCATGGTAGGCCACCATACAAGTGCGCCGTAAAGTATTATTGGTCGGTGGCGTATTTACGGGGGGGAGGGGGGGGGGGAGGGGATATATCCCCCCCAGAAGAGTTGAGTTATCATCATAGCTATTAGGTATTTAGGTAATACGAAAATAAGAATTTTAATTTTTAGAAACAGGAATTTTTTTGCCCATAACTTTTGATCGAGACGTCTAATCGAAAAAGTACGAATCGTTTTGGATTCTACGCACCCAAATTAATAAGAAAAAGTTTTTTCCCGAGAAATTTTGGTGCAGTCGATTTTTGGTAAAAAAGGAAGGTAATACACTGCCTTTTTTTTGCCCAGAAAAAAAATTGTCTCAGATCGACCCGGAAAAAAACATTTTCTTATAGAATGTGGCCTGTAGAATCCATAATTTCAAACAGTTCCAAGATTGGGCTACTAGTTCAAAAGTTACAGCCCTTTGAATTTTTTTCTAGTCTATAACTTTTGATTGAGAAGTCTGATCGAAAAAGTACGAATGGATTTGGATTCTACGCACCCAAATTATTAAGAAAAAGTGTTTTCTCGAGAAATTTTGGTGTAGTCGATTTTTGGAAAAAAAGGAAGGAATAACACTGCCTTTTTTTGAGCCCCGAAGAAAAAATTGTCTCAGATCGACCGGAAAAAAATATTTTCTTATAGAATGTGGCCTGTAGAATCCATAATTCCAAACGGTTCCAAGATCGGACTACTAGATCAAAAGTTACAGCCCTTTGAATTTTTTGTCGAAATTGGTTTTTTGCCCATAATTTTTGATGGAGACGTCTAATCGAAAAAGTACGAATCGTTTTGGATTCTACGCACCCAAATTAATAAGAAAAAGTTTTTTCCCGAGAAATTTTGGTGCAGTGGATTTTTGGTAAAAAAGGAAGGTAATACACTGCCTTTTTTTGAGCCCAGAAGAAAAAATTGTCTCGGATCGACCCGGAAAAAACATTTTCTTATAGAATGTGGCCTGTAGAATCCATAATTTCAAACAGTTCCAAGATTGGGCTACTAGTTCAAAAGTTACAGCCCTTTGAATTTTCTTTCGAAATTGGTTTTTTTTCTAGTCTATAACTTTTGATTGAGAAGTCTGATCGAAAAAGTACGAATGTTTTGGATTCTACGCACCCAAATTAATAAGAAAAAGTGTTTTCTCAAGAAATTTTGGTGTAGTCGATTTTTGGTAAAAAAGGAAGGTATACACTGCCTTTTTTTGAGCCCCGAAAAAAAAATTGTCTCAGATCGACCGGAAAAAAATATTTTCTTATAGAATGTGGCCTGTAGAATCCATAATTCCAAACAGTTCCAAGATCGGACTACTAGATCAAAAGTTACAGCCCTTTGAATTTTTTTTCGAAATTGGTTTTTTGCCCATAACTTTTGATTGAGACGTCTAATCGAAAAAGTACGAATCGTTTTGGATTCTACGCACCCAAATTAATAAGAAAAAGTTTTTTCCCGAGAAATTTTGGTGCAGTCGATTTTTGGTAAAAAAGGAAGGTAATACACTGCCTTTTTTTGAGCCCAGAAGAAAAAATTGTCTCGGATCGACCCGGAAAAAAATTTTCTTATAGAATGTGGCCTGTAGAATCCATAATTTCAAACAGTTCCAAGATCGGACTACTAGATCAAAAGTTACAGCCCTTTGAATTTTTTGTCAAATTGGTTTTTTGCCCATAAATATACCTATTATTCAAAGTTTTCGTTGACTAATTAAAGCAAAAGCAATAAAGGGGCCTGTCAGCAGTAAGAAATAAAAAACCGTTCTAATCTAATCTTTTTCGCCTGTACAATAATAAATAGATAAATGACTACCAGCATCAGCAACCTTCAACCCAATTTCTATTTCTTACCCCCTCCCCCCCTTCTATTACGCACTGGGTGACTGTATGTGCCACGAACTTGTTTAATCCCCCCCAGAATGCATTTCTACGTACGCCACTGTTATTGGTCAATATACCCGTTGAGGAGACAAGCCCCATGTGCGACCAAAAGCCTTTCTACATGCCCATAGACATCCAGTGGTCTTTTTTGCTTATTCCCTCATAATATGCAAAGATGTTCAATAGGACATTCTATGACGGGGTGACATTTCAAATGCAATATACATGATCAATATGACAAGCACAGTTAAACAAGACACAAAACCCATTTTCTGTCTTTAGAAAACGTTAAAAAAATTGCGACTTCTATACAGTATTTCCTGTGTGGTTTTGTAAATTAGTAAATAGAAGTGGCTCTAGAAATACTACCTCGAGGAACTCCTCCTGTGATGGTTAATCGCCTACTATATTTAACCAAAGTGCTTCTTTACACTGTTGCCATGAATAATTTTAAACAGTTCGCTTAACTTAAAACTACAATAAAAATATAAACAATTTTATTACGAACATTAAAATATATACAGAAATAACAGACTTACTCATCGAATAAATAGAATAGGCGTATGATCAGATCAGTAACCGTGCTTGACGTTCTTAACGATCGCATTGAAGCCGTTGTGCTTATCGGCGGTATATTGAACGATTCTCTTCGACCCGTCGGCCTCCAGAAGTGTGTACTCGCCCTTGACGTTATCACCGTCGCGCGTTTCCCACTGGCTTTTAATGTCGTGCGTATGCAAATCGTGCACGGCGTAATCGTAGTGGTAATTGGGATGCGCCTGAAAGCGATAAAAAGAAATTGGGGACGCCTCTTGAATTGTAATAAAGAGAAATGTCATTAGCCAGCTTTCAACCCGCACGCGCGTTATTAATTAAATCGCACACTTACGTGGTAGTCGATGTGGTCTTCGTGGTGATGATTCCCAAGATGATTACCGTCGAAGTATTCGCCTAGGTGTCCGTAACTTTCGCCGCCTCCTAGGGCGTTCGCGGCCACAACGATTGCGGCGATGCTCACCTGACAAAATCAATAAGGAGTAAAGACAATGGCAATCTACAACACTTACAAGACACTGCATGGCTGTATATGTAAAGATTTGCACTGAACTGATTACTCCCTGGATAATTTAGAGCATTTATACTCGAGCTCTCGTGAAAGGAATTTCTTCATTTTTTCCTTGCGAGGTTCCTCCACTTTTCTACCACCAGGCCAGATATACAAACTACGCTCAATTAGCATATATAAGGTATACGATCATACACGTATAGGTAGAAGACTTTCCCTCAACTTCCTTAACCATGCTCATTCTAAGCGAACGATATTTGCATTCAATTTAATATTTCAACAGTGGAGGCCTTCGGAATCCTTTTTCTCGCACGAGCGATCCCCTAATTTGTGCTACAAACTGCCGTCCGAACAGGTTGGCGATTTCCAATTGTATGTTAATTTCTTTCCTGTGTTGGTATTCGTGTTGCACAACTGAACATGTCATCAACCCTTTTCCTTAGTCGCAATCGTAACTGGATGTGCCGTTTTCAAATTTTTAACGTACATTTTGTGCTTTAAAAAATAATGGTAAACTACCGACATGCGGCAGGTTTTTTCTGCATAAAGTGGATTGAACCTCCCCTTCTTGAAATAAAATTTTTTCTGGTATGTTTTAAGCTATTAAACGGATGCAACCAAAACAATTTAATTTGTACAATTCAAAATTGAACACTACCTTTCTTAAAAGAATGTTTCCTGCAGCTGGTGGTTTCGGTTTCATGCAAAATTGAATCGGTTTCTTCGGTGAAATGGATACTTCTTAGATTACCCTAGTTCGAAATTGAATAGCCGTCCGACGTTTCAAAATTTTCGCATCTTTCGATCAAAATGTTTTCAGTATCCGAGATCCTCGTGATATTTTTTTGGAAATGCGCCACTGAATACTCCCAGGATATAAACATTGGGCGGACCTTTTCCAAAAAACTACCATTTAGATCTTACAGATGTTAAAACTGTTAAAGTGAATTCGTAATACCAGGGGTCTGGAGGTAAACTACCCCCCCCCCCTTCCTCTTAGAAAAGGATGGCCTTTTTCAAAAAAATCATGCAAAATCCGGATTGCTGTGATCATTTTGGTAGAAAACGTAACAGGTAATATCCTCCAGGGAAAAAGGAAGATGGCCCTTTGCTAAAAAAACATTCAGATACTGAGAACTACACTACCTCAAAATTTCTTCAAGCCCTAAGAAGAAAAGCTGCGGAAAACCGTGAAATATTCTTCCTCCAGGGGAGTAGTGAATCATCTCGTGTTACGTTTTCTGCCAAAATTTCCAGGATTTTCATGATGGTTTATTTAGGAAAGGGTCACTACTAATATTTCTTTTCTCGGGGGGATATCTCATCTTCTCAGCCTGTTTACATTTTCTTGGTTTCCAGGTAAATTCTACCAATCCTTGGTCAAAACATGGCGGATCTCCCAACTACCAATAGAATACCACCGTATGACCACACTGTCTCGATGTATAGAGCTTAGACCATACATGGACTGCTAATTGTAACTAAAATATGGTCGAGGACATCGCCTGGGTGTGTGAGTTTCAGGGTAAACGAGTCTGTCCGAAATTGTCCGATGAGACACGATTTGTCAACCTGTAAATTAACAAATGTCAATTAATTAATCGCCTAGATATGGCCAAAAAAGCAAAGCTGTTCGTATTTGTGGACGTATAGAAGACAATCAAGAGTATTTAAAGTTTCCCGTACTACGCGGTTACTATAAAAGCTACTCTTTACGCAATCCGAGTGGTGTTCATACGACTTTAGTTTACCCTGAGATTCACATACCCACAACTATAGTGCCCTCTATCCGTGACCACCCATTTTGTATTGAAAGCATAGGGCTAATAGCAGTCCATGTACTATTATATATGGTCTAAGGTATAGAGTCACTGTACTGTGAAGTAAAGTCACTAGATATAGAAAGTACCGCAATCATCCGCCATTTTTGGGCAAATTTGCTGCCAACTTAAAAAAATTGACAAATAAAATCTGAATAGCTGTCAATTTTTTATAACCTAACTTCATAGTACTGTCATGTTTTATAAAAATATATACAGATATCTCCAAACAGGTCATGTACTCGTGCAATGTAACAAATAACAATAGATCCACGAAGTTGGTACAGGAAACTGTCGGTCTCACATATTTCTGGAAAGCACTAACGAAAGGTCAAACAGTCAAAAATAACGTAGTCTTAAAAATCGCACTTCTATAGGAACAAGGAGAAGCGCAAATCACTGGGAGATTGAGAAGGGACTTCATTTCAAAGGATGGGGACATCTAACGGAAGAATTTTACAACACATGCTACAGGATGTTTACAAATAAAATTGGAACAATCCCTAACATTACAGTACTAGAATCTGGCCACTTCTGCCATTTTTGGGCAAAAATCATGCGTTCTCTCTCTAACACACGAGCCCAATGGATTGCGGTACTTTCTATATTTAGTGACTTTACTGTGAAGCTTCAGAAAACGCCCTCTAACAGCGCATGAAAATGAAGGAGAAAGAAAATTTGTTTAGAAATATTTTAATGCCCTTATAAAACACTAACAAGCGCTTTATTTAAACCTCCAGACTCACTGGGCATAGAAACGAATCTAGGAATTTTTTAAAAGGGCGTTGACGTTTGTCCAGATCTGACTTTTTTAGAATGGAACTGACCTAGTTTTCCCGATTTCTCAAAATTGGGCTATTTTTGAAAAATGGTACCCCAAATCAAATTTAAACCCCGTGGACAGGTGTATTAGACATTATTCACAAGAGAAGTCTTGAAGACTTCCGTAATTAAAAAACTACATACACAACGAGGCATTTTGTTGATAACAAAACAAGATTTCAATTAGGAAATTAATGAACACGTGCGTAATTGAAAGCAAGTGCCGTTTCAGGAAAGTCGCCTTGAACTTGTCAGGTTGTTATGGCGGTGAAAATACTTTCTCCGTAAAATGTTTACACCTTTTGTTGGCGGTTGCGTAACGACAAAAGTTCAAAATCTGGCGCGTCGAATAATTAGAATTAGAAGAACAAAAATTGTGTGTGAAAGTAATTCCGAGTTGCGTTCGATCGTTATGCGCGTGTTCCAATTAGTGTTGCACTATAAATTCCAACCGGTAATTATGTTATTCAATTTTTTGAGAAGAACGTCAAAACATCAAATTAACAAATTCGCTAAAGCACGCTTTCCTTACATAAATTGCTCATAAATTACCGACGAACACAATATCATAAAGGCGCATTGTTGCGCCAAGGTCGTAGTGGAATTAATTAGCAATTTATACGCGGTATACCTATAAGATTCATCAAATTTCGGTAACGAAAGGAATTTCTCTTTATTTATGCAAAGAGGGCAATTAATGCAAATTTAAGGAAATAATTACAACTGCATAACATGTAACATGCTTAAATGCCTAATAAGCAGCACTGTAATTGTAACAGTTTTGAAACTTCCGCGTTTCGTCGTCGGGCACCATTCTAAACAACCGAAAATCCTCTTTTGGCATTGCCATATACTCCGCCTGTTCCCGCATCACCTAAAATAGGAGCCCTTGGTGTCCTTTTACTTAGGTGAGAGCGTACCTTCCGTCGTCATGATGCAGCCTAATCCCCCCAGGACTGGTGAGTATTCCAATTTCCATACCTGTTTAGGATTCAGAACTCTCATGACAGTTCCCGAAGCAAGATTATAAGGTCGCTTCTTCTCCGTACTACAGAGAACGTACAACAGGGAGGTGTGGGGGGGTATGGAATACCTCCCAGCAACGAAAGAATCGATGACCATTTTTGAAAAATTGTGTTAAAAAGGGGGGGGGGGTTCAAAACCACCCAACATAGAACTCGATAACTCTTTCCTCATGAACCTTAGTTTAGTACCCCTATGGTAGTGGAAATGGCAATGGAACTGTCGTCTACTGTGGGGGAGGGGGGGGGGCGGTAACGCTTTTTTTACAAATTGTTTGGGGTTCAGAACTCTCATGAGAAGGATTACAACATCCTCTATGGAAGAAGACCGTGAGGTGAGTGGGAATAACAGAGGTCCCGGCGGAAGGAGAGGTAGAAGGAGCTATCCAACCACCGCGCGTGCCGAGATTCAAACCGTTAATATCCACCGCCCGTCGCCCAAACTAACCCCGCAACCAGCAGCACACCACAACCATCGCCCACAACAGTCAATTTACCACCACCACCAACAACAACAACAAACCCTTCGCGACTTCAATTCTTTCTGTATGAATTTGCCTTTTTTTATGTCCGTGCAGAGGTAAATGCTGGAGTATTAAAATTACTTCGCGACATTCATCTTAAGCCCAAGGTTACCGTATCCAGGACCTCCAGATACCTTCTGGATTGGAGAAAGTCCCGCTAATTGGCAAAGTATTTTATTGACTGTATGTAAGGGACTTCAGTCAGATTTTAATTATTCAAATTCAAGAGTTCACATTTTGTATATTGCAGATATTGCTTCAGATTTTTCACCTGTATTTACCCTCCGTTAACAATGATTCAGAATTTTCTTCGGACTGTAACCGTGAACAGTAAAAGTCGGACCCCGTCCTCATTGCGTAGGTACCTTTGAGGCATTGTAGTTACGCCACTAGCTCCTAGGGCAAACGCACACTCTCCTATCGATCATCGTTCGCTCTGGCGAAAACCAAGAACTTGAGAAAAAGCAACTCGGGCGGGTGTGCTACGAGAGTAACAGAAAGAAGACATGGCCCAAACCGACAAGCAGTAGAAGGCCATGACTAGAGCTACTAGACAAGGGCTCATATGCTGGATCAACATGCCAATCAGCAAAAGCCACTCGCTCTCGATCGTGCATCAAGAACACATCGCCTTGTTGGCTCGCTCCACATGAACATGAAGACCCGCCTCCGAGCCTGGAGCACTTTGTTGACAGCTCTCTCGTCACTAATTCAACTTGACACATAATTTTTTTGTGATTCTCCGATCAGGCTCGCCCTTTCCTACCATTCGTAGTTGGTGAGTCTGCAGGAGTAAATTAGGCACATTTTTCCTCTAAGTATCAAAGAGGCCGATGCTTTTTGGCAAACTCGCAAAATGAAATTAAACGCGGTTAATGCGCAATTTTTCAAGGTACAAAAGCGAAAGAAAAATGTTCTCGAGCAATTAGCGTAAGTGCGCTTCTGGAGGTAATTGTCTTAACGCGCGCGTCGTAAAACCAATCCACTCGGCGGACCATTAATCTTAACGACGGGCCGCAGATATTTATCAATTATTATTGCATAAATGCATAATTGACGGAAACGCTTTCGAGTGACATAATTGAACAGTTTACGATCGACTACTTTCGAGTGGGCGGCCAATTTCCATTAAGATCATTTTTTTCCGTGCGCGCTCTGATAATTTTAAACGTGTGGTCAACTTCCTGATGTAATTACGCTTTTTGTTGCAGAGCACGTTGGAAAATTACACGTTTCTTCCGTTCAGCGTGTTTCTCGCCATTTTCTGGATATTTACTTATAAGAAGGTGCCGGAGACGAAGAATAAAACGTTCGAGGAGATTTTGGCGCTTTTCCGGCACGGAAATGGGAGGTAAGTGAGTTTCAGCTCTTCGCTAACTTCACTAATCCCAATTCTGCAACGAGAAGGACTAGCTTACGAGACAGCAGGCTGTACGGGTGAGTGTCGGCATGGGTTCGGCATGTTTCTTTTCGGCTTTGCACGTAGAACCTACTATTCTTCCTAGTTCATTTTTGAAGAGCGGGAGTTTGGGCGACTGTTGAAACTGCCACTCTCCCGCCCGACTGTTATTCACTTTCTGACTTCAATTCTGTACGGAATTGAGACGCGAAGGAATTTAGGTCAGAACTGTCGCTCGGCACGCGTTTTCCGGGCCGGGTCCGGAACCCGGGATGTTCGGGCGAGCCTTCCGTTGTAGTGCATGATTTTACACACGTATTTTTTACCGCGCGCAAACGGCCGACGTTCCATCGTTTTTTAACGTTCGCCGTACCAGCGCGGTATAACTACGTGTTTTGCTGACCGTTGCTTCAAGACAGTCTTCGGGCCAGCCTTACGCGTTGCGTTAACAAGTGTTTACCATGGCCGTGCCGCAGAGGCCGTTCCGAAGGGCGGCCCTCGTTGGATAGGGCCCGAGCCCCCGCGCCACTCAGCGCTCTGTCCTGGACCTGGCCGGATTCGCAGCCCTGACGGTGGGTTTCCATTATTATACCAATTATTTGTACTTTCTTCAGGTGTACAGTTTGCAAAATGACCCGTATATCCACTTTCAACATAAATCGCAAGGATTTTGATGTTAGACCTGTGTTTACTATCGCAACGCAAGTGCAATTAGCATTTTACCACCCTTCTTCTACATATCCTTCTTCCAGTTCCTTAAATTCTTGCGTTCCTATGGCCTAAATGGCCCTAGCATGGGCGCGGCCATGATGTGCACGTTTTAGTTATTTTCTAGGGGAATTTTCCTAGTGCTCAAGTTTTGAGACTATTGCAGCCTTGGAAAATGACATGTGTCACAGTAATTTATTTAGAAAACGTGAGGTTAATGCTTGTTTATTAGTTGATTTGAATTTCGCGCACATCATTGCTGCCCCCATGTAGGTGTCATTTGTCAATTCAGCATTAGCAGTCCATCTTAATTTATAAGTTCGTGGTTTTTTTACTGAATCCAAATCTGTAATTAAAAAAACAAAACAACATCGCATTTTTGAGATAATAACCAAAATGCGACTCTTCTATATGGAACACCCTGTAAATTATTACATCATATGACAGCTTAAATTGTCCACAAAAGTTCTTAATGCATCATATCCAAAATACTTCAAATAACCAGGATTTTTCAATTATCTATCGTTTGGGATATACAATGTGTCCATTATAAGAGTGAACAACATAGGGCATCTGAATCCATAAGCGATACATAGTCGGTTAAATGAGAAAAACGTACCCTGCAAGATGGCGCCCACAGATTTTCACTGCGACGTTTGGTCTTTGAGAAACAATCAACTTCATATTTTTATATGGACCTGTAAAGAAGTACAAATTCCGAATGTTTAAAACATCATTTTACTAAGCCCCAAAATACGCGTCTTATCTTGGACACACTGTATAACTTATTCACACAGTCTTCGAAAAAAGACTTTTGAAGAATATCCCAAGAACATAATTTAGAAGAACAGATGAAAAACCTCAGTCTGAAGACTCTTTGAGGAACCAATACTTTTTATAAAGAATTTCCAAATTTCTTTAAAGAAGCTTTCTATTGGGAACTTAGTAAATATGTTTTTTAATCAATGAATTTCTGGATAATTTCTAGATTAAAGAAGAGTTAAATAGAATAGCCTTGAGCTAAATTTCGCCAGAGAACATGTTCAATAAAGATGATTTATTATTATTATCATTGTAAAAATACTGAAAACCTTTAAAAGGCCTTTGACAGCCTTTATTACCTATGGTATTAAGAGCTCTTTAAATCTTTTTAGTATTCTGAAACTTTTAAAGGGTTAGGGGGGCTTTTATTAAAGAACTATGAAAGCGTTTAAGCACCTAAAGGCATGTTAGAGGCTCTATTTAGCTCCTTACAGACTAATGACGGATTTAAAAAAAAGTTTCAAGGGGATTCCAACCGCCTTCGCCTTCCTAAGGTCCTTTCCAATTTTTTCTATGCCTTCTTCAGGCTCAAACACTTATAAATATCCATAAAATGTCCAAAACGCCCTGGAAAAGTATTACAAAGTTCAGAATTTTATATACACTGCGTCCTAGATAAGGAGGATCATTATGGGTATTCTAGAAACGGTAAGAGATAAGTACATATTTGGTTAAATATGAAAAAAGTGGTGCAATCAAATGGCGTTTTGAAATCCCTAAAAATTTTTTTGTTTTTGAATTTTTAAAAAAATCCGATTTTGGCGTTAATATTTGATCCAAATCAAAACCACGTCATTCTCCACAGTAACTTTTAATGTTCTTTAAGGTGGCTTGTTAATTTTCCAATCCGACGTTTCATCTTCGCGGAACCATCATCAACTTCATTTTTTTGAATTCGGCCCCGGAGAGATTCAGGATCTACCGAGGTGCTATTGCAGCTTTACCCAGGTCTTGTAATCAGTGTTCGGTGACAGCCTCACACCGGCAGATGACGTGTCCGCAGTCTCTTCCCCCTCTAAGCGGAGGCGACATGTGTTGTCCTTGGCTACCCCGATTTCTTGAGATACTGACCTTAGTTCACTTCTGCCGAATGCTAGCAGCGAGCTGGTTTTGGTGCTGACTGCTTATCACTCCTCCATCTAGATTTGGTGGTGCTCCCACAGTCGGGCTACGATCCAATTTGGGGATGTTTAGTGCCGGCCTTAGCCTTAGTCCTTTATTTAACATAAAACGCACTTAAATAAATATAAACTGAATTCAAAGATTAATCGTAAAATCGTCTCTCTAATTTTTACACCCTCACCTACACCCACGCGCGATCTTCACTTCTTTTTTCTCAGCACACGTTTCACCTTGATTAGGTTCGCCTTACTGTCATTCGCCAATTCTGTTAGGAGTGTTGAGACTGCCACCAGGGGGCACCACTAGGAAGTTGACAGACGGCTAGTCAGATATCGCTAAGCGCTGAAGAGGTTTTTTACTTCGGTACGTGGCAGTCAGGACCAATGCTACCCAGGTTTTCTCTCTAGCTGCCCGCTTCTTCTAAGACCTTCGGTTGCGCAACTTTTTCCACATTTAACCAAATTTGTATCTCGAACCGTTTCTAGAATGCCCATAGTGCCCTTCTTTATATCGATCTTAGACTTGGGAATGATTCCCTTAAACTTCAAGTCACTAGATATAGAAAGTACCGCAATCATCCGCCATTTTTGGGCAAATTTGCTGCCAACTTAAAAAAAATTGATAAATAAAATCTGAATAGCTGTCATTTTTTATAACCTAACTTCATAGTACTGTCATGTTTTATAAAAATAAGTATATAGTTCAATGAAAAATATATACAGATATCTCCAAACAGGTGGAACAATCCCTAACATTAAAGTTACTAGAATCTGGTAACTTCCGCCATTTTTGGGCAAAAATCATGCGTTCTCTCTCTAACACACGAGCCCAATGCATTGCGGTATTTTCTATATTATAGTGACTTTACTTAAACTTTTCCTATTCTGGAATGGACTTGAAAAGATCTAGAAAGCTGTGGAAAATGGCAGAGACAGTATTGCCATTTTCCTATGATTTTCATCCTATACTGTCCCAATTTCTATACAAACTTATCCGGTTACCTACTTCCAGCTTTTATAGTTGCTTTAAGGTTGTGAAATAAATACTCTTCCTCGCACATGCACTAAACAAATGGACTCGGTGATGCGATACCCTAACAATATAGCTTCGATTAGGCGGCATTGGGATTTGGGAATGTTACCTCTTGTAGGTAGTGCGAATTTGGGCTTTGGTCCAACTGACGACAACGGCAGCCTAGTAATGTTGATTTTTTAAGTTCTAGTGATGAAACCCTACCGGCCGACAAGGGCGCGCAATCGACGACCAGCGAAAAAACTAAGTTGTAGTTGTTGGAAGTGGTTATACATTGAAATTGAGGATCGCATAAAATATTTGTATTGCTAAATGAATAAAACGTAATAATTGTAAGGTTACAGAAGTGCTTGTGTTTCTAGGAGTATGCTAAATTGTGTAAACGCTCTCGAACATCTTCCTGGCACCGAACAAACTGCCGGGGAGGAAAAACCTCAGCACGATTCATGTAAGGACTGTTACTGTTGTAATTGCTGCATTGTGGCATGTTTTATGTGTTTATGCACAATTTTATTTTATACATATATCGATCTATTTTTTAATTACACATTTTGTTACATTATTTCTTTGTAGTTTTTATATACTAGCGACACCTGGTGAAATATACATAAATGTGAAGCACATCAAAAGCTTTGCCGAAAAACGATATTGATTTTTAGTCTATTTCAATTAGTTTCCAATCCATTTGAGCAACAATTATTCAGAAGCGCGTACGGTTACTGCTCTCGAAGCCATCACTCTTTTACAACCGTACCAGGTATGGAATAATTATGATGCGCACCACACTGTACACAGTTTTTTTTATTAGGTACACACCTGTAATAGTTTTTGACTAGGCACTTTTGAAGGCTGTAGGGGCACTTTAAGGTCATAAAATACTTTGGTTTATTTCAAATTAATTGTCGAGGTAAACGAATTAAATGGAAGGCCCTTACACCTTCAGCTTAAATTTCTGTTTGTGTGAACCTGTCACTTCTTCTCAAAACGTCACTTTCACTCAGCTATGTACCATTGTTGTCTTTTGTAAATGTTTAACCCCAATTTCTTCTGTATATGTGACGAAGACGAATGGCGGTTCACAAGCCACAACGGCATAGGACTTTACTCACGAGAGAATATTCACATTTATATTTTTCGCAAGGGGAATGCATCGTGCGATAGTCACAGCATGTGTGAGTCAAACTGCATGCCGTTGTAGTTACGATTAGGCATACAAAGTGGTGGTGAACACACGATACGACAGGGCAGACACTGATCTTATCGGGGCTAGATAAGACGTTTTACTTTATTCGGTGCACAATTAGGAGTAGCAATATTTGAAGGTGGCCATGGTTTTCTTGCTTTCACAAATTGTGGGTCATGGAGGGAATATGAAAAAAAAACCATTGCAACCCAAATGAGGAATTGTAACAAACAAAAAGGTTGGGTCGCTCGAGATGAGGGGGAAACCACTTATACTGTCGGCATACAACCACAGCTTACTTACTATCCAGCTGCACAACTCTGTCTATCTCGTTTTTGATTGGTCGTTGGTTCCGGTCGTCATGTTGGAGCTAAATTCCAAACTGGCCAATGGAAAGCCTCCAAAACGACGCGGTACACTCCGTGCTATAGTTATTAATTATACTATTTTGACAAAAAAATGTTTTATGGTTTCAGGTACACGTAAATTAGAACTGCGGAATTCAACTGTACTGATGTAAACCCCCATTTTACCTAGGTCCCACAAGCCAGCAGAGCCATTTTAGAAAAATGAAGGAAGAAATACATCAGAATTATAGGCCCTTTTTGGACACTTGAACAAATTTCCAGGCGGCATCCTTTAAACAAAAAAACTATGATTTTGCTGGCTAGCGGATCACATGTGCGATACGCTATGCGCGTGCGCAAAATTTTTGCCTTGTAATTAATATCGATCCATTAACAGTGACTGTATAAAGACAGTGTGGTCATATGCTCTATATTCTCCCATGTTTTTCCCATATTCTTCATTGAGCTGATCGGTTTAGTTGAATTGGTAGATTTTGGCATTTTTCTATGGTTACAATGTTATTGCCACTTGACTTGATCACCTTGGATTCCAAGTTAATTTCCGCCAACCCGATTTATTTGGTTAAAATATGGCGGATATCCCACCTACCAATAAAAAAAACAATACCAAAGTATGACCATACTGCCTCTATACAGTCACTGTAGATCCATTATAAGTCACAGAAAGTACCGCAATCCATTGGGCCCGTGTGTTAGAGAGAGAACGCATGTTTTTTGCCGAAAAATTGCGGAAGTTACCAGAATCTAGTAACTTTAATGTTAGGGATTGTTCCACCTGTTTGGAGACATCTGTCAAGAAGGTATTTGAAATTTGAATTTTCTTTTACTAATAAATCAAATATATGTATAGCAAGTTGTTGTGTTTCAGGTTTTAAAAAAAGTAATGTTAAAAGTGTCTGAGTTGCATCTTCTCTTGTATTATAGGAGAAGAAAAGTTGAAACGATATTCCTGAATTGGAAAGAAGTAAAAAAAAATTAAACTTATCCGTCTCATTATATTATTAACGAACCTCGAGATCGTTTATAATTTTATATTGCTGCTGTCTGTCAGTGTGTAGAAACGTCCCATCGCTTTAAAAATTGATATACACATGTTGTTCAGGACATAACAAAGTTCGCAATTGTTTTTCGGCTACGTAGACCAACGGGCCAAAAAGTTACAGACCAAAAACTGCGCAAACCTCCAAAAAGGGTTTCTAACTCTTGTTACAAAGAACATAAATGAATGTCCGGTTTTCTGTTCCTTAAACTTCAGGCAACTATGCAGATGCAAACAAATACTGCGCATGCGCATAACAACTTTTGTATTTGCGCAATCCTAATTTTTTATTTGTTAATATATTTAAATGAAATTCTGTATCTAGGCACCTCGAATAAAAGTGAAACTAATTCCATTTCAAAAAATTTGTGTTACAAGCTATGCTGATCAGGTGGGACAGAATCAACCCCTTAGGGTGTATTGTAAAAATGATGTACGTGTGAAGATCTCGAGGATCGTTTGGTATTCAGTTGTATCTGATTTTTGAAATGTAAGTTAGAGTTTAAATAAATATATTAATTGGGCGAGAGCCCGTTGAGGGCCCAAAACGAGAGGGACAATAAATAAATAATTTTTATTTATCCACTACATCTTCGAGAGGGGCAAAATCAAACTGATCTGGATGATAGGTTTTTTGTTTAAAGGATGCCGCTTGAAAATTTGTTCAAGTGTCTAAAAAGGGCCTATAATTCTGATTTATTTCGTCCTTCATTTTTCTAAAATGGCTCTGCTGGCTTGTGGGACCTATTTTACCTTGTCCACCTTCCATAAGGCTCGCCTTGAATTTATGTCCATAACTTCTCTAGTTTTGCAATCGAATCCGCGGGTTCTTTTTCTCTTATTTTGTCCAACATTTCCTTGCACATTTATCAATTGTCTTACTGAAGATGACAATCTCATTCTGAGCTACAAATTCAAGTTTCCCGAAGACGTCCTTCTCATAATACGATCCACTAACCTTGGACGTTGCATCTGTAGCCAGTTCGGTAGATTTCGTTGCCTTTCACCATCATGTCCATACAGCCATTACATTCAACTGTATTTTCAGTTGGAAGTGTAAGTTCTACTAAAACTACACAAATCAATTAGCGCAATACGGGGCCCATAACCTGATGAGATCAGTGGTTAATTACATAAGGAAGTCTTGCGCGAATTCTAGATGTCTGCAGAAAGTTTGGGCTATACAGTGTGTGTATATTGTTTATAACGTGTATACAGTGTCAGTGGTTTTCCTCTTGTTGGGAACCTTCCAAGTAATAATTTGTTTAAAATGCAATGGTTTTTACTAATCTGAGAAACATGTGCTAAAATCGTGATCATCTTCAGGCTTTCGTTGAAGTGCTACACCTGTTGTAAATAATTGCTGTCTTTATTACGTATAACTAATGAATCTCTACATTAAAGCAACATGGAAAGTAAATACTGTTGTGAGCCAATCAGGTAGGATCATTCACCACATTTTTGATTCAAAAAAGACATTTTGCACGTCCGCGAGGGTGTACTATGTAATAATTTCGCCTTTACTGTGTACAGCTGGTTCCGATCACTCGTCACATCATCGAAGAGAAACGGGAGACCGACCGCCGCCACCACTGCCACCACCTCGTTTCCCGAACAATGCCGTTTGACAATGGGAAAACTTTAACATCGCAATACTGACTTTGTTACCGTTACCTACACCGCTACTAGCGCTAGAAGAACAATTGGTGGTACTGATATCGCAAAGGGGCAAAGCGTGCGCCAGTTACTTGCGACAGAGCCTGAAACGCCCGCGACGGAATTGATTCACATCTCTCTTTCTCTAGTGACAAAAAAAAAACAATTCTTCCAAGGTTTTGTATGGCCTTAAATCTGCTCATTAAGTTTCCCGCCTAACAAGTAGGTTAAGCTGGCTTAGTTTATAGTGCCAACCACTTTTCGCTGAGGTGGCCCGAAGATTTGTTGCCTACTGAACTTATTTCAAGTGCGAAACTTTGTTTTTGACACTGAAAATGGAAATGAACACAATTCGATAACTTACACCTCTACCTTTGAGCTAACGTGTTTCCTCTTGCATCTCATATTTACGTTTTTTGATGATTGAAGTGTGCTTATTGAATGACTTGATACCATTTTTCATCTTGGCATGCACCTACAAGTTTCTGTCTGGCTATAGGTAGAATTCGTTGTAGAATGTTTATTGTTTATGTGTTATATGTTTAGTATTACTATTAACTAGTTTTATGCTTTATTAAGACGGACCGTGCGGCGTGTATCCATGCCGCACGGTTCAAATATATACACAGATGTGCGTTTAATATTGTTATCAAATATATATTTGACGTTACCTACAGTTACTGACCAGACAAAAGGCATAGCCAGAAATATATTCTAAATTTTTATATTCATTTAATAGGAATAAATTGTAGGTGTACATAGCATCTTATAATATACATAAGTAGACTCAATTAGACATTGTAATGGGTGTTCATTTATCTGTGTCACCGTATAATTCCTTTTGCATTAGTGTCCTTTGCAATTGTGCAAAACGATACACGTTTCTGTGTCTGTCTTATATGTAAATAACGATTTATAGTTAATATTCACTGCCATTTCCGGTTATCGTACAGACAGACATGGACTGTATTTTTTAAATTGTAGACGTGTACGCAAATTACAACATCCACTTGCCATTGTAGACGCGAAGTGTCTGAGAGAGCATATGGCATGTGGACAAACAAATTTGTGTTTTTGTCCCGAAAACGACCTGGTGCTCAATATTTGTTAGTCGGTACGCTTTCATTTCACAAGACAAATAATTTAATCGCACCTCCGCAGAGATGTCGACCACATATTTGTAAAATTTACTCGCCGCGCACTCCTCGTAGTCGTATATTATTATTATTAAAAAAATGAAGCTTCCATTTATAGATAGATGCGTCTCGCGTGTCGATTAAGTTATTTGCCCTAAAAGGTTTTCGTGAAGTTAAAAGGAGATTTTTAGTAGCGGTCCTAATGGATGCCAGGCTAGAAGGAAGTGGAGATTTCCTCCCGCGAGAGGTGGTTTAGACGATAGACGCACCTGACACTGAAACGGGGCGGTTGTTTTTAGTTAATACTAATCGTATAATCGCGACTATGAATTTGGCCTATATTATTTCATATCGCTTTTGCTCTCAATAATTCATACCACAATAATTGCAATAATCATAAAACACCTAAAGCGATGCAAGAATTTTACTTACTTAGATAATACTTAAAATTCTTCTTAGTTTTTAGGAGCCCTATAGATTAGTTTAATCGCAAAAGATGAACGGAAGTTATAGCAAAAGCACTTGAAGTGTTCCTGTTAGTACTAGACGTTTAAAAAGCACGCGCAAGAAGGTGACTTATTCCTCCTCAAAACCCTTAGTCAATTAGGTGACCATTTTACTATCATCCCCTTTTCGCAATATCATTGGCCTAATACAGTAAACATTAAGTGCTAACAGAACATTGTTTCAGTACTTGGAGCAAGATGATTCTAAATGTAAATATTGTTATATACATAAAAATATAAAAAAGTAATAATCGCATATTATTTAAAATTATTTTTTGTTACTATATTTTGTTAAAAAATGTGTGCATGTACGATAGATTTAGAAAAATGTTTTAATTGAAATTGTATATATATTTTTAAAAGTTATTCGAAATTCTAACGAGAGTACGGATTACGTTCCTCTCATGAAAAAGTGTTTTTTCGTACTTGATAATTGCAAAATCGAAAGCTAACGTTTTGTATTAGTTCGAAATTTCTCAAAGGAAATATATGAATTTTGTATAATTAAGTGAATGGATATTGTACGAATGGACATAGATCGAAAAATAGACTAGAATTATGTTATACAAATTATGGAAATTACGAAACATGTAAAGTTTCCTAACCGCAATAAAATTCTATCTCTATACCTTTTTAACTTACAAAATCGCCCAGCAGGTATGCTGCTTTCAAATATTGAAAACAGTACGGTAAAGTTTATTTATTTACAAATAATTAACAATAACTTTATAACAGTAATTATTATTCATCACTCAACTATTTATAACATAACTCAAGCGCGTCGGTGTTAGAACTGAACTCGAAACACAATTCTTTCTAGTTCATTATCGCCGTGGACTAATCTTTCATATGGCGCCTCGATGTCTATAGGAATTTCTGGAATATTCGCTAAATACACTGCGCCCTTCTTAAAACTGTTACGTAGTGCAACACGGACGACGGTTGTAGCAGAGGTACAATCCCAGGCAACTTCTATAGCGTAAACTTGATGGCGGTACTTGCAATACGGGTTGCTCCCGATCCGACGACCCAGACCCGCACTAGGCTTTGGCGCAAGGCCCGCGTGACCCGACTTCAAGTCGGTGCTTCCTAGCCATCGCCTTCTGTGCGCCAGTCCTATTCCTTTTGCAAATAGGAGCTGGTCCTTGAATAAGGCCTTGCGTGTCCAAGCATATATTTCTTTTATTATTGGAGAAATAGTGTAAGAAGAAAAAATACTCTACTTTCAATTTCTGATAAAGCTACATATTCAAAAAGCAAGTGACATAAAAACAAAAGGGCATCAGAAAACAAATTCATGTTTTTCAATAGAAGGGATACTTTTGTCTGTACTATTCTTAAAGAGCTTCAAATGCTCTTTAACGATATCAAATATGTTATAATTATCTTAGAAATTAAAGCTACAGTAATATGTGTTTAGAACCAATCGCAGCAGCTGTGGAAATTTAAACAAAAACATAAAATTTACAACAGGAAGCGAAGAAAACAAATGAAAAGCAGTTACTAAGAATAATTATAACTTAAGACAAATTTAAACACACTGCACTTGCTTCCTATGTATGATCGTTACATCATTACATGCAACTGCTTAACATTTTTTCATTTATGTAATTATTTTTGTCCACTAAACTAATTTTGTAACAGACATGGCAGGTGAAAAACACTATTTTGTTTTTGTTTAAATTTCCACAGTTACTATATGCAATTGGTTTTAGAAACATTACTGCAGTTTTAATTTCTAAGGTAATTATAACATATTTGATATCATCATAAAGAGAATTGCAAACTCTTTAAGAATATTACAGAGAAAAGTACCTAACCATTCTAGTAAAAAAAATTAATTTGTTTTTTGGTGCCCTTTTGATATCACTTGTTTTTTTTTTAATAATAAAAGAAATATACGCTTGGACACGCAAAATCCAGCACACTGTAGACTGGGCCTGGCCTACTAAAAGAACCTAGGATTGTTTTAAAAAGCTTTGAAGCTTTTCACACTGTACAAAATGAGCTAAAAAAGACTCCGAGAATGATTTAAATTAACCCTCGAATTTTCGTTTGCCGGGGGATACTTCACACCTCTATACCCTCGGGTAACATTTTCTTCAAAGCCTTGAGGAGTCTTACTATGGTTTGTGAGAAAATAGGTGTCATATCCTTTTCTTGCGAATTACTGCAGAGCACATAGTACCTACCAGTACACACAACAGGTTCTATTATTTCTACTAAGACCACCATGAGAGTGCGAAGCGTTTTTTTCGCTCGGCGGTTTTACATCCTCTCCGCTTTCACATCTTTCTGAAAATTGTCCTTTGTTGGGGGGAACCTTTGGAAAGCGCACTTGACTCCTGGAAGGTACACTTGCAGATTGTGTTACGTGCATTTCAGAGCGTACTTGTAGGATTGATTAAGCCGTTTCCACGGCTTCTTAGGGCTCTTCTTGTGCGTTTCAGATTCTCGAGTTTTGTGGATATTTCACAGTGATAGATTAGCGTAAGATGAGCATCTGGAGGGTCTTCGGATGGAAATGTCACCTAAATCATTCGTCGTTTAAAAATAGAGCGTTTTGCAATGCTTTCCAAGGGCTTTTGAGACCATTCCAAGGCTTTCTAGATTAGCTTCGCTGTTTTTACATCCCATTAGAGGGCCTTTTTCCTAAGTGGTTTTTACATTCTTTTTGGCTGCACCTGGTTTTAAAATGACTTGAAAACGGTTTGGAAAGTTCGTAAATTTCATTTTTGACCCAATGTAGTCTTTTGGGCTTCATTGAATTGGTGACCAGAGACTTGCTTTAGTAACTGTATGCATTGAGCTACAGTCTAGCCACAGTTTCTTTGGACTGTGGAGTAGCTACCTCCAGAGTGAACCTTAACCTCAAATTTGAAATGTTTAATTATGTTAAAAAACCGTTACAATACAAATATTAGCAAATTAATTGTTATACAACAAACGATTGCCAATGGACATATTATTAGAAACATTTTTTATCAAGAAAGCTATGGTTAAGTTGTTTTAATTGTTTTTCCTATTGAAAAATGCCATTTTCTACAGGAAAGGAGCGATTTCAAGATAACTTAAGCGAGCCGATGGAGGTTGACCCAGCTCAAGATGCAGTTCCTACATTGAAACGAAGACTGAACTATCCTGGTGAGAAGATACAAACGGTGGAAAGCTACGTCGAAAGGACCCGTCCGCCTACTCTCACGGCGTGCGCGAAACTCCTGCTGGTACTTCTTGGCGTTTGCGTACTATCGGTTCTGTACCTGTTCGTCTACGGCGACAAGTACGTGGTGGTCAACCGTCTGGCGCAATTTAATTATCTCGAGTCGGACTTAGAGGCGAACTTGCTCGACCAAAAGGCGGCGGTGAGGACGATAATGGATAACGTAAACAGAGTCAATTCCCGACATGGCCTTTCGAAACTATTGGCGTTCATCGGAACGACCGGTACGGGGAAGACGTTTGCCGCCAACATACTAAAGCGACACTTCATTCCGTATCACGTTAACGAGATACGCAAGGAAGATTTGAACAAACTCGACAAGGCGGTCGTTAACAGTTTCGACAGCTGCTGTTGTAATTTAGTTATCGTCGACGGTTTGAGAGCGGAAGACTTGTCGAATCTGATCAAGTTTATCCGGTCCTTGCCGACTGACGATTTTAGTATAATTATTGTATCGATATTTAATATTCACGATACCGACGACGGACTGACTTATAAAATAAATAGGGACGAATATCAGCAGATTCGTATGACGATAGATACTCAAGCGGGTATCGAGTTTGAATTATTAATATTTTTTGAGCCTCGGGAGGAGGTGGTGGAGGAGTGGTTGCGTACCAAGTTGAAGAAGAAAGGCGTTGCGTCGAGTAGACACAAGTCTATAATTGCAGATCTGCTACGGGATGATCATTTGAAGAAGAATGGCTTTAAGGGCTTGGAACGGAAGCTTTCTCTGATTGATTAATTATTTTGTAGAGACAATTGAAATAAACTACTTCTAATTTTCTTAAATTTCCACTGGAACTTACAAAGGGGAGGTGCTTTTCTTAGGTTTGTGGTGTGGTTTGATATAATTTTCTTCAGCTTGTTATGTAGTAATAAGTTTGGGGACCTACCTTTTCGTACTTTTGCCAGCTAACACGGGTAAAAAAAATGAAATAGGACCTATATTTGGTCACCTACAAACTTCTTTAATTAATTACGTCTTAAAAATATGGGGCTGGTGTCAAACATCAAATTTTTAAGGGCGCACGAAACGTGACCGTTCTTTTACCTCGTCGCCAAACTGTTATTTTAATATACTGTACCTCCCCACCATCCTATTCTAAACACTACGAATCAAGGTGTAGTGCGTATCTCTTTTTCTAGTTGCTTTTTCTCGTTTTATTTAGTACACTTCCCATTGAATGGTAAGGCGCAGGTTTGAACAAAGACATTAATTCATATCTTTATTAGCTCACGGTCTTAGGGAGCACCTGAAATTGAAAGTATAACTCTAAAATAGATTATTCATTCTTTTTATGTTGTTGATGACCTTTCGGCAATATTTTCCTTAGCAGGCGCCATAGCATACGAAATATTACGTAGACCGCGCAGAGGATCAAAACCAAACTAACTAACAAAACGGCAATTACGTCTAAAAGCAAGTACTGATGCCAGGGGACGTCGGACAACGGACTTTTCAGGTGTCTCGCGCCCTTGTGACGTATCACGTACTCGGTCCACCAAACGGCCCGTTCCAGTCCGGTCATTGGTTGATCCAGTGCCAAATTCGCGAGCTCCTTCACTCTGTTTCGGTATCTGCAACAATACGTTTCTGTATAAGGACCACCACGAAAATCTGACGTACTTTGAATTGTTAATAAGTTCCGAAATTGTCTCTTTAAATTCCGCCTTTTCGAACTTGGTGTAATCGATCGAGAGTCCCATGCCTTTGTTAACGATCTTTTTGCTATTATGCGCTTGGTCACCGAAAAATGGTATCACAAGCAGAGGCACCCCGCTATAAATCGCCTCATCCGTCGACTGCAATCCTCCCTGCGTTATGAAGAGCTTGATGTTGCGGTGACCTGATGATCAATTTTAAATGGACGGATTCGAACCAAAACCCGACTTACCCAAGACGTCTTGCTGCGGCAACCATTTCGCTATGTGCACGTTCTTTGGTTTGTTCGGTAGAGTTTCGGCTTCAAACTTCCATAAGACCGTATAGGGTAGCTCGGCGAAGGTTTCGAGAATGTTTGCCCGTAGATCAGACGGAATGTCCTTGCTTTTGACGTTTGTACCTAAACTGAAGTATATGAATCCATCGGTCGCGCTATCCAACAAATTTTGCAAATCCTAAAAAAAGGCGGACGTTACCGGTGGGTACTCCGAGACGTGTCACTTACAGCAGATAACGGTCTTGGAGTTGTCAGGTGAGAACCTCCTCCGATTTGAATAACACCCGGCACCAACGGCCTAACATTGTGGAAAATGGGGTCGGTGTTAACGAAGAGCATACTTGCATTTCTCATGATGTCATCTACTGAAGAGTAATTCGGTCCGAAGTATTTTTGGACCATCCCGTTTACTACACTTCTGGTGTAAATACCGATAAGTTTAAATACGCACACTCCGATAAAACTTTCGATTCTCTGTGACAAAGACAAGTTCATGTCGCTGGTACTCAGCATATCTGGATATAAAGACGGATGAGTGGGATTACCTAATCTTTGGTAGATTTCAGAAGGTGCATCCAGAGAGAGCATGCCGATCAATGGGCATTTGTACTTTTCAACAAGAGCAAGCATGGGAGGCTCCACTGCTTCCACTATGATCAAATCAAAGTTCTCGTTTCCATTAATCAGGGATTGGTACGAAGGGTGACGTAACTGCCCTTCGAAAACATCGAAGTACTGCTGTAAAATCTTAAGCACGAATCCCAACACGTTCTCCTGATGACTAAAAACACTGTCCATAATATCCTTGTTCCACGCATCGTAGGAAAAGCGCAGATCGAACTCTGTCAAATTTTTGAGCTTTGGATCTTTGATCGGATCCGTTGTAAGCGTTGTCACTTGATGTCCTCGAAGTGAAAGTTCTCGCCATAACGGCTGAAAGACGACCTGGTGACTGTAGGACGGTGTTGGTACGATGCCTAAAATTTTTGCGCCGCACGCGAAGTGAAGAACGACCGAAAAAGTCAAAACGCAAAGCGACATTTTACCCATTTCAATCGAAGGCGACTGAAACGTTCAAGGTAGTCGCCAATCTTATCAATCTGTTCTCACTCAATGTTATCAGATTGATAAACTGCCCAGCCAAATTGGATGAACATAGCTGGAATGTCTCCTTTCTATCTATGTATCTCTTTATGCACAAGAGGGGAGCTCCATGAAGGCAACGCACCAAAAGCCCTCTTCTGTTGCCACTAGGTTCATCTCCTGTTTGGCGTAGAAGTCTTTAGCCCCCGGTTCCAGATAACTGTCGCCAAGGAGCTGATTGTCTGTTTCTGGTCAAGGCGTTAGAATGACAGACTGCATGCTGTGGGCCGGGATAGTTGGTAACAAGGAAACCGCCGATCTCCTCGCAAAGACCAGGAACCCTATATCGTGGGGCACCGGCAAGTCGTGCTGGAGGAGTGATACGAAGCCAGTTCAGAAAAGAATGGAAACTTCTATGACAATCATAGACTAAGACAATCTAAGAAACTAATCAGTTTTCAGAAGACTAAAACCAGCCCGTTACTATAGCACTCGGTGGAAGCAAAGAGTAACTAATAATATTCTTTGTTGGAAGTGTTTTCTCGAGAAATTTTGGTGTAGTCGATTTTTGGAAAAAAAGGAAGGTATTACACTGCCTTTTTTTGAGCCCCGAAGAAAAAATTTTTTTTATAGAATGTGGCCTGTAGAATCCATAATTTCAAACAGTTCCAAGATTGGGCTACTAGTTCAAAAGTTACAGCCCTTTGAATTTGTTTCTAGTCTATAACTTGATTGAGAAGTCTGAATAAATGGCAGTTCAAAATGTACGGAGTCTTGCAAGATCTGTAGAGCAATTGTAGTTTAAAGGCCCGGTTTTTGAATAGATTGATTAAATACAATAAGTACTAGTGCGCCATCTCCATGGCAATCGATACACTTTCTATCAATTATAGTTTTAGAAGTCTAGTTGAGATGTCGCCACGTACGCACCTTCTTTTAAAATTGTATTTGAATTTATGCGATTAATAGCAACGTTGCACTTATTATTCCTTAAATGCAGTGCCGTTTTTAAGTTTTTCGGGGCCCTGGGCCATTCCTTCGTGGAGGTCCTCCTTACCCTCAATAAAAATGGCAGATTGGGGAGATTCAAGCAAATCCCTAATTTGAATATGGGCACTGGATATTTGTGTAGCCTGGTTAATAGGCAACACATCATGCTCAATGAACAGAAAATATTTATTTTGCAATTCGTAACTTCTTATGCATAGGAGTTTATTTAAAGCCCTTGGAAGAACAATTTCAATAACAGGTACATTAAACTGAACCGTTTTACAACAATTTTCACACGAAGATCGCACAAACAACACATTTTTTCACGATTGCAAACTGCGTAACACTTTTGCCTTATTTCGCTGCCAATTTCACTACCGTTTCTATAACCGTAGTTCTATCAAATAAACTCTAGGCTCAATTCTTTACAGAATAGCTTCGCACCATCGCCAGCTGCTGCAATCATGTAATCGTTCCGATTTTAACCTTGAGAAGTTTGAATTGCATTAGAATGGGTTTTCTGCGAGTTCTCCACGGTGTCCCCCTGTTTTGGTTACAAAGCATTTCCCTTTTCAATTCGTGTTTCTGAATTCAATGCTAACGTTTCTCATCCATCGAGAACTACATGTCTTCGATTGCACGACCCAGGGCGAACAGTATCATATTCCGCAAAGGTTGAGTCTGCCGCTTTCCTGTCACTCCCAGTACCCAGTTCCCTAATTTAAACCTGTAAGCGAGAAGGAATGATAACAAAGTTTAATTTTTGACTATAAAATAAACAAACATTCATTATGCATTTGAGGTTAAAACTCCATATATCTATGGTTTTTAAAATCTGCGCTCAGACATCTAACGTTAGTTTCATAAAGTACAATACAAAATTAGTGTGGCGACATCTTTGAGGTGTAAGTTCCAACTAAAATAATGGTGGTAATAAACTGTCCTGCATTTAACGATAAAATCTTAGTCCCCAATAATAAAGACAGATGTCAGCACATTGTATTCTGCTTTGATTCCAAAAACTCAGGCAAGGCTATAAACATTTTGGGATTTGTGCCTTTCGCTGTCAAAGGAGTAAACCACGAAACTCGAAAATTAAACATTTCGTCCCTGTATTATAGCCTATTCCTTTGCGTCATAGCGTTTTTGGAATGCCAAAAGGACAGGGCGGGTAAACGGACGGCCGTCCGTACACCTCTTTGGTATATCTATACCTAGATTTTTGACGATTTTAATAAAGTATCTGTTGGGAATACACGAGTTAAATCGCCATAATGGGCTACTAGTTCAAAAGTTACAGCCCTTTGAATTTTTTTCTAGTCTATAACTTTTGATTGAGAAGTCTGATCGAAAAAGTACGAATTGATTTGGATTCTACGCACCCAAATTAATAAGAAAAAGTGTTTCCCGAGAAATTTTGGTGTAGTCGATTTTTGGTAAAAAAGGAAGGTTATACACTGCCTTTTTTTGAGCCCCGAAAAAAAAATTGTCTCGGATCGACCCGGAAAAAAAAATGTCTTATAGAATGTGGCCTGTAGAATCCATAATTTCAAACAGTTCCAAGATTGGGCTACTAGTTCAAAAGTTACAGCCCTTTGAATTTTTTTCTAGTCTATCTGCAATAGTACCTCAGCAGATCAGCGACCAGCAGCCTTACTACCTGTTAGAGCACGCATACAATTGATCCAAAAGTCAAGGGGTGAAATAGCTCAAGCCAGGGGGAAAAAAAGGTATAGCTCTGTAAGCCATCTTGTATATGCAATTTATGCAATTGAAGCATAACCATTTCTATTCGAAATTTTAATTATCTATCGACATATTGTCTATTTAACGTAATCGTACAAGAAACATTTCCAGTTTTACATTTTAAACATGTTTTTACATGTATTTTAAACACCCCAACAGTCTGAACTTAAAACTCTCAAAACGATCGAAACGAAATCAATTATTAAAATGCTAGTAGCCCGTTTTAAGTTATCTATGCTGCATAAAATTAAAAAAATATAGCGAAATTAGATAACAGCAGTACGTTTTTTTGAAATTTAGAAATTCCGCCAAAATTGTTGTTGATGCGTCCTCTGTGAAATAAACTTTCAACTAACGAACTAGTGTATTGCACCACCGTTAGATGTCAGAACGATACTATTTTGGCCGAATTTGTAAATTAAAAAAAAACGTACTGCTGTTATCTAATTTCGCTATATCTTGTTAAATTTATGTAGATTTATACATAACTTGCGACAAATATAACTGGATACTAGCGTTTCGTGTTGCCAATTTTGCATATTATTAAATTTTCTGCTTCGAACCTGGGGGTGGGTTTAGATCAGTACATTATGGATGGATAGATTCACACTATTTCTCAAACATTCAGTCTTTCCTTTATATAAGATTCTGGTAGGATGTTGACTTTAGAAATGTAAAGTGGTACTTCAGATAACGTGTATTTCGCACTTGGTTTCTGTCTCGTAATTACTAACAAAATGTTTGAGGAATAATTTTTTTAGGGGATCAATTTATGTATAAATATTTATCCAAATAAGATACTAAAGTGCCACTTCAAATTTGCCTTCGTAACTGTTTTCGTTTGATAATAGTAAGTGGCTTATTTACGATTGCATAGAATTTTAAATCACTGGATAAATATTAAATAGGAACATCAAAGTCCTTCGTATTGTGACAAAGTAGTAAAAACCTTTTTGCAATGGGGCTCTGTGAACTCTATGATCTACTGACGATCCGATTTATGGCCCCGCGTGATGGCTACAGTAGAGTTTGGGAGGGGCAGAATGTCTTTTGCCAACTTTAAAAGCCTCAAGAACGTTTAAGAGTCATTACTGCTTCTGTGGAATCTTAGAGGGCGTGTTACGTAACTTTGCTGGGTAATAGGGGTCTTGATCTAACTATTAAACGAGCTAAGTTGGCCGCAATCATTGATGTGTAGATGAACCAGCAATAACAAACATTGAAGAGGGGAAAAGGACCCCTGATGTAGATATTTGTTAAACAGAGTGCATTTAGTTTAGCTTCTGATTGGCAAACTTGGTCCTTGTAATTCTTGATCTTTTCGACTTAAGTGCCACTTCAAGTGCAAAATCAAAACTTGTTTTGAATATTCCTATCTATTTACCTCCAAATTTAGAACTTGCCACTTTCTGACCTACTATGATGATCTCATATCGCAAATATAGATATGCACCATTTCAGGGGGGTTTATCTACCCCTCTCAAGGTGTAGGCATAGGTATATAAGTGAAAATTACCTAGCCAGTGCGTCCTCAAACATTTAGACACCAAAATGAAATTGTTACTAGTTGTTCTTCTGGCAACCGGTGCCTCAGGTGAGTACTTTGCGCAACACTTTTCCATCCATCTAACTCGATTTATACTCCCAGCTGCTCCACATCGGGATCTCGCACCCGAAGGAGCCTATCCCCACCAGGTGTCGCTGAAATTTCTCGACGTACACAGTTGTGGAGGGTCGATAATTGACGAAACGACAATCCTCACCGCGGCTCACTGCGTTCAAAGGTAAGCGCCTCAGCTACACCTATCTCGACTAACCCGTTCCTATCGCAGCTTAATACCTGAATTCACCTCCGTTATCGTCGGCACCAACCATCTCCACTCGGGCGGGCACCAATACGCGGTCACCAAGATTTTACCGCACGACCGCTACGATCCGATCTTGGTCAAGAACGACATCGCCTTGGTCACGTTGGAGAGGCCGATTGAGTTCAACGGTCAGGTGAGGCCCATCGAGCTGGAGACCGAGCACGTCGGCGGAGGCGTCGACTGCGTCGTCAGCGGTTGGATGAGCGGCGAGGATGCGGAAAGTTTGCAGCACATCAAATTGAAGACGATCGAAAGCGTGACGTGCGCGACGTTCCTGATCGACGACACGCAGATTTGCGCGAAAAGCGCCGAAGAAAGGGCGCACTGTAGCGCCGACTCCGGAAACCCGCTGGTCACCGACAAGCAAATCGGTATTGCCTCCTTCGGCAGTTTGTGTAACGAAGGCAGTCCGGATGTTTATACGAGGGTGTCTGCTTATGAGAGGTGGATTGAGAAGAGTAAACGATGATTTTTGAATAAAATGTTTTAAAAGCCTTTGAGTTTTGCCGGTGTTGCCTAGGATACGGATTCATCCAATAAGTACTTCCTCATTGCAGAGATTAGATTAATTCGAGTGTCATTCGTACTGAAAATATCATTTATCTGATATACACTGAAATGGCACTGATCTTGAACAATAGCGTAAAAGTTGAACTTACTCATAGTAACAGTACTGGATGGCATTATTCAAACCGGGTAATACACGTAATAAGAAAAAGTGTTTTCCCGAGAAATTTTGGTGTAGTCGATTTTTGGTAAAAGAGGAAGGCCTTTTTTTGAGCCACGAAAAGAAAATTGTCTCAGATCGATCCGGGAAAAAAATTTTCTTATAGAATGTGGCCTGTAGAATCCATAATTTCAAGCAGTTCCAAGATTGGGCTACTAGTTCAAAAGTTACAGCCCTTTGAATTTTTTTCTAGTCTATAACTTTTGATTGAGAAGTCTGAATAAATGGTAGTTCAAAATGTACGGAGTATTGCAAGATCTGTAGAGCAATTGTAGTTTAAAGGCGCGGTTTTTGAATAAATAGATTAAATACAATAAGTACTAGTGCGCCATCTCCATGGCAATCGATACACTATCTATCAATTATAGCTTTAGAAGTCTAGTTGAGATGTCGCCACGTACGCACCTTCTTTTAAAATATTATTTGAATTTATGCGATTAATAGCAACGTTGCATTCCTTAAATGCAGTGCCGTTTTTAAGTTTTTCGTGGCTCTGGTCCATTCCTTCGTGGAGGCCCTCCTTACCCTCAATAAAAACGGCAGATTGGGGAGATTCAAGCAAATCCCTAATTTGAATATGGGCACTGGATATTTGTGTAGCCTGGTTTGTAGGCAACACATCATGCTCAATGAACAGAAAACTTTTATTTTTGCAATTCGTAACTTCTTATGCATAGGAGTTTATTTAAAGCCCTTGGAAGAACAATTTCAATAACAGGTACATTAAACTGAACCGTTTTACAACAATTTTCACACGAAGATCGCACAAACAACACATTTTTTCACGATTGCAAACTGCGTAACACTTTTGCCTTATTTCGCTGCCAATTTCACTACCGTTTCTATAACCGTAGTTCTATCAAATAAACTCTAGGCTCAATTCTTTAAGAAATAGCTTCGCACCATCGCCAGCTGCTGCAATCATGTAATCGTTCCGATTTTAACCTTGAGAAGTTTGAATTGCATTAGAATGGGTTTTCTGCGAGTTTTCCAAGGTGTCCCCCTGTTTTGGTTACAAAGCATCTCCCTTTTCAATTTGTGTTGTCTGAATTCAATGCTAACGTTTCTCATCCATCGAGAACTACATGTCTTCGATTGCACGACCCAGAGCGAACAGTATCATATTCCGCAAAGGTTGAGTCTGCCGCTTTCCTGTCACTCCCAGTAGCCAGTTCCCTAATTTAAACCTGTAAGCGAGAAAGGAATGGTAACAAAGTTTAATTTTTGACTATAAAATAAACAAACATTCATTATGCATTTGAGGTTAAAACTTCATATATCTAAGGTTTTTAAACATTTTTTAAAATCTGCGCTCTGACATCTAACGTTAGTTTCATAAAGTACATTACAAAATTAGTGTGGCGACATCTTTGAGGTGTAGGTTCCAACTAAAATAATGGTGGTAATAAACAGTACTGCATTTAACGATAAAATCTTAGTCCCCAATAATAAAGACAGATGTCAGCACAATGTATTCTGCTTTGATTCCAAAAACTCAGGCAAGGCTATAAACATTTTGGGATTTGTGCCTCTCGCTGTCAAAGGAGTAAACCACGAAACTCGAAATTTAAACATTTCGTCCCTGTATTATAGCCTATTCCTTTGCGTCATAGCGTTTTTGGAATGCCAAAGGACAGGGCGGGAAAACGGATGGCCGTCCGTATAACTCTTTGGTATTCCTATACCTAGATTTTTGACGACTGATTTGGATTCTACGCACCCAAATTAATAAGAAAAAGTGTTTTCTCGAGAAATTTTGGTGTAGTACATTTTTGGTAAAAAAGGAAGGTATAACACTGCCTTTTTTTGAGCCCCGAAGAAAAAATTGTCTCAGATCGACCCGGAAAAAATTGGTTTCTAAGAGTCAACTTTTGATTGAGAAGTCTAATCGAAAAAGTACGAATTGTTTTGGATTCTACGCACCAAAATTAATAAGAAAAAGTGTTTTCCAGAGAAATTTTGGTGCAGTCGATTTTTGGTAAAAAAGAAAGGTTAATCACTGCCTTTTTTTGAGTCCCGAAAAAAAATTGTCTCAGATCGATCCGGAAAAAAAATTTTCTTATAGAATGTGGCCTGTAGAATCCATAATTTCAAACAGTTCCAAGATTGGGCTACTAGTTCAAAAGTTACAGCCCTTTGAATTTTTTTCTAGTCTATAACTTTTGATTGAGAAGTCTGATCGAAAAAGGATCAAGGTGGGCGTTTGGGGAACTATAAAATGTTTTCCAATCCCCTTTTTGTGAGTACCCTTCTTCGATGCTCCGTTCTGCAGATATATGCGTTGAGAGTTTTGACAGGGCACAGCACTCGTCAAGATCTTTAATTAGAATTTCATAAAAGATAACACCATCCCCCCGGGGCCCTTTGATTTTGCGAGTTGTTGAGGAAAGTTATATTTTCTATTAGAAACCAGTTTCTTTCGATAAGACCTTTCATTAGAATTCCATGAAGTACATAACGTGTGTACACCATCCCTCCAACCCCCTTTTCAGTAAAGCACATTATTATTTTGCATGAATTTTGTTATGTTTAAACTATACTTCTTTTTAGTTCGCGCGTTTCACCTCTGTCAAAGATTAATCCGTGCGTCTGTCAATAGGGGTATCCGGCCTTTATTTTTCATTTTTGATCTACAAAGTCAATTAAAAATAAAAAGGTTTTTATTTGCGAGTAAAATAAACCCAAAATAAATTATTGAAAAGCTGTGTTTTTAGTCCGAATATTATGAGTAACAGGGGTTTAGTCAATAGTCCGAATTTGAAACGCTTCAGTATAAATACGTCACAAACCTTCAACCAATCACGTAAAGATGAGCCGGCAACCTTGTGCGAAGCCCAAAACACCCACGCAAAAGTAAATGACAAGTGTGACGCTCTTGATTATGTCAGATTCCATTACCACCTTAGCATGGATACATGATCCAACAATGAAGATCTTCGTAGATAAGCAAAATTGAAACAACAAAACACTTTGGATTAAGTTTTCCATTAGGTAGAGAGTGTACCCTTCACAAATAAACATAATAATCAATTTGAAGGTGAAGTGTCACTGGATTAAAGTGTCAAGGAGTTTATTATTAGTGTTAATAGCACTTTAGATAACTTGTTGTTCAAAATGAATAGTGATAGCTATTGAGGTAGCAAGGTCTACGCCTTCGCAAATGATAACTACTTACTAAATTGTAATGCTATCTGAATAGGTAGGTACATATAATGTGACTGTTGTTAGGATTGGACCTTTTTTCTCTTCAGTTTTATAGGTCGCTGTTCTTCTGAGTTGGTACTATTTAGTATTGAATATGAAATTATATACCTACCCTTAACAGATAGTGGTAGTATGGTAACAAACGTGGAAATAGACAACACTATGTTTCCTTACGAACGTATTTATATCCTTCGATTAATGTCTCCAAAGTTGAAGGCCTTCCCGATGCTAAATAACACCCCCCTCCCCCTCTTGAGAACTCGAAAACACGCGATCTTATGGATGGAAGCACTTTTATTTGCCTGGTGTGATCGCTTTATTAAGTCCTGACTTTTGGGTACCAAATTGTAACAGTGGCAATCGCGCATAATGACCAAGGGAAATTTTTTTGACAGTTCTTTTCTCTAGGGACTTTTATCACGTAACAAATTTGGTGTCAAATTAATGAATGAGATGATCTTTGTTCTTTTTTTGGCAGCAAATTCGTTGTATCGCAGCGCGACCGGTTCCTTTTTACTCAATGAACACGCCGAAGAAGCGGTGCCTGTGAAGTTTTGATTGTGAGGAGACTTCTTCAAACGCGTTCCGTGTGTGTCCGATGTCTAGTGCTGATATTTCTGATAGTTCCGTCGATCCCCCAACCAAGAAACGGAAGCTTGAATCATCTTTAACCCTAAGCGCAATGGCGAACAATGGAGCCTCCGGTTCATCGCAAACGGGAAACGATATCGACGAAGGACTTTATTCTAGGCAGTTGTACGTTTTGGGCCACGACGCGATGCGTCGCATGGCGACTAGCGACGTTCTCATCTCGGGCTTGGGCGGTTTAGGTGTCGAAGTTGCCAAAAATGTCATACTCGGCGGCGTTAAGTCCGTCACTTTGCACGACGAGACCTTGTGCACCGTCGCGGACCTTTCGTCACAGTTTTACCTCTCCGAGGATGACGTTGGCAAGAATCGCGCCGAGGCCTCCCTCAAACACCTCTCCGAGCTCAACATGTACGTACCGACACGTACGCATACTGCTCCGTTAACCGACAACTTCATTAAACGTTTCCGAGTAGTGGTACTAACCAACAGCTCGCTATCTGAACAGTTACGAATTAGCGAGGTGACGCACAGTAATGATATCGCCCTAGTTATCGCGGACGTTCGCGGCTTATTCGCTCAGGTGTTCTGCGACTTCGGGCCCGCTTTTACCGTCGTGGACACGAACGGCGAAACTCCGGCGTCGACGATGGTCGCAAGTGTAACAAAGGACCCCGACGGTAACGGCGTCGTCACTTGCATCGAGGATGCGCGACACGGCCTCGAGGACGGCGATTACGTCACCTTCTCCGAGGTGAAAGGTATGGTCGAGTTGAACGGTTGCGAGCCGAGGAAGGTGAAAGTGCTGGGACCGTACGCGTTTAGCATCGGTGACATTTCCGGGTTGTCGGAGTACGAACTCGGCGGTATCGCGCAGCAGGTGAAAATGCCGAAGGTGCTCAACTTTAAACCGTTGCAGGAGTCGATTCGTTCACCCGAGTTCTTAATTACCGATTTCGCGAAGTTCGATCGTACCGATCAGTTACACTTGGCCTACAACACGTTGCACAAGTACGTCGAGAAGCGCGGAAGTGCGCCGAAGCCGTGGTGCAAGGAGGACGCGGTCGAGTTCGTGTCGTTGGCCAAGTCTCTGGCGGTTGACGGTGGAAATGATGCCGAAATCAACGCGGACCTGCTGGAGAAGTTCGCGTTTATTGCTGCCGGCAATGTGAATCCGATGAGCGCGACGATTGGCGGAATTGTAGCCCAGGAGGTGATGAAGGCTTGTTCCGGGAAGTTTTCGCCTATATTTCAGTGGGTCTACTTTGACGCATTGGAATGTTTGCCGGAACAGCCAATTACACAGGAGGCGGCCGCACCCACCGGTTCTCGTTATGACGGACAAATTGCCGTTTTCGGCCAAGATTTCCAGGACAAGTTAGGTGAGATAATTAGCAATAATAATCTTGAGCTGAACGCATCGGATTTGTGGGTAAAGTTATGTTCGTTCTCATCTTAAGATGAGGTTTAAAGGTTGCCTTCAATACTGTACAGGGTGGCCAACTAAGAATGCGAGGTACTGTATCCATCGTAAAGGCTTGCGGTAAAAAAATTCATTACTAAAACGGCCACGAGCAAAACCTGGAAAATATTTTTAAGTTTCTGAAATGACCGCTAGGGGGCGTAACTGCAATCTGGAATCTAAAGTCACTAGATATAGAAAGTACCGCAATCATCCGCCATTTTTGGGCAAATTTGCTGCCAACTTAAAAAAATTGACAAATAAAATCTGAATAGCTGTCATTTTTTATAACCTAACTTCATAGTACTGTCATGTTTTATAAAAATATATACAGATTCGGATTTATGGCTCAGTGGTAGAGCATTGGGTTATAAATCCGGAGGTCGGGTGTTCGAACCTGGGTTGAGGTGAATTTTTCATCTGTGGCGGAGATGGAAATTACCTTAGACCAGTTCCGAACATTCTACCGGCTACTCCAAAAATTAGGTTTTCCTAATTCGTAAGGTAAATACCGGAGTAGTATAGACCAACTTAAGACCTTTTGCATTGTGCGGGTCACTGTGTAATTAGGCGCATGCCTGTTGAGGGCCCAAAAGAAGAGAGGGATAAAATTAAAATATCTCCAAACAGGTGGAACAATCCCTAACATTAAAGGTACTAGAATCTGGTAACTTCCGCCATTTTTGGGCAAAAATCATGCGTTCTCTCTCTAACACACGAGCCCAATGGATTGTGGTACTTTCTATAGTGACTTTAGATTCCAGATTGCAGTTACGCCCCCTAGCGGCCATTGCAGAAACTTATAAATATTTTTCAGGTTTTACACAGGATGTAACTCATCTTTGGTGCAATAAAGTCCTTTTGCAAGATGGAAAATAACATGGCCTTGTAGGCAAATTTAACTAAAAGTAAGATAGATGGAAATTACGAATCGTAACTCATTTATCGCACGTAGATTCTAAACTGAAGAGCTTTGATTAGCGTAATCCCGCTCCTGCAAGATAGGTAACCCGCCCCTGGTTTCGGGGTTTCGAGCCTACAGTTGAATGTCAAAGACAATCACGGAATTAGGTGTCGTAGCTCAATTTTTGACTACAGTTTTTACCACCCTCGTGACTGCTTCATTTACTGAGAAAATGTTAGTTACAAACAACAAGTCGGTAATTTCCACATATTAAAATAAAATGGCGTCAATGACTTTTGAGATCAGGGTCTATGAATGCAATTTAGATAGCGTCATTCTTTTCTAGGAGCCCTCAAGTACTTTGTGGTCGGCGCCGGTGCAATCGGATGCGAATTACTCAAGAATTTCGCAATGATGGGACTGGGAGCTAAATCGGGCATGATCACCGTGACCGATATGGATCTGATCGAGAAGTCAAACTTGAATCGGCAATTCTTGTTCCGACCCCACGACGTGCAATGCGCCAAGGCGTCGACGGCCGCAAAGGTAATTCCTCGACTAGTTTCTCGATTATTGTCGCGATCCGTTTTAATTGCAGGCCATCAAAGTGATGAATCCCAATGTAAATATCGTAGCGCACGAGAACCGCGTCGGTCCCGATACTGAAGCCATTTACGATGACACCTTCTTCGAATCACTAGATGGCGTCGCGAACGCCTTGGACAATGTAGATGCTCGCATTTATATGGATCGGCGTTGCGTTTATTATCGAAAGCCGTTGCTCGAGTCGGGCACGTTGGGAACGAAGGGCAATACTCAGGTCGTCGTACCCCACATGACCGAATCGTATAGCTCATCGCAGGACCCGCCGGAGAAGAGTATTCCGATTTGCACTTTGAAAAATTTCCCCAACGCCATCGAGCACACCCTGCAGTGGGCGCGAGACAACTTTGAAGGATTATTTAAACAAAGCGCCGAAAACGCCTCGCAATATCTATCCGACCCCGACTTTATTGATCGAACTTTGAAGCTGCCAGGCGTACAACCGATTGAGATTTTAGAATCGGTAAGATTCGCATTGGTAGAAGACCGTCCTAAGGGCATGCAGGACTGCGTCACATGGGCGCGTAACCACTGGGAGGAACAGTACGCCAATCAAATCAAGCAACTACTATTTAATTTCCCGCCGGATCAACTAACCTCGACCGGGCAACTATTTTGGTCGGGCCCGAAACGTTGTCCGGAACCTCTCACGTTTAACGCAGACGATCCGTTACACTTTGATTACATTTTCACCGCCGCAAATCTTAAAGCGGAGGTTTATGGAATACCACAAGTGAGGGACAGAGAGGCGATCCGACAGATGGTAGCAAATGTTGTCGTAAGTTCCATTCTTATTTATTAGCTATCATGAAATTTGCGTGTTTATCACCTCGGTCACTGTTAGCGTCCAGTTTCATCATTTTGGGCAAATTTACTGCCAACTTAAAAAAATTTACAAATAAAATCTGAATAGCTGTCATTTTTTATAAGCTAACTTCATAGTACTGTCATGTTTTATAAAAATATATACAGATATCTCCAAACAGGTGGAACAATCCCTAACATTAAAATTACTAGAATCTGGTAACTCCCGCCTTTTTTGGGCAAAAATCATGCGTTCTCTCTCTAACACACTAGCCCAATAGATTGCGGTACTTTCTATATTTAGGGACTACCCATTCTCTTTCAAGTGAGCCGCCTATCGTCGAAGTCTATATTTAATGACAAATAGTGGAAGCGTATACAAATACAAATTTTGAAATGAGCTTAGTTTTACCATAGAGTAAATACAATAAGAGTTTCAGACGCTTATTAATTTGTCGCCACCTTTCACACACCTCACAAGTAGATGGCGATGTAAAATTTGCTGCCAACTTAAAAAAATTGACAAATAAAATCTGAATAGCTGTCATTTTTTATAACCTAACTTCATAGTACTGTCATTCCCTTTAAATAAATCAAAGAATTTTTCACTTTACTGCCCGACCTTTCAAGACGATGGCATTCCGTTAAAAAAAATAGATTGATTGTACTCTGTCGAATAATTTATTACCTACCTACTTACAATTCTATAAAATGTGTGAAACGAAATCCAATACGCACACAACAATTAATAGCAAGTATCGAAAGTTCATTAAATAAAATTTGTTGAGGGTTTTGACGGGGCTACATGCTGTGAGGTCGGCGACATCCGGGCGCCATCGCCGAGCGCGGTTTACTAACGTGGTGATTTTTTAGTTCTTTCCTATTTTCTTCTGCAGGAAAAACTGCAATGCCAGTTTATCCTATTTGTTTGTAACTCATTGTATTTCCTCTATGGCTTTACTTTTATTCGAAGTGTCTACATATGGAATTTTTTATAAATGCTTTCGTAAATAGCATTGCGCATTGTCTACATTAGAAATTTCATTGAATACCTTCATAAATAAAACATACCGCATGCGTAAACAGTAAATTTGAAACCGGTATTAGTTTTAGTTTAATTCAAAGTGCCTACATATGATATTTCATTTAACTGCTTTCATAAATAAGAAAGTTGGCACTGCGCATGCGCAAAACCAAAAATATCGGTACTCACGGAATCCTTGAGCCCTTTCAAATGAGCCCTATATCGCCCAAATCGGTTCAGTGGTGCTGAAGGAGTACGTGTGACGGACGGACGGACGTCAAAGTGCAGCCAATAGCGCTAAAAACCCTTTGACCTCAGTCTTTTGCCGTCTTCTAAATCTTTATTGATGTTGCATTAAAGGTGAGACGGTCCACTGTATGAGTGCGTTGATGGGGGAGTGGTCAGAAACTTTCTGAGCGAATCAGAATGACTCACGCTCGTGTATTGTCATTTAAGGTTCCCCCGTTCATTCCGAAGTCCGGTGTGAAGATTGCGGTAACCGATTCTCAAATGGCTGTGAGTAATGGTACTAACGTCGATATGGACCGGGTAACCCAGCTGCAGGAGGAGCTGCCCTCGCCCGAAGAACTGAACAACCTCAAACTCAACCCGATCGAGTTCGAAAAGGACGACGACGCCAACCTGCACATGGACTACATCGTCGCCGCCTCGAATCTACGGGCCGCAAATTACAAGATACCGCCCGCCGACCGTCACCGTTCCAAATTGATAGCGGGCAAAATTATACCGGCGATAGCGACGACGACGTCGGTCGTCTCCGGAATGGTCTGCCTCGAGCTGTACAAGTTGCTGAACGGAATGGAGAAGTTGGATCCGTTCAAGAACGGCTTCGTAAATTTGGCGCTCCCCTTCTTGGGATTCTCGGAGCCGATCGCCGCGCCCAAGATGGAATACTGCGGCAACGCGTGGACGCTGTGGGACCGATTCGAGATCGACGGCGAGATGACGCTCAGCGAGTTTCTCGACTACTTCAAAACGAAGCACGGACTGGAAATCACGATGTTGTCGCAGGGCGTCTGCATGCTTTACTCGTTTTTCATGGCGAAGTCCAAGGCGCAGGAGAGGCTAAATTTGCCGATGTCCGAGGTGGTTAAGAAGGTATCAAAACGCCGCATCGAACCGCACGTAAGGGCTCTAGTTTTTGAATTATGTTGCAACGATGCCGATGGTAATGATGTCGAAGTGCCGTACGTGAAGTATACGCTACCTTGAGTTATATTAATGTAAGTAACCTGTATTTGCACAGACTTAAAATTTCAAGTGACTTCATGGACCGTGATTGATAATTCCATCACCATTCTGTATTTAATTTATATTGTATTACTATTCCTTCCGATTGCAATTTAAAAATGTTTGTATTAGAGTCGTTGGAATGTAGTTTGCATTTGTGGCTTATTTTCTTATTTTTGTGTGAAATTCTAATAAAATATTAGTATTTTCTAGCAGCTTTATATTTTTCTAATGTTTACAAATTTTAGAAAACTTCGCTGTAAGCTGTTTCAAAAATTTGGTTTTGAATTGTATTTCGTTTAACATAGGAAAATTTACACGTGCACCGCTTCATAGCGAACATGAATGAAGGTGTGTCTGGCGATAACAAGAACCATATTGGAGAAATGGCCCCAGCATAGACGCGCCCATGATGTGCACGTTTTAGTTATTTTCTAGGGGAATTTTCCTAGTGCTCAAGTTTTGAGACTAGTGCAGCCTTGGAAAATGACATGTGTCACAGTAATTTATTTAGAACATGTGAGGTTAATGTTTGTTTATTAGTTGATTTGAATTTCGCGCCATGTAAGTGTAGGTGTCATTTGTCAATTCAGCATTAGCAGTCCATCTTAATTTATAAGTTCGTGGACAGAGGCCACATGCGGACTTTGTTGACAGCCAAATGAGACAGCTTAACGTATTCTATGTCGATGCGAGGCTGATGCCGGGAAAAGGCTAAATCGAGGTATTTTAAGTTTAGTTGAGATGTCGCCACGTACGTAACTTCATTTGAAATTGCTTTTGAATTTATGCGATTAATAGCCGCCTTGGACTTTGTTTTCCTTAAATGGCATTTCAAGATGGACGGAGTTCTTTTGAACTAGTAGCCCAATCTTGGAACTGTTTGAAATTATGGATTCTACAGGACACATTCTATAAGAAAATGTTTTTTCCGGGTCGATCTGAGACAATTTTTTCTTCGGGGCTCAAAAAAAGGCAGTCCTTCAGTGTTATACCTTCCTTTTTTACCAAAAATTGACTGCACCAAAATTTCTCGGGAAAACACATTTTCTTATTAATTTGGGTGCGTAGAATCCAAATCTATTCGTACTTTTTCGATCAGACTTCTCAATCAAAAGTTATAGACTAGAAAAAAAGGGCTGTAACTTTTGAACTAGTAGCCCATTATGGCGATTTAACTCTTGTATTGGGAACAGATACTTTATTAAAATCGTCAAAAATCTAGGTATAGGTATACCAAAGAGGTATACGGACGGCCATCCGTTTACCCGCCCTGACCTTTGGCATTCCAAAAACGCTATGACGCAAAGGAATAGGCTATAATACAGGGACGAAATGTTTAATTTTCGAGTTTTGTGGTTTACTCCTTTGACAGCGAAAGGCACAAATCCCAAAATGTTTATAGCCTTGCCTGAGTTTTTGGAATCAAAGCAGAATACAATGTGCTGACATCTGTCTTTATTATTGGGGACTAAGATTTTATCGTTAAATGCAGGACAGTTTATTACCACCATTATTTTAGTTGGAACTTACACCTCAAAGATGTCGCCACACTAATTTTGTATTGTACTTTATGAAACTAACGTTAGATGTCTGAGCGCAGATTTTAAAAACCATAGATATATGGAGTTTTAACCTCAAATGCATAATGAATGTTTGTTTATTTTATAGTCAAAAATTAAACTTTGTTATCATTCCTTCTCGCTTACAGGTTTAAATTAGGGAACTGGGTACTGGGAGTGACAGGAAAGCGGCAGACTCAACCTTTGCGGAATATGATACTGTTCGCCCTGGGTCGTGCAATCGAAGACATGTAGTTCTCGATGGATGAGAAACGTTAGCATTGAATTCAGAAACACGAATTGAAAAGGGAAATGCTTTGTAACCAAAACAGGGGGACACCGTGGAGAACTCGCAGAAAACCCATTCTAATGCAATTCAAACTTCTCAAGGTTAAAATCGGAACGATTACATGATTGCAGCAGCTGGCGATGGTGCGAAGCTATTCTTTAAAGAATTGAGCCTAGAGTTTATTTGATAGAACTACGGTTATAGAAACGGTAGTGAAATTGGCAGCGAAATAAGGCAAAAGTGTTACGCAGTTTGCAATCACGAAAAAATGTGTTGTTTGTGCGATCTTCGTGTGAAAATTGTTGTAAAACGGTTCAGTTTAATGTACCTGTTATTGAAATTGTTCTTCCAAGGGCTTTAAATAAACTCCTATGCATAAGAAGTTACGAATTGCAAAATAAATATTTTCTGTTCATTGAGCATGATGTGTTGCCTACTAACCAGGCTACACAAATATCCAGTGCCCATATTCAAATTAGGGATTTGCTTGAATCTCCCCAATCTGCCGTTTTTATTGAGGTAAGGAGGGCCTCCACGAACGAATGGCCCAGGGCCCCGAAAAACTTAAAAACGGCACTGCATTTAAGGAATAATACGTGCAACGTTGCTATTAAATAAAATTTTAAAAGATGCGTACGTGGCGACATCTCAACTAGACTTCTCAAACTATAATTGATAGAAAGTGTATCGATTCCCATGGAGATGGCGCACTAGTACTTATTGTATTTAATCTATCTATTCAAAAACCGGGCCTTTAAACTACAATTGCTCTACAAATCTTGCAAGACTCCGTACATTTTGAACTGCCATTTATTCAGACTTCTCAATCAAAAGTTATAGACTAGAAAAAAATTCAAAGAGCTGTAACTTTTGAACTAGTAGCCCAATCTTGGAACTGCTTGAAATTATGGATTCTACATGCCACATTGTACAAGAAAATGTTTTTTCCGGGTCGATCCCAGACAATTTTTTCTTCGGGGCTCAAAAAAAGGCAGTGTTATACCTTCCTTTTTTTCCAAAAATCGACTACACCAAAAATTTCTTGAGAAAACACTTTTTCTTATTAATTTTGGTGCGTAGAATCCAAAACAATTCGTACTTTTTCGATTAGACTTCTCAATCAAAAGTTATAGACTAGAAAAAAATTCAAAGGGCTGTAACTTTTGAACATGTTTATACTGCTCCACAATAGAGGGCGCCTTTAAGTATACCTAAATTTGTTTCCCAAAAAATGCATAAGGTTAGCAATCTGTGTCAGATGTAACACGAGCTGATTTTTCTCCAGGGACAGTTGATGTCTCGTCGACGTTAAAAATCTTGTGAGGGAAATTGTTTTTCCGCAATATTCTTCAAGAAAATTCCCTTCTGAATTTCTCAAGGCAATCTCTGGATGTCTTTTGGTAAAATCAACAAATCAAGTGTGCCCTGCCATATGACAAAGATACATTTTATATTTATCACATAACAATAACAATCACCACATTTTAAATTATGCAATTGCAAAAACGTTTACGCATTAATTAAAATTAAGGTATAAACAAAAAAAAACATTATAAAAATACTTCTGCAATGATAATACTAATACTTAAAAATCACATTCTAATAATTGGAAGACTTTTAAAATTCCTCGCTCCACATTTGACTAGCCGAACGAAATCTTTACAAATTATAACCGACGACCTGCTTTTGTAATGAAAGCATCTCCTTCTTTAACAGATTGAGATTGTTGTGGAGTTCGTAGAGAGGCCTCTCGCTTCGAGGCGTAAGACTTCGCTTCAGGAGCTCGTTTATGAACTCCTCGTCGTACTTACACGCGCTCGACGGCTCCGGAACGGGCGGACGCGCCTCGGGCGGTAACACGGACAGCTGCTTCTTCAACGCCTGAAAAATACGGAGATACAAATTGAAACTACTGCACATTATTATTATTATTTTTTTTTATTGTATGTAAATAACGAACCTCGCTTTGATTTTTGGAAGAGGTCAGCGCGAACTTAAGGTCATTACAGAGCCGTTGCAGAAAGTACTTGTCCGACTTGACGGCGTCGAGATCGTTCTCGAGGACCCGAACGTCCGACTTGAGATTGTCGATGATGATTTGCTCGAGTTTTCGTTTCGTGTCCGAAAAGATTTTCTGCTCGCGTAACTCGGTCAGCTCGTTCGAATTGCAGGTCAGTTTCATCTTGAGGCCGTCGAGCTCGTCCTTTAGCATGTCGTTTTCGGCCTTGTTGCGTTGCGACGCCGTTTCCTTCTCGTTGAGCGACGCCGCGAGGTCTCCATTCCGTTGTTGCTCGAGCGTCAAACTGGCGAAGGTGTGAGCTTTCGCCTGCTCTTCGCTGTGGAGTTTACGTTCCAATTCGGAGAACTCACGGTGGATATCGACAAGCTTCTGGGATAGACTCTGATTTCGTTCCTCGAGCTGTTTGTAATCGCAAGCCTGGTTTTTAATTGAGGTTTCTAGGTGGAGGGCCTCATTTTTGTACTTTGCCACTTCCTCCTTTAAAATGGAATATTCTCGCTTCAGCTTCACGTTAGAATTCGTCAAGTTTTCGCATTCGCTACGCAAATTATGTAAGTCGAAGGCATGTGTGGCTTTCTGAAGTTTACTTGTGCTCAATTCCTCCGCTAAACTATCGTGCAACTCTTGCAAGTACTTGCAGTGTTTCTCCGCTACGTGTCGCCCCCTCATATGTTCCTTCACCTTCCTCAGTAAGGTGCGATAGTTAGCTTGAAAGCGCTTCTCTTTTTCCTTCATCTCCGATTCTTTCGCCTTGCAAAGCGCCTTTAGGTGTCTCACATCGTCGCCGCACTCCGACCCGTTTGTGCAAACCGACAATTTCAACGCGGAAATGTCTTCCTCGTCAGAAGTCGCCTGCGATTTCAGTCGATCGAGGCGATTCTCAATCTGAACCAGCCGATTTTTAACGTTCGCCATCTCCGCGCTCTTCTTCCTGTTTAGTTTACGCACCTCACTTTCCAAAATGGCCTTTTTCGTCTCGCATTCGACCTTAGATTCGGTTAACAGCCGCAGGTCTCTGACTAGACCGGCAGATTTCTCAATTTCCCCGTCTAGCCTTTCCTGAATGCGAGCGATGGTATCGCAGTACGTCCGAGCGTCGCGGGATAACTTCTCGTTAACGTTTTCGGCGTCGCGTCGCGCCGCCTCCAACGTCTTCGTCGACTGATCGGCTTTAAACAGTCGACCTTGAATTTGACGAAAGCGTTCTGCGAACCTTCATTGGAAAAAGGAGGCCGTTACTTAAAATGCCAATGGATAAAACTACAAGATAAATGGTCACCGGTTTAAAGCATGTCCGCATTTGCAACACTGTACCATCGCAACCAACTCTGCAGGAAAACCTAATTCGGAGTAGTCCTATAATGAACAACATCCAATGTACAGCACTTTTGAGCCCTCTCGAAACCGCGGTAACTACTACAACCACGCGATGAGTAACCAAAATGAAATCGAGCCATTCCCCAGGTATTACAACACATACATCAGACAAAACTAAGAGATGTTAAATATACCTCGCCGGGCGGGAGGAATACCCAGGCCCAGTGGAGTGCCTGTAGACGTGGGCTAAAGTTGTTGGGTTCGGAACGAGTGAAAATGTTAGTGTTAGGTTCACCAAGGCTCGTATAAACTTGAATAGCTCGATCCCCTCTAAACAAGCACACTTCCCTCTTGATTACTCACAGTCCCAAATAAGCAAATATAATGAAATGCAATGAAACAATCGAGAGTGACTAAAAAGCACAATACACAAATATGTACAGCGCAGATACAGCCCTACCGACAATGAAACATGATTACCAATACCAACAAAGGTTAAGTACAAGTGATTGAATTCAGTAAGTACATAAGTAAAGGGTTTACATCTACATAAGACAAGCCGTACTTTACACTTGAGCTGTTTACAAGACAAAGACCATGAACACACATGTTAAATCCTATTTATTGACTACCCCAAGCGACGCTGTAACTTGATCTCTCAACACCCCTAAAAACCACCCGAAAATCGCCCATTTCACGCATTTCTAAGAAAAAAGTGGACTGCAGGTGTTTGAAATTGTAAATCCGTCTCATCTTCGCTCTCTTTCCCTTTTCTGTAATCCCACCAGATTTCGGTTGGCAGCTTGTGTAACTAACATGATGTATAGGGTGTATAGGGTATCGACAATCGTATTCACAGGTCGTTGCTAAAGTTGGGGCATCTCAGAACATTAAGGAATTTACGGTTTTGTAATAATAAAAATTAATATTTGATGGTCTTGTGTATTGATAAATTGTTTTAAAGTTGTTTTTGTACTTGGTGACAAAATCACTCCGATCACATTTTAAAACTTGGCAGGGTCCGTGTCTTACATATGTTAGATGGTTTGGTGCCGCAAGAGCGCTGGGCACACTTTAAATGCTAATAAATGTGTTTTACTATTAGATTTATCATTTGTGGCATAGTCACACTGGACACACTGTGTTAAAATGGTACTGCGCATGTGCGGTGTTCCACTTACAATGCAAAATATATCTCTATCTGTATTAGATACGTTGGCACAGACACTCCTTGTTGAAAATAAAATCTTAGATCATATACAGGGTGTTTTTTTGGGAGCTTTAGTTAAACGTTTCTGGGAAAGTAAAATACGTAGGTTTTTGAAAATTTGTACTTAGGAGTTACTCTGAAGGCCGAATCGATGTAAAATATTTTCAAAATGTCCGCACTTCCGGAAACACCGGAAGTAGATAGTAACTTCGTTATTTTAAATGGCAACCCCTATTTTTTATTGCATTTTTGGATTCTACGTGAATTTCAGTTCTTTTGATCCCTATATGTCGATATCTGCCGTTTATGGTTTTTAAGTTATTTTGACTCTAAGAAAAAAAATGGCGGATGCAGATGGTACCTTGATAATTGATTACTTGAAAACGGTTGTAGTCATGGCAACCCTTTTTTATCAGTGCATAGAGAATGAATAGGACTGTCTTTTAGTGTACATACTTAAAAAAAGTTAAGTTGCGTACAACCGCACCTATGGAGATCCAAATTTAAGAAACTTCAAAGTCTAGAAACTCAGTTTTTTTTAAATGGAATGACCATGTTCTTAATATTGCATGAGATAGAGAATCGAAATTGGTATATTTTGATATTGCATGTTCCTATAGCTATCTTGAACAGTTTCTGATTTATTCCCATTTCATTGAATTGATCTCGGAATTGATGCCATTTTTTTTCGCATTTTCTTTTTAGTAGTTGGCCATGATTTTATAACAATCGAATTTTAAACAAATCAAGGAATGGATTCTTTAATACCATTGATTCTAGTTCTAGTCTAAATAATTCATTAATAAATAACTCATTTATTAAGGATATAGGACGGAAAATTTTTGAAAAATCTAAACAGAGTCGTTCAACTGAATTTCTTAAACAACGTATAAGTCTGGAAATTAAGAGAGGTCTGTTCTAGCAACAATTCCATACCAAAAATGTTTCAACGAAGTTTTTTATATTTTGCATTGAATTTATTTTGTTAATCTTGCATTTGCAATTCAATTCATTTTCTTAAATATTCTCTTGTAGAGCTTTGTATCATTTGTGCTTCAACGGTTTGTAGTGCATTTGGGGGTACAAAATTTCCAAAATTCATACAATTTCGTTCTAGTTTTCGAATGAATGTACGGAAAACACGCGCCGCGATTCTGCCCATTTCACCATAAATAACAATTAAATTCCAAAATAGGTGAAACCACTGCGAGTCATTTTTCGATTTTTGAAAAACTTATGTTAACCTATAACAGTGGGTGACGGATTAGTGTCACTAGATTTGTTTAAAATTCGATTGTTATAAAATCATGGCCGACTACTAAAAATAAATCCGAAAAAAATAGTGTCAATTCAATAAAATGGGAATAAGTCAGAAACTGTTAAAGATAGCTATAGGAACATGTATTGTCAAAATATGCCCATTTCGATTCTCTATCTCATGGAATAGTAAGAACATTCCATTTAAAAAACTGAGTTTTTCTTTTTAGTCTTTGAAGTTTCATAAATTTGGATATCCATAGGGGCGGTCGTACGCAACTTAACTTTTTTTTAAGTGCACTAAAAGAAAGCCTTATTAATTCTCTATGCACTGATAAAAATAGGTTGCCATGACTACAACCGTTTTCAAGTAATCAATTATCAAGGTACCATCTGCATCCGCCATTTTTCAGTCAAAATAACTTAAAAACCATAAAGGGTAGATATTGACATCTGGGTATCAAAAGAAGTGAAATTTCACGTAGAATCCAAAAATACAATAAAAAATAGGGGTTGCCATTTAAAATAACGAAGTTACTATCTACTTCCGGTGTTTCCGGAAGTGCGGCCATTTTGAAAATATTTTACATCGATTCGGCCTTCAGAGTAACTCCTAAGTACAAATTTTCAAAAACCTACCTATTTTACTTTCCCAGTAACTAAAGCTCCCAAAAAAACACCCTGTACAGTGTGTCCCAGATCGGGTGGGATTGCATGGGTAACTTTCTTATTGTTAAAGATAGAGAATTGGTTAAATGGACAATGTTTTGCAGTTTTAGATGCTTATTTAAAATTTCCTTGCGGAAATTCAATATGTCGCATAGGTTCGACGTAAATTCAAAAAAACTAAAATTGGTCATTTCCTTGAATGTCTTATATCATCGAAAGTATAAGAGATATAAAAAAAAGTTTTATATAAAAGTGACTGTCTTTGATACGCTTAATTTAGAATTGATGTCAAAACAAAATTCAAGATGGCTACTTTTGAGGAACATTTACCAACTTCCTAAAGTTAAATGGGTTAATGGGCGCCATATTTGATTTTTAGATTACTTGATAGATTTTTAAATTCTCTTTTCAACGAGCTATTACAACATAAGATTGAAAATAAGATACCAATTATATTAACGGTTTTTGTATTTTAATCAAGTAGTCTGTGACGAATAAAAAAAAACAAAACAAAATCTATTCGAGGCAACAAAACAATGAAAATAATTACATCAGATGTTTAAAAAAATCAGGGACGCACTCATGAGAGGGGGGGTTTGGGCATTACAACTCCCTCCAAAATTTTATATAAGCATTAGGTCTAGAAAAACTTGATTTTTATAACATCACTTATTGACTTATTATTCATAGTTACATACCTACAAGATCAAGATATTTAGTTCGTTCTTTTTGCATTTGGTATCTTTAAGCTCTGTCACCTCAACCAAGAAAAATCTTGACGAGTAATGTGCGCATGCGCAGACTACGCAATGTCGACTTTCTTATTTATTAATATATTTTGTTGATATTTTAACCACAGACACTTCTAGTAAAGGCAAACATATCGCATATAGTAAAAATCAGATGTGCACATGCGCGGACTGCGGAATGAATTTATGACTTAACTTACTTATGGCGATATTTCTTTGAAATTTTAACCAAATATGCTTTTGGTGAAGGCACACGTATCGCATATTCTAAACATCAGATTAATATGCGCATTTATGCAATATCAACTGTCTTATTATTCAAAATATTTTTTTGCAATCTTTATCACAGGTGCTTCTGTTTAAAGCAAACATATCTCATATTGTAAACATTAGATGTGCGCATGCGCCGTTTATACGCACTCTGCGCAGTGTCAACTTTTTTATTAATGAAGATATGTCTTTGAAATATTAACCACAAATACCGCACATAGCTATGGCTTTTGGAAAGTACTGATCAATGCCTGGAAAATGCATTGAAGTTACTCGCCCTACTTTTTTATTTGTTATATTAATGGGCAGTAACTTAAGCACATTTGCGTTTATGCAATGTCTCACAAAATGAAACATCGTTTATGGGGCTGTACGGAATACCTTGGAATATTTTGTAGGAACTAGTTTGTTGTTTTTAAAGGAAGTTAATTCTTTGAATTTACAAATGTGGACAAAGAAAACCTACTATTACTAATTTATTTTAGTTACATTTCCAATTTGTAATTAAGGACATATCTAAGTAGGGTTGCCACATGGCCGGGATTTTCCAGGATTGTCCTGGAAATAGCTGCACTGTCCTGGATCCCGATTTTTCATACCTATATAAATCCTGGAAAAAATATCGCAACGTCTTGAATAAAAATTCAAAATTTACACTTGCCCAAACCCAAATAGTGGTGACACCGCACAAACCAAAAGAAATAGCCACAAACCTGGATCGCGGGATCGTGACGTTGACATGCACGTTATAGGGAACCAGTTTTTTTTAATATGTTGGTTTTTGTTCCAAAAAACATGGTTTTGTTAAATTTGAATGATACATTCTGGTTTTTTTTTATTAAAATATGTTTACTGTTGCGTTATTGTGTGCGTTAAAAAAATATAATGGGATTACATTAAAAAAAATAAATATAAGTAATATCAATTAAAAAATTAGCAACAAAAAACAAAAATTCATTAATAATGAAGAACTCCCTATATATTTTATTGCCATAATGACCTTTTGGAACCTAAACGTGTTATACAGTATATTAAAATGAGTGGAAACGAAGAATTAAATAAAATTCATATTTTAATCTATAAAAATAAATGTTAAACGATAACTGTAGCATGCACCTGGCGTGGTATTACAGTAAGCCAGTGTAATATAGTTTCATAAGGCTAACTGTACTGGGTTCAGCGACATCTACTGAAGGGAAGATTCAATTACAATTAGCACCGAATGTTGTATCATGGGCGCACACCACTTTACAAATATATCGACTCGTGAGACATCTAGCAATCACAAATATGAACTAACCAAAATTCAAACGCGTTGTTTTACTATTGTGTTATATTATGACTGTACCATCACGAAACGCGCCGCGTCAGTGTGGACGACGCCACCAACTCCGTTAAAGGATATGCGCATGCGCGATACCAAATTTGGTTCCAATCGGTTCGGCTTAGTCAAAAATGACAAATCGTTGTTTGATTCGAGGGATGGGGGGAGGGTTTAAAAAGACAGTACAATCCATGCCATGGTACAAAAAAATCAAAGATTGTAAACTGCCAGTTTCAACAGGATGGTGCACCTGCGCACAACTCCCTAATTGTGTAAGAATTTCAAATTTCCTGGAAAATGATTTCTCCCAATTTTATTGGTGGGGTTCTCACCCCTGTATCAAAACAGGCACAAACAGCACTGCGGCTACTAACACCCCCACAATCTTTTTAAGAATACCGTGACCATTTATTTTGTGGCTCATTATAAACGGAGACTAAATCGTAAATATTCCCAATATCACAGAAGTAAATAAATAAATATTACCTTGAAAAGTTGTCGCGTATTTCCGCAACCGCCCGCTCCATTTCCGACTTTTCACATTGGGCTTCTTTAAGAGCGCATTCGGCCCGCAACTTACCCTCGACGACTCCCCGCATCAAACCACGCAAGTTGAAAAGCTCACCCTCCAAAATCTCCACTTTTCCGCGCAAATCGCTATTGTCGTTCTCCAGATTTGAAATGATCGCGTCCCTCTCGAATATACTCCTCGAACAATCAGCGTTAAGCGCCGCCAATTCCACGTTCTGCTTCGCGATTCCATCGAACGACTCCTGCTGAGAGCCGACCGCACGTTTCAACGTCGCTAGCTCGAGATTTAAATTGCCGATGGTCGTCTCGTACATTTGAACATCGGGCAGTTGGTCGGGCACTTTCGAAAGACGATCGTAGGCCACCTGTAAATCTTCGAGCGTGGCAGTGATATACAAAGATTTACTGTTCTGCGCGTTCAATTCACGTTCTTTACCGATCAGCAACGAGTGTAATTGCGACATTTCGTCGACCAGTCTGGCCTTGTCCGTACGGCACTCGTGCAAACGCTCCTTGTACCACACCTCCGATTTTTTAGACGAATTAAATTCGTTACGTAAAACCCGCAAGTCGTTATTTAACTTAATATTGTTACGCGTGTAAAGCTGAAGCTCAACGTGGAGATCGACAATCTTCCGTTTCAACGCAGTAACGGACGTACTTTTAGTGTCGAGATCAATTCGGTGTTCCTCAAGCGAAAGTTTCAAGGCGTTGTTCGACAACTCCAACTGATGAACTTCATCGCGTAAACGATTCATCTCGTTACACTCGCGTGTCGTCAACTCGCCACTCGTGACCGCCAGCTGTGCTTCAAGCTGCACGATGCGATCACACAATCTCTGCACTTTCTCCCGATTAACGGATTCCAATTTCGTTTCCAAATTATAAAAATCATGGCGATACTTCTCGTTGAGCTCGAGCGCCGTTTGCAAATCATTAAACTTTAAATTCTCCTGAAAGTGGGGCAAGTCTAAAATCAACGAGGGCTCCCTTATGACCGACTTGAGATCGCAGAACTCGTCCTCGAACCCGGTCAGTCCCGAAATGCTGGATAGATTCGAACTTGATGCGTTCGAAGCGGTTTCGAATCTATCCATTCTAAAGCAAATTAATAGAAAATTATATCGGAATGCATTTTTGAGAAAATTAACCTAACTTTTTACAATCTAGTCTAGTGACCCAATTTCCATAGAAGCTAAAGTCTTATTAGACCCAAAATTTGTTAGTTCTCCAATTAGAGCCCGATTTACATTGTGCAGTTTCAAAATCAGAGCCTTGTATCGTTCCTCACTATTTTTATTCAACGAAATCGCCTCATTATCGTTCATCTGATTTAGCTTGAGTTTCCACACTTTCTCTTTGTAGAGTAAAACACTTTTTAAGGTTTGCACTTCGTTCAGCAAAGTTTGCTTTTCTTGTACTAAATTGTCAACACCGAGTTTTTCCACTGCTAGCTTTTGATGCAACCTTTCAAACGACGACAGTCGATTACGCAGCTCTTCTTGCAACACTTCAATTTTGTTCTACAAACTACATCTAAAACGACTAAGGGGTCGATAGATACAATACCTTTAAAATCGAGTTTTCGAGTTTGAGTTTATTAACGATAGTGTTATTATCTCGCTGTTGCAATATCAACTTGCGGTACATGTTTATAACCATTAATGAGCTCTTGATTATGTCTTCTTTGGTTGATCCATTGGGTACAATTCCTACGGTATCGAACTCCTTAAAGAAACACGATAAAAGATGTAAGGGATTAAAGGCGACGAAATACCTGCATCAGTTATCCATTAAAGTTCCATAACTAGGTTTGTTGTACCTTCTCTCAATTTCACTTAAATCCTGTTCAACTTTATTTAATTCAAGCGAGCCTAATGTATTCATTGTACATAAATCAAAAATTGTAACGGTTTTGCACGTGTTCGTAATATCCCCCACCGAAAGATGACGCTGTATTGAAAAACACAAGGCCGCATTCAGCCCTGCACAAACATTTGAAATAGGCCAATAGGAACGAACCTCTCTACAGGTGGTTGCGCAAAAAATGTTCGTATTTATTTCTATAAAGGCAGTTCCAATTCTGGATGTTTACAAATACGACAGTTACACGTAAAAAAGTACAACTGGTTACAGTGTTCTTGTCTGGTTTCCTTGTCCGCATAACGATAGTCAATACCGTAACAATTAGAGATCTCTTCACCAGGATAAACTTCTTCGGCGGCCTTTGCAACGAGAACTTGGTCAAAATAGCTAAAAATTAATTTTTTCATTTTTGTTAGAGCACCCTGTAAAATCAATTCAAGAATTGTATCAAATTTACTTCTGGGTAGTTTTAAACACCTTAACAAAAACTTACGCACTTCATTGCACACCCTGTATAACCATTGATACCTACTCAATTGTTATGTTGGATTTGCAGGAGTGATTCATCATACTAACACTTGGGTAAATTCCACAAGCCAAGCTAGAATCTTCTGATGCAAAGAACTTATCCGTGTTAAGTTTGGTGCATATTAGACTTGAGTTACATTGCAATTGCGCCATGTGTTTGACAAGACGACCGCCCAAACTGCACACAAACTCAGTCTGTTTACTCATACCCTTTAAATAACCGGTATAATCCTCTAAGTATAGCACAATCACACACGCAGTCTGAAATCATTACGAACATTCTCCCAAATACTCATTATTGCAATTACCTACAACTATCAATGGTAGAATATTGTCCATCTTTGATAAATTGGATATTAATTTATCAAAATAAGGATAGTTATCAAAGGGGTCTCCAAACTTTGCAGTGTCCTCATAGGAGCTACTTAATGCGCGTAGTCCATGTGGCAACCCTTTAAAAAGAGCTCTGACAGCTGGAAACCCAATACCAAGGTGATACCATAAATCGGCACGCATACCGCAGCACTCCCATTGATGGAATTCTTGCCAGGAGCTTTCACGACATTCCTCATTGCAAAATACACATACAACGCATGTTTGACATCTACAACCGATAGTGAACAACTAAATAATATTAAAATCGCTTACGGTATCGAGCTGTAGATCAACTTTAAACAATTATAACACCTTGTTAACGATAACTCTTTGTCATCATTAAAAACTGGCGCGAAAACGAATGGTTTTTCAACAAACAAAATATCGCCAGGCTTCAACCTTTTGTTAGCAACAACATGGCGGCCGCGAATCTCATCATACCTGGAATCATTCGATAAGTTCACGTGCGTAACAAAATCCTCTTTACCTAAGCGATACAGCAGAAGATGCGGATAAAAAATTACAATTAATCTCAGCATCTTTTAGTGAAGGCACTTTGGCGGCAGGTTTCGGTTCCGTGCTCCCCTTGCTAAGGGAAGCTTTCAAGATTTCCTCTTTCACTTTGTCTAAAACAGAAGACGCAATTTTTCGCACGTGACAATTTAAAATTTGTACCTTCACGAGTGGAAGTAAAGTCTACGGCCTCGTCTACGGCATTTTTCACATCCAAATGTAAAATAGCTAAACATTTAATGCGGCGGATTAACAGTTTTAGTTTGATATGATCCGGTAGATCGTGTTTAAAGGCGAAAGCAATATCGCTTAAGCAATCCTGAAAGATCTACGTAACTTATGCTATCGTCACAAAAACACTTACCTCATAATGTCCGGTCATATAAAATAATGCAGATCGATTAGCGGTTATAAAACCGAGATCGTTGCGTGCGAAGCAAAGGGCTTTCGTGTAACACCTGAAAGCCTTTCGGAAGTTCTTCTCTGCATAGTACTTGTTGCCTTCGAGTCTTAGTGCAATGCTCTTCGTGTCATCTTTTAATTGTGAACTTTGCAAAAGAGTGCGGAGCCATAATTTCGCGTGTCTGGAAGCTACGAGTTAAAATTAGACAGCAAAAGCGACGTACGTACTGGTCAATTGCGTAAAATTGTGAGAATATCTCCGCAACATTGTCTTCGGCACCTTTTATTGTTATTCCTGTGTATTTTTCAAATAAACCGTCCATTTTGAGGTTAAATTAAATTGGAAAGTATGAGAAATGCACTGGAGGCGATAGTCATACTATCCATTTTTTTACCTACTTGCCAGTAATCTTTTTATTCGCGATTCAGACACTAGAGGGCAGATGCGGCGGTGTAATTTACAAATGGGGTGTAAACACAATTCACAAATTAAATACGTTGACAAGTAGCGCAGTTATTGTTATTATTATACACTGATACCAGTGATAGAATCCTTGCTCTTGATTAATGACATTTTTGCAAGTGTATCTATACACACACTACAATGATTATTCCTTATTCATTGTATACCACCAATAGTAATTACAACGTGCTTCCAACAGAGGTCTCACTATTAATCTGAATCACGAATGGCATTCGAATATATATGGATAACATAAAGGCAATTGATTTGGCAAAGCTTATGCCAAAAGGTATATAAAATCGCCACCTACAGAAAGTTATAAATCAGTAACAAAATAAAGCAGATCCTCCTAGTGGAAATGCAACTTGACCAGGGCAGTTGCAGCCCTCGGTTGACCATGGGCTGCCTCACAGCAATAATAATAGCCTACAGTCAGAATAGTCATACCAGAAAGTATAAGAACAGAGAACTAAACAGTACTACACTCCTTTATGACGCCGGTTTTACACTTTAAAAAAACTTTATTTACAGTCTTCATGGTAGGGTTCAAGGGTCCGTAAATCTCTCCATGTTGGCGGAAGATTACTGTGAAGATAATTGCCACAGCGTTTACAGGGACTGCTGAATAAAGTATTGTAACTGTGAAACCAATGCTGAAAACACAAAATGATTGATTATGTCCGAAAAAGAAACTACCACAGTACCATAAAAGAACGAACCGCTAACTCGGGCATTGTTGGCGAGTGAAAATGACACATGGCCGCGTGACAGTTTTCCGTCACCTTACGCAGAACCCTGTAGCGAGATTCTGTCCAAAGATCGTTCGATTCCGAGTGCGCTTTAACGACGACCCATTCGATCATCAAACCTTTAAAGGCGATAATTGACTTCAATACACGACCGAGAGACGCCTGCAATGCGATAGTCGCCAATGGTTCAACTAAAAACGCCGACTTACCTGAATTATCGGATTGGGTGCAAACGGTCGCGAGGCTGTAATTGTTACATCGGGAAACAGTCGATCGATACTCGTAATCAAACTTTCAATTACCCTAAAATACATGCGAGGTTAAGTGATTCCGTTTAATAACGGCGTACTCAGGCGGAACGTTGTGATTGCTAGTCTGAGTCTTCCTGCGTTTGGTCGTGCTTAACGTCTTATAAGTCTTACTCACTGAATTTGTAGCCAGTATGTTTCCCGCCAAACTGCTATAATCGCGCACCTACCGAAATTCTCAATTAATTAATACGTAAATTGAACACTTTACCTTATCAGTCCATCTGTAGCTGTTCACCAGTTGACTATACAAGGCTTGACGTTCTTGCGTGGTCTCCTGGCTTAAATACGAAGTATTACCTAAATTAAACGGACCGGTTGGCGTCGTTAGATTGGAGACGGTCGTTTCAATATCTCTGAGATTATTGTTGACGGTAGTCAGCAATTCTTGAAGTTCGATCATAAACTTATTTTCCTTGCCTTCCTCTCCGTGATTCGCCCCCAGGCCGTTACTTACAGTTTCGAATACTTGGCCGACGTTCGACCGCAATACTTTCAAGTAATTTAAAGCGCTGTGCAACTGCTCCAAATCCCTCTCCATTTTAATTTGAGAGATAAGCCACAACCTCCAGCCAAGGGGCCCAGGGCAGTTACAATTTTACAAAAACAATTTTATGACTACTGCCTTGCGTGGCAAACATTATTCATAGTGGCATTTCTCATACTTTTGGAATTAACCTCAAAAACGTACCAAAAACAGAGTTCCTGTAGAATGTCTGTAACTCTAGACATTATTCTTCGTAAACCGGATAAGGTCTACCACGAAGGAGTAAGGGCAAATTAAAAATCAAATTCGACTTCCTTATATCGATTCACGACATGCATTTTGCAGGAAAGTGTTATCGGTACAATCGCAATTTTCACGCCTTCCGATTTAAGGCACGATGGCATTAATTTATCTATGGATGGGTCTGTTAATTTACAATTGAGTTCCAAAAACGTAGGTATCATAGAAGCCTTCTATAATGCCGTTAAGGTAAGGCATATTTCAAAATCTGCACTTGTTGACCGCCGTTCTACAGCCCATTCCTCTAATAAGTGCCTTCTGTGAAGTGAGCAGTGCCGGTCGCATACCGGCCGGCCACACAAATATTCCGTTCGAATTACCCCTGCAACCAAGACCGAACAGAAGTTTACACGAAACGTACCACGGGGTCTTTATAAACATTAGCTACTCTCTAAAATGCGATGTGAAGAGGTCGTTCCTATCGAAAGGTTTGCAAAAAACCCAGCAGTTTTTCGTGCAGTACGCGCCGAAGCCGACTCAACCTCTGCATCCGGTTAGTTTCACCATGAGTCCGACGTCGGTTACGTCAAAGAGCGGAGGAGTGCCAGACTTTTACATAAGAGGCCACTTAGATTCCACCTCGTGCAGTGTGCTAAGGCCGTTTACCGGACACATTATCTTAGAACGTTGCGAGATGGCCGTTCGATCCATAGAGCTGCAATTGGTGCGGGTCGAGACGTGCGGATGCGCCGAGGGCTATGCGAAGGACGGCAAGTACTTCAATGACTCCTTACATTTGCAATTCACGCTTTCTTCCAGGCACCGAAATTCAAAACATCCAGATAGGGGACGGCGATGTCCCACATAAGATCGCGATACCAATTTACATGATATTTCCCCGTTTGTTTACGTGTCCCACACTTACCACCCCTAATTTCAAAATCGGTAGGTCTCCGAGACGCCTGCGTGTCTTTACATATTGTCTTTCAGAGTTCGAAGTCAATCTGGTGATTATCTTTGAGAATGATTACTTAGTAACGGAAAACTTTCCAATAACATTAACGAGAGAATTATAAAATAGTGTTACAATTTGTACAATAAATTTATTGAGTATCGGCTACAGCTAAAGTTAGATTGACAAGTAAGGGATCAATGTATTTTTCCAAGCCTAAAATGTGGCCGGTGTTACTCGTATCGCTGGCGATAAAACTTATAATTAAAGGAAGTTTATTTATTTGAATAATCTGATACTGGGAGTACGTGCATATTAAGGTTTTCGCTTTACCCAGCCCCAGTTTGCTTCCTTGATCGATCGCCAGTCCGAACGTCGAAAGGAAAGACGGTCTCGTGGCCAGATCGGGAGCCTTATCGGTCAGTACTTTCAACACCGGAACTCCATCGCGGTCGGTAATTAGCACACAGTACAGTCCGGATACCTTCGAGAGGAGATCGAGAAGAACTTTTCTTAATTCCTCCATTCTCTCTTCGTCCCTAGGGATCCTGGAAGAGGGTTTTGTTGATAATTTGTATGAGCTAAGGCCAATTTTATGGGTGCCCGGTGAAGGGTGGTTATTATTTTATCTCTAAATAATTTTTGTCATCTTTAGGGTGTTTGTTGGCAACACTGTAACGGTATATCTCTCCTTGTTTATATTTGGGAAGAAGTGCACACTGAAAAGAGATGTCCAGTGATTGATGTGAGTGAAAGCGAAGAGACATACAGTGTTACCATCACATACTGAGTTGATTATCATACAGTATGGTGCAAAAGAAGTTCTTCCTACAGTTTTTCTAGGACAAAGTCCATTGGATGGAAAGGAACCGCCATCCTTGTGGAGTTGGAAGTGCACGGAGAGGTAGAGGATGAGTTCCCTAACCTCGAAGGAGCGAAGGCAGTAAGAGAGATCAGTTGTCTTGCGTGGAAAGTGAGACTTTGCAACTTCATGTAAACTATTTGGGGATGTTGAATTGTAATCGACAGTGTTGTAATGATCAATTAATTATCTAGTATTGGTAGCCCTGCGTTACCAAAATCTTTTATCTCGCATAAAACTGAGCATTGAAGTGAGACGAGGACTGTGTTTTGACGTGCACAGCTTGCAATGCGCACGCATCTTTCGTTATGAAAGGAAGTGTCGACGCCATTGTTTGAAGGCCCATAATGTTCGTCTTTTTAGTGTAAAAACAAGAAAAATTCGTGTATATAATGACACAGTTTTTACCCCCGAACCTGCTCGCGCTATTCGCGCCGCGCGATCCAATCCCCTACCTTCCGCCCTCGAGTAAACTACCGCACGAGAAGAAGTCGCGTGGATACACGGGGGTTGGCAAATATCTCCAAAATTTCGAGGTAAACGCAGCGTAAAAGTAAGTCCTTCGCCTATATTCCACATTTTTAGGATCCGAAAGAGACTCCGCCACCCACCCGCGTCGAGACGCGCGAGGAGCGCATCGAACGCAGACGACGCGAACGATCCGAACAGGTCGCATATAAGTTGGAGCAGCAGATCGCCGTGTGGGATCCCAACTCGCAGTCGAATACGACAGTCGATCCGTTTAAGACACTATTCGTAGCTAGAATTGTAAGACCGGCCCGTCGAGTCCGATTTTAACGATTTTTTTTTTCAGAATTATGACACATCGGAATCGAAACTTCGGAGAGAGTTCGAGATTTACGGTCCGATCAAAAAGGTAAGCGAACTAGCAATCCTTTCCTTTTTTTAAATTACATTTGAAGATAAAAGCATTGTACAGGGTGTCCGGCGATGAGCTGAGCATATGGGGAATATATCCCACAAAACTGTCGAGCAAAAGGAAAGTATTAGTTGGCTTTGATTTTACATAACCGTGCAAAATCAAATGTAGGTCTGCAATAAAACAAAACAAACATGGCGTCCTTGACTTTGGTTCTATGGCAACGTATTCCCCAGACTCGGCTCATTGTACACCCCTTATTAACAATTTGCGTAAGACTTTTAGTTATTTTTGACGCCTGGTTTGTTCTCGTTCAAACGCCTGAAGTTTGTGCGATGTAAAACCCAGGCAGAGTAAATGTCCGCTATTATTCTTCTTTGGTCGGTCCATCGGCTTAAGATTGCAATGCGGACGACAGCTACCTACCTGGTCTCGGTTTGCTATACGAGTGAATTGTTTTCAGATCGTTCTAATTCACAACACGTTAAACGGTAAGCCGAGGGGGTATGCGTTCATCGAGTACGAGCACGAACGAGATATGCACTGTGAGTAGTATTGATTTCGCAAGTACACCGTTTACACCAATCTGTTACTGAGTGTTAATTATTTTTTTGTGCAAACGAGAGCAACAGATTGGTTCGTTTTACGTTAGTTTATGTAGCCAGCAACGAAAATGTCAAAGTGTTATCACTTGCAATTGACGAAATTAATACGGTATTTTCTATTTCTTTACACAGTCCGAGCTGCAGGCAACTAGTGCCGTTTGCCCCCCATACTTCCACTTTTTGCTGGCTATATAGGTTTGTATGTGCGGTAAGAACCCTACATACAAATATTGTTGTTTGTTGGGGTTGTGTTTTTCATTTCTTAAATTGCCACTAAATTCATTTTTCATTTAACGTGCAAAAGTAGTGCTTTCAAAATTTTGCATAAACAAATACTAGTTTTTATTATTGAGAGAGAGGTATGCGCGAACGTAAGTAATTGCGCACCAGGTAAACTGTATCTAGTGGACCCTCGGCTGTCGGAAAATAATAATGCTTTTCTGCTTTTTCGTAACGATGTTAATTTACGTAAGTAATCGGGTAGGTATATATTTCTTTTATATACCTAAGTTTTAGGTTTAAACTTTCAAATTGGTAAGTCCAGGTAATATGGACGCACCGATGCGATGGAACGACACTAAAAATTTTTCATTTATATTTCCGATATCGGTCGATTACCTTTTTTGTCTTTTTATATCGATTTTATTACAAATACGATTTTAGTTTCGATCTCTACCTAACGCTTTTGTCAGTTCAGGTAAGCGTCTTCATTTTTTGATACAAGCCGGCTTTATTTCAACGCGATGAAATATTCCTATTACGTTTTAACAAAATGGGGACCTGCGCGCAACGCCCACTATTTTTAATACACTTGCTCATACTTAACCATGTACATTACTGCCAGTCTTCGCATCAACTCGAATGAAAATGCGCTCTTTATTTTACCTTTGGAATCAAAGGTAAAATAAAGAGCGCATTTGTACAGGGTGCTCCAAATTGCATGGAAAGCTCAATTTTTGCAGTGAAAATCACTGGCACAAACAGAATTCAACTATCTCTGATTGTTAAGCCGCCAGGAGATGTTTCTCCAAATTAGTTGATTTTTTAAATACCCCATAACTTTCTTGCAAGATCTTAGAACACCTTTTTAAATAGGATCTATTGCGATACACAGTTTTTGGTTTTTTTTATGATCCATACATTTTTCCCTACGGACCACCTGATTACCTACGAATTAGAAAGTGTAATAATGACGAATAAACCCTTGCCGCTTAAATATACGCAATACTTCAAAATGTGCACAGTGCAATAAACAACAAATCGAATTTAAGCAGACACCTGAACTCACAATACTTTCAAATATTTAAAATGTGCACAGTGCGATTATGCAAGGAATGATAAATGAAATTAATAGACATCTAGACCTTACAATACAGTAGGCGTGTTTTCGTCTATGCCGGATTAGTGGATTCGTATGGGTATAATGCATTTTTTTTATATCCTGCATGTACTATGTGGAAAATAAATTCGATCATAGATTTCTACAGTACTAACGTATCTACATAAATATATTATTATTTAAATTATGCCTGTTTTTGATCTAACTTTACGAAATTCCCACAGGAACACACACGTTTTTACAGTTTACAGTCGAAATGGGACTTGATATTTAGAATGTAGGTTTCTTTGAAGGCGTTAATAGTTAGGTTAGCTCAAAAATCTTGTATCAGGAGAATATAATGTGCGAGCACATTAAGGTTAGGAAAAATTTTTAGTGAGGTTAGGTTAGGTTTGATTGAGAAGTCTAATCGAAAAAGTACGAATTGTTTTGGACTCTACGCACCAAAATTAATAAGAAAAAGTGTTTCCCCGAGAAATTTTGGTGCAGTCGATTTTTGGTAAAAAAAGGAAGGTAATAACTGCCTTTTTTTGAGCCCCGAAAAAAAATTGTCTCAGATCGATCCGGAAAAAAATGTTCTTATTTTCTAATAGAATGTGGCCTGTAGAATCCATAATTTCAAACAGTTCCAAGATTGGGCTACTAGTTCAAAAGTTACAGCCCTTTGAATTTTTTTTCGAAATTGGTTTCTAGCCTATAACTTTTGATTGAGAAGTCTAATCGAAAAAGTACGAATTGATTTGGATTCTACGCACCCAAATTAATAAGAAAAAGTGTTTTCCCGAGAAATTTTGGTGTAGTGGATTTTTGGTAAAAAGGAAGGTTATACACTGCCTTTTTTTGAGCCCCGAAAAAAAATTGTCTCAGATCGACCCGGAAAAAAAATTTTTTATAGAATGTGGCCTGTAGAATCCATAATTTCAAACAGTTCCAAGATTGGGCTACTAGTTCAAAAGTTACAGGCCTTTGAATTTTTTTTCGAAATTGGTTTCTAGTCTATAACTTTTGATTGAGAAGTCTGATCGAAAAAGTACGAATTGATTTGGATTCTACGCACCCAAATTAATAAGAAAAAGTGTTTTTCCGAGAAATTTTGGTGTAGTCGATTTTTGGTAAAAAAGGAAGGTTATACACTGCCTTTTTTTGAGCCCCGAAAAAAAAATTGTCTCAGATCGACTCGGAAAAAAAATTTTCTTATAGAATGTGGCCTGTAGAATCCATAATTTCAAACAGTTCCAAGATTGGGCTACTAGTTCAAAAGTTACAGCCCTTTGAATTTTTTTTCGAAATTGGTTTTTGGCCTATAACTTTTGATTGAGAAGTCTAATCGAAAAAGTACAAATTGTTTTGGATTCTACGCACCAAAATTAATAAGAAAAAGTGTTTTCCCGAGTTATTTTGGTGGAGTCGATTTTTGGTAAAAAAGGAAGGTAAATAACTGCCTTTTTTTGAGCCCCGACAAAAAAATTGTCTCAGATCGATCCGGAAAAAAAATTTTCTTATAGAATGTGGCCTGTAGAATCCATAATTTCAAACAGTTCCAAGATGGGGCTACTAGTTCAAAAGTTAGTTAATGAGTTTATGAGCAGTAACATCAGATTAATTTAATAATTTTTGAATATGTATTTTTATTTTGACGTCTGTAAATGCCTCTTTATAGCATATTAACAGAAATAAACTTATTATTATTATTATTATTATAACTAATAGATAATAATAATAATAGTGGCGCCCAGCCGCCATGTTGCATCGAAAATTCAAATTAGACATCATCAAATACCAGTGCAGTTGTGGTATAGTGTAGGCAACACACAATACACAATAACATGTAGCTGAAACTCGATGCCACAAGGCCGCTGAACAAAAAAAAATGCTCTAAGAAAGATTTTGTCAAAACCAATTATCATAAATAATAAGAAACTTATGGGGACTAAATTCGAGAAACGCCCCCTAGCGGCCAAACGATTAGAGAGCTGAATTCTGTTTGCTCCAGTGATTTTCTCATTACAATTGAGCTTTGGGGCTACATCCATTTTTGCCTGAAAGGGTGTTTCCATAAGAAAGTGTCCGATTTGGACCATCCTGTGCAGTGTAAAAGAATTGCGTTGACACGTACATGTATGGGAAATTTTTTAAGTTTGTATAGTCGTATAGTCGCCGCTTTGTCTGTTTGTGCATCCGTCCGTCCATTTGGCTTGATGTGTTACTATCAAAAATGCACTTTTTTTTGCTATTTTGTCCAAAAAGACTTGCACCAATGAAGGGTTTGGCAAATTTTGGGCAAAATTCTAATAGAAACAAGTGCGTGCTGGTGAAGGTGCATTTGTACATTAATGAACATGGTCGGTCGAGTGTGCATTATAAACAGTGGAGATGCGGGTAGGACCTATGTCGTGTTTTCATTTCCACCTTTTGTGTGAACTTTTTGAGGATGCTCTTTAATGTTTTTTGCAGCGGCGTATAAGCATGCGGATGGTAAGAAAATTGACGGTCGTAGGGTATTGGTGGACGTCGAACGAGCACGAACGGTTAAAGGATGGTTACCGCGGCGATTGGGTGAGTTGTGGCGGAAGGAAGTGCGGCGGACATTTAACGCTTTTGTTGTGTAGGCGGCGGTTTGGGTGGTACGAGAAGGGGAGGTCCCGACGTCAATATAAAACATTCGGGCCGAGAAGATAACGAAAGGGAACGAGAGAGGTATCGTTTGGAACGCGAAAGGGAGGAACGAGGTGGAGGAGGAGGAGGAGGAGGGCGCGAGCGTGAAAGGGATCGCGGCGCTCCGGAGCGAAGGAGATCGCGGTCTCGTGAAAGGAGGCGCCGTAGTAGGAGTCGTTCACGTGACAGAAAACGAAGACGTAGCCGGGAAAGAATTCGGACCGATGAGGTGGAGGAAGTGGAAGTGCGACCACCCAGAGAGAAGGACAGAGAAAGGTAAAGTTGGCGAGTTAGCGCTAATGATTGATAAATTCCGGTAGGGAACGTGACCGTGACCGAGACCGTAAACGACGCCGTTCGAAATCTAGAGAGAGAGATCGCGAACGGAAGAGAGAGAAGAAAGAGAAACGCGAGAGAGATCGCGGAGATCGATTGGAATATATTAAAACAGACGACGGGGGTGAAATACGAATTAAAGAAGAACCATTGGATGGTAAGGGTGTTATTACGGTACTTGTGAAGCAAAGCAGGCTATTATGTTTTTATATTTAAAAAGTGCATAATGCCTAATTGCGAGATTAATTTGAAATTCAAGGGCCTTTAGTTACAAAGTTTGAACTATTTGGTAGTATAAGTTTCCTACATTTTTACCAATTAGTTTACCTAAATTTTAAATGAACATTTTTGTAGACTATCCAGATTACTCAAAATATCACACGCAACCTTTTAATGTTGCACATGTTAAATACGAAGACGAGGAGGAGGAGAAGAAATTTGAACCGGATAACAGTCATAACGGTAGCAACCAATATGATGATGAATTCGAGGAGGGTGAAGCGTACTAGTTTAATGCAAATTTATTTTAGCCATTGTAGGTATATTTAAGTTGAGTAAACAATAAGTAGGTATGTCATTTTTTCGTGATCGTTCACGAATTATCTTAAATGCTTGTAAAAATGTGTAAGTGATAATTTAATCAATAGAACTTTAACGGTCTGTTTAATTACATTTAACAACTGCAATCATCAAAATAATCTTCGAGATGCTTTGTGCCACATCCACACATCCATTGTTATGATCGAAATCGAAAATAAGCTTACCTTTTTCTATTTTACATGGATAATAAGTTATGATGTCCAAAAGAATTTTTTCATTCTCATCCTGTATCTCGGAAACGAGCATAGCTAGATTGATTCTTTTGTGGAATAAAAAGTGGCACAGAGTTGCGAAAACCGCAGTTTTCAACTATAAAAATAAAAACGCCCCGAAATAATTTGTTAGTCATTTCGAGTCGCCCGGTACAAAAACGCTTTCACTGTAATATGCGGTGTAAGAGCCACAGTTAGCTTCCAAGATTTAATGATTTTAAGGTTATGTTATTTCAAAAATGAATTCAATTTTAAACGATTTATCTTCTTCAATTAATTCTAATAATAAAGAGCTTATTAAAGAAAGCTTGCGCGTATTAATTAAGCAAGGCAAAGATATACAGTTGTCAAATTTAAATGCGATTTCGCCACTATTCCAGCACACCTCCAAGGAAATTGCTCTATTAGTAACCGAAGGAGTTGCAGAGCTCGCAAAGACCGAAGAAAATCGCAATGTTCTTACGACAGAGTCGGTAATTAAATTTTTAACGTGCGGACTTACCGGGACTGACGACTTGGTCGTTCAAACGTGTCGAGCTCTCTGCAACATTTGTTACGATAACGAGGCGGCACGCGTGTTAATAGGCTCGGAAGGGTTGGTGACGCTCATATCAATTGTGAAACGTAACTCGTTCTCGAAGAATTTCAAATTGCTTAACGTAGCCTACGCATTTACGTTGAACTTGTTGATGGGAAATGACGAATTACAAAAGCTCGCGATTAAATATGACATATTATCCACAATGGAAAGTACCTTAAAACTGTCCGCAAATGATCTGGCCAACAGCGAAGATTGTTGCTCCCATTTGCTGCTAACTTTAAATCTACTCACCGATCATTTGGTCGATACTCAGCTCTCCGACGAGTTCTGTTGTACGTTGATCGATGTTTTAAAGTTGTCTACGCATCCGGAAACGTGCGTGATATGCTTAGAAATTCTACACATGCAGTTGGAGAATAGTATGCGACGCTATAGCGATTGCTAGTTGTATTTGAAGTTTTTGCAGATGACACGAAATTATTGCTGGCGAAAAGTGGCGTGTGCGAGCTAGTGTTCGAGTTAGTCGAAAAGTATAAGCACCGAGTCGACGACGAAGATAGCAGAGCTGCCCTCAAAATGGCGTGCGATATTATCGTCTTAATCCTCACGGGAGGTACGTTTCGTAAGCCGCCTTCTTGTATAACTTTGAATTGTAGACGAACCCATGGATTTGCTGTTCAGTAACGGCGACGGTGTGCTGTATAAGAATATGCTAACGTGGCTGAATTCGGACGATTTCGATTTACTTAGTACGGGTATTTTGGCGATCGGGAACTTCGCTCGTAACGATGCCCATTGCATTCAAATGGTGCAGAATGGTATCGCCAAAAGCTTGCTCGGTAGGTTGAATTCGGACGTCTAATTTATCAAAGTATTCTGGTGGTAATTTCTCTTAATTCATATGTTTTTTGTACAGGGTGGTCAAATAAGAATGCGAGGTACTGTATCTGGGAACCTGTCCATCGTAGAGGCTTGCGGTAAAACAATTTATTACTAAAACGGCCACGAGAAAATCCTGGAAAATATTTAAGTTTCTGAAATGGCCGCTAGGGGGCGTAACTGCAATCTGGAATCCTAAAAAGTGATTTTTCTCTGAATTCCGCTATATTAACCTAACAAAAAATACCCGGTCTTTGAAGACGACGATAATCTGAACCTTTTTTGTTTGACAATTTTTCCTGTATCTCTAAAAATGAAGTGGTGGGGGGTATTCAATGGTTTCCGTAAAGAACACCCTGTATCTTCGAAACGACTGAGCCAATTTTAACAAGCTCGGGTTAATTGAAAAGAGTTATTCTTCGGCTACAAATATTATAATATTTGAAGTTTTGTTAGTTTCACATATCGCCGCTTGAGGGCTTTTTTCGACATTCCGACAGAAAAGGTTAATTTTCTCAAAAAAATTAAATGCACTGGTTCGATTTTTTTTTCATGAAAAAGTAGCTAAATGATGCCTAAACAAGCTCGCGAAAACCGCATCTCGATATCTTGTTCCTAACCTAAAATTTAGGCCAAAGAAAATTTTATACCCTCAAAATTTTATTTTTTTAAGATAATTTTTCCGGAATTATTTTTATTATATAATTTGTGGCCCTAAGGTGGATCGATTTAAAAAAGGAAGCTTTTAATACCTCCGTAAATGCTCAAAATGCTGGCCATCACGATATAAATATATGTATATATATATATATCTCTCAAGATATCGAGATGCTGTTTTCGCGAGTTTGTTTAGGGTACTTTTTCATGAAAAAAAAATCGAACCAATGCATTTAATTTTTTTGAGAAAATTAACCATTTCTGTCAGAATGTCGAAAAAAGCCCTCAAGCGGTGATATGTGAAACTAACAAAACTTCAAATAGTATAATATTTGTAGCTGAAGAATAGCTCTTTTGAACTAACCCGAGTTTGTTTAAATCGGCTCAGCCGTTTCGAAGATACAGGGTGTTCTTTACGAAAACCTTTGAATACCCCCCACCACTTCATTTGTAGAGATACGGGAAAAAATGTCCAAAAATTGTTCAGATTGTTGTCGACTTCAAAGACCGGGTATTTTTTTGTTAGGTTAATATAGCGGAATTCACAGAAAAATCACTTTTTTAGATTCCAGATTGCAGTTACGCCCCCTAGTGGCCATTTCAGAAACTTAAAAGTATTTTCCAAGTTTTTCTCGTTGCCGTTTTAGTAATAAATTTTTTTACCGCAAGCCTCTACGATGGATAGATTCTCAGATACAGTATCTCGCATTCTTAGTTGGCCACCCTGTACATATCATGATAAGTTCTATGTTTAAATTTGCCACAACATGGCCGGTGGGCGGAGTTTAAGCTCAGTTGTTGTTGTCACTGTTATGTATAGAGTGAAAGTGACATCAAGTTGAATTTTCCTCTTTGCGCGTACGTCATTGGTGTATGATGACGTCATGACTGAGTATGTTTACATAGCATCATGCAACCAATGAAAGAGAATACGTATGTAGGTAGCCATACAGACAGAGCTGCAGTGTGGGTAGGGTATCAATTCAACTGACCGCCTCCCAATATCTGCGGCCCAATGTCCGGTCACCCTTTCTCTTTTAAAACTTGTAAAAGGGATTGAAACGTAAGATGTTCTAAAATACAACCGTAAACTGCGTGTTGGATCGTGTCGTAAGTGGAGTTCTGAATCGCTGCTTGTGTGAAACCATCAACATCGCTAACTGGTTTCCTACATTGCCTTGTTTTTTAGGAGGTTTTCCCGATTCAAAAGCTTGTGAAATAGAAGTCATTGTTCGCAGGCTAATATTTAATGCATCCGTAACTGTGTGAAATAAAACTTGTTACGTATACGTATACCTCTCTTACTGCCGCGACTGATAAAAGTGGACCACTATTATCTCTTTCTCATTCAAAATAACGAATAATATTAGAAATAAGTTGCTTACTTTTTCTTTGTAAACCCGATGGCATTTTTGGATTATACAACTTTTTGCACAGAATATCGCAGTGGGACTTACGGCTTCTATTATTATTGTTCGTTATGAATACATTGATCAGTCTACCATAAACACGTAATTCCAACGTTTATTGCGGTTTAAAATGGTTTTTTTTTAAATTTTGATTCGGCATTACAATATTTCCGAAAAATAGAATTGATGATGTGCGCGCAAACTAAGGAAAATCCTAAAACAATTGAAAGGTTTTCCAAAAACATCCAAGGCATTCTAGATCCCGAACTGTTGATCCTGTCCCCCCAATTCTAGCCAGAGAGTTCCCTACCATCTCTAATTCGGCCAGTCTTATCGTGGCGACATTTTCCAGATTTATTATCGAAGCACAACACGATCGACAGCGATGTTAAAGTTCAGCACGCGATATTGGGCGCCCTAAGAAATTTGGTGATTCTGCCCCAGAATAAGGCGCAAATTCTTAGAGATGGGCTGGTGTCAATTCTGTATCCGATGTTGGACATAAAACATTTGCACGTCACCTTCAAGTTGATAGGCACATTGCGGATCGTTATCGACGGGCAAGGTAAGCGTTACCGATTTCCATTCGAGATACTGTATCGCTCGTTTTAGCTACGGCCGCGCTCGACTTGGTGACGCGACGGGATCTGCTGACGAAAATAGTCGAGTGGTCCAACAACACCGACCATTTGGGCGTACGCGGGGAAGCGTCCCGATTTCTCGCCTGGCTCATCAAACATTGTCACTCGAGCAAGCCGTACGTCCTCATTTTGGAAACGAAAGATTGCGTCAAGTGCTTGGTCGATATGATCTCTTCGAATCATGCGGTGATGCAAAACGAAGCGTTTTACTCCATTACGTTGTTATGTTCGAAGTGCTACGAGAACCCCGCTCGCGTCGACGAATTAAGCGCGGTATTAATCGAAGCAAACATCGGAAAGAATTTAAGCTTCCTCGTCAACAAATATAAAGATAAGTTCGAAGGTGAAGCCGTTTCCAATCTCTTAACGCTAGTGGAAAATTTGAGCAAGTCCCCGTCTGTCGTTGACCACTTGAGGGAGTCAAATGTGCACGAACGCCTCCGACAATTACTAGATAATTCCAAAATTAACGAGAGACACGATCGAATTATACAATTAGCGAATGCGATCGATAGCGGTTAAATCTCGTCGAAGTGGCAATTTAAAGGGGCCATCTTTTTATAAACGTAGCGCCGATAATCCAGTTTTCATTTTATCTCTTGTATTCAGCACGTTTTGATGCTTAACAATATTAACTGACCTTATACAGGGTGTCTCGTGTCGATAACGAACTGAGAGATGAATTAATTTGTGTATGGTGAGTATTTGTCAATTATCTTAAATTCTAAACGTTGCAGCACTGATCTATTGCACTTTTTAATGACCCCCCCCCCCTTAATTCTATCCTCATAATTTTAGTGACACACCCTGTATACATTTGAACATTAGACGTTATCGATTCGATTTAATATCCACTACTTCAATTTAAATCTACGAATTTTTAATAATATTGAACTTTCTCTCACATTTTATTGTTCACGAATAGAACATTTTAAAGAGTATCCAATTTGAACTTAGATGGCGTCACCTGTTTTTCATAAAGATAAGTATTGCACCAATGTTTAAAATTGTTATGAAATGTTTCATATTCTTCTACAATAAAGATCGTGCTTTAATTATTTCAGTAATTAATTGAGGTAGATTATGCAACAATCATTTGTTATAAACACATTTCCGATAACTTAATCAACACATTTAAAAATGGAAAAATGCACCTTTTGCCTATAACTCAAAAACAAAAAAAACTGTAGGCTAGTTTGGTTTTCAACATCGAGTTTATATATGGGGTGGGCCATTAGTTGTGTGGGTGTATTAACGCGCATACTTAAAATTCATTGTGGGGGAGTGTTGGAAGGACCCTTAAGGCTACAACCTAAAAATATCTTCAACGAAATTGCAATTGTTATACTGGGTGATTTATATCAAACTTGCATTTTTTAATGGAACCCACTGTATATTATTACATATTTGGATTCCTTGGTCAATTTTAGTGTGATTCTATGTATTACACAATTACGCAGTTATCATAAAACTTAGAAGGCAGTGACTTTGCAGTGCCACTAATCATGTAATGTACTAATCAAAGGTAACTTGATTTTTTTAAATGGAATTACCAAGTCTTTTTTATCGCATCAAATGTAGGATAATAATTTTAAAAAAAGAAGGCGAGCATTTAATTCGAGGATAGGGCACTTAATTAGCAGCGAATTAGCACCTAATTATAGTTAATTCACTTTTCATTTTCTTGGGTTTTAAAGGAAGTGTTCTGCTGAGTTCATATGAACCTGGCAGAACATATAATAATTTTAAAAAAAGAAAGAGCATTTGATTCGAGGATAGGGTACTTAATTAGCATCTAATTAGCACCTAATTATCCAATATGCTTGATTGTGTTCTGCTGACCTTGCTCTGCTAGGTTAATGGACATGTCCATAAGCACCTAATACTGCATCTGGAGGTGCGAACGCGCTATAGTATGCTGTGAGCGAACCCCCACTCACTTGTTCTTGTTGCCATATTAAAAAGTCTCCACTCAATTTAAAAATTGTATCCAATTTATGAGTTATTTAGGAGCTTTTCATTATGCACGCATAACATTTTATAGCTCGGCTTAAATCAATAGGAATCTAACTTATGGGGTGGCCAAGTCTATTTGGATTTAGCCCCCCCTCCCCTCAGGCCCTCACTATTCGAATTACTTTTTTCAAACTACATTTTGTACTGAAATTGGTGGGGGGGGGGGTTACAGTATAGTTGAATTCCGTGATTGTGGCGAGCTCCGTGACAGAATAAACCCGACCAATCAGTTCCTAGAACCATTCGGATGACATAACGACTTGGCAATATTGCAGGAGAATGTCATTTGTAAGTTGCGTCACCTACGAGTAAAAAATAAAAGGTGAGAACCTTGCATTAAAAGGGGACGAGACGGAAATGGACAAAAAGGAAGTTATAAGAGTGCAAGAAGAGTGGGGAGAAACCCGTCATTATTGGTAATGGTGTAATAAAACAAAACTGACATTGTCTCTTCTGTTTTATGATAAGTCAAGTCGACATAACTGAAGAGCGCAAAGGAAGTGATATGATGACGACTTCTGTCGCGTGTTATGCTATTTCCCACCACCTCTCCTCTTCTCTTATTTTTTACTCGTAGCAGGCACTTGTCACTTGTCGTTCACTTTCGCGTTAGATGCAGTTAAACATGCCTTTTAAAACGTCAAATCCGACAAACGTCAGACCCTCGCGCAAGGTTGCCAGCTCACTTCTACGTGATTGGTTGTAGGTTTGTGACGTTAGACTGAAGCGTTTCAAATTCGGGCTAAAAACACAGCTTTTCAATAATTTATTTTTTGTTTATTTTACTCGCAAATAAAAATTGAGAACACACGGGTTATTTTGAATATACTTTGTTGATCAGAAATAAAAAATGAAGCCGGAATGCCCCTATTCCTGTGTAGACGAAACGTCAAAATTAAAATTTAAAAATAGCATCTTGTAGAGGGCAAAAAGTGGACATAATAATGTGTCATTTATTTCGAAATATCTTTTTAAATAACTCCAGTAAAAAATAAAAACGCTTTTACAAAATTTCAGTTTTGCCGGATATCAGAAAGTAGTCGGAATTTCTTCAGTTTCAAAACCGCACTTTATTTAGCATAAAAATACCCAACTTTGCCAAATTTTAACTACCTACCTATCTCTTACAGTTCCCGAGATCCCCATGGGAGGCCCTTGAATGTGAGTCGGCCTGTATAAATACCTCGCCCGCTTAAAAATAGATAAATAAAAAAGAAATATGTAATATTTTATTCTAAACACATACATTATACGTTTTTTAGGTACCCAACCTGAAATATTACTTTTTCTATTTATACGATATTGAATTATTTACAATAAACTTTTCGATATGCATATACACGGTGTCCATTTTTCGAGTGCCACTATGGGGATCTCACTTATCTTAAGAGATAGAAAGTCGGTTAAATGGGGGCAAAGTTGCCAATTTTCGTGCCGAATAAGAATCTGAAAAGAAATTTGAAATATCTTCAATAGTTTTGAAGATATCGCAAAAAAACGAAAATTTCTGATTTTCGTTTTTAATTTTTTTATGATAATTTAATCGTAGTAGACATTTCTAATTAACACATTATTCGGACACTTTTTAATGGAGATTTCAAATATGGCATCCTGTTTTTAATAACTTTCAAGATGACGGAGAAACACTTAGAAACTTTAGTTTTTCTTATGGGCGCCATTTTGAATTTTCACATTTTGAAATTACATCTTTTTTTCTCTTTACAACAATATATCACACATGGTGGTTCAGTATCACATTTTTCCTAAAAATACAATTTTTAATTATTTGAGAAGAGTGCTTTGGAAAAAGAAAACGTTCTTTTGTTGTTACACATGTTGTTATAAATTTTGTGCTAATTTTAATTATAATTCTAACGAAAGTTCAATTCTGTTCAGATGAAAATCGAATATCTACTTCTCTGACAACGCTGCAACCAGACAGATGGATCAAACTGTCAAACATTTGTTCACAACAAATGAACGTTTTCTTTTTCCAAAGCACTCTTCTCAAAAAATTAAAAATTGTATTTTTAGGAAAAATGTGATACTGATGAACCACCATGGGTGATATACCGTTGTAAAGAGAAAAAAAGACGTAATCTCAATGTGAAAATTCAAAATGGCGCCCATAAGAAAAACTAAAGTTGTCACGTGTTTCTCCGTCATCTTGACAGTTATTAAAAACAGGATGCCATATTTGAAATCTGTTAATGAGAAATGTCTACTACGATTAGTTTAACATAAAAAAATTAAAAACGAAAATCAGAAATTTTCGTTTTTTTGCGATATCTTCAAAACTATTGAAGATATTTCAAATTCCTTTTCAGATTCTTATTCGGCACGAAAATTGGCAACTTTGCTTAACCAACTTTCTATCTCTTAAGATAAGTGAGATCCCCATAGTGGCACTCGAAAAATGGACACCGTGTATATCTTTAATATAAATTGACTTAGTAATTATTAAATATTAAGGCACTTGAGCAAACAGGTACACCGATATTGTATTGCGAATTAAATCCGTCTACTTCCGTTCGAACTTGCTTTCGGTTACGGATATATTCGTGACCGCGGTATCACTGGGATTGAACACCCACTGTTTGAAGGTGCTGTGACTGTTGCCGTTCGTCGATAGGCCGTCGCCGAGCTCGTACTTGCGCGGCGGAATCGGCGGTCTGCTCGGCAGACCGGACGGTATCTTCGAGCTGCTGCGTATCGACGTCACGCTAACGTTTCTGTTCGCCGCCTTCGGCTGGTACTTTGGCGTCGAGTGTATCGGCGAGGACATGATCGCGACGATGTCCCTGTCGACTTCCAGGTCGAAGTTTCGCGAGTCGCGCCTCTCGGGCGACGTCGGCGGCGTTTTGACGGTCGCGACCGGTATGCGCGACTTGCCCGCGTCGAGCTTGAGCGACGTCTTCGAGGGGGGGCTCCTCTCGAAGTTCGAGCGCAGCTGTTCGATCTGCGAGCCGCAGCTCTTGTCGCCCTTCTGGTTTTCGTAGCTGGCGGTCGAGAAGCGCATCTCCGGTAATTTTTTTAGCTGCTCCTCGGCCAACTCCTGAATTTTGTGCAGCTCTCTTTCGACGTCCAGTTTGTCGTCCACGGTCGGCGTTAGCACCTGAATTTCTGTGATGTAGGTGGGCGAATACGACGACTCGATCTGCACGGTTAACGATGTCGGGCCTTCGATCGTCACGTCGTCTGAAGCGGTCACGTAGAAGTCCGCCTCGGTTTCTTGATCGTTTATGGTTATGTTACTGATGTTCGAGTCGTTTAGGGAGCTGTACGAATGTCGCGATACCTTCATATCATCGGACACATTGGTGCCACCCCCTAATTTGTAATAGGGGTCCCATTCGGCGATCGATCTTTCTGCGTTTAGGAAGTCATTCGAATTGTTCTTTGGTACCGCAGGTTCGAGCACTATTGAAGTGTTCGATGTCAATACTAATGGCTCTACGTCTTCTCGGTCGGCTTCCCGGACTTGAACCGGCTCGCTGCTGTCGCCCAAAATGGCATCCTCCAAATTACCCCAGTCGCTGGATTTCTTCAATTTACTTCTTTGGAACGTGCTCAAACCGTCGAGAGTAAGCGACAGTCGAGGATCGCCGAGCACCTTCGCGAGTAAACTATCGTCAGATTCCGTATCGGTACCGTGCTTCTTGAGCGACGGCAGACCCGCGTCGGTTATGTCCAAACTCTGCGCCCTCTCCAACGTCCCCGTACTGGTTTTCCTCTTCTTGTGCACCTTTGTCAAGTCACCGGTACTTGCCGTTTTGCGATTTTGCTCGATCTCCTCGCTCTGGTGAATCGTTATGTCGTGCGGCTTGAGTTCGATCGTACTGATCGACGACTCGTCCATTTCCGCATCGGAATCGCTTGCGTCGACGGAGCTCGGTTTGGCGTCGGGCGGCGCCGGCGCGCGACCCTTCGGCTTCTTCGGAGATTCGACGGAACCCTTTCGGTTTCTTTTCGCCGTAATCGCGGCGTTTAGCATATGGCTCGGGATTTCTTGAGGTATTCCGTCCTTGTCTCGCCTGATGCCGGATCCGTCGCCTCTCGTGAAGTTCGGCGGATCTTCCTCGTCGCCGACTGGCGTTAGGTGATCCGTGTGTATCTCCAAATTGATGTTGTTATCGTTCTGTGAGGTTTCGGTAATTTTCGGACTGATCTGCTGTATGTCGTCCACCGCGTGGACCGGTAATACCTTAATGCCGAACTTTTGGTACTTATTCGCCGGTTTTGTGTTCGCCAAAAGGTCCGGGGAGCTTTCCTCCTCTTTGAGATGCATTTGATATTTATGGTTTTGTAACATGCGCTGCTCTAATTGGGATTTCATAATTTCGTGATTGTTGCTTAGCGGCGTCGACGTTACCGACGGCGCCTCTAAGGTCGTCGCCGTACTGTGAGAGACTTTTATGGATGAATGCGATGGCGTTTTTTCCAAGGGGTAAACTAAGGATTTCTGGACTTTCTTGTGTAACTAGAAAGATTCAAACAAGTTAGTGAAGCGAAGGTCAAAGTCTCAAGAACGTTTTCGCATACCCCAATTATGTCTGAAGAAGAGGAGCTCCTATAGAGCGGATGTCCGAGTGGCAGCTTCGATGATGCTTGTACATTACTCGTCCTACCCTTCTGCGCTTTGATGATAACCTCATAAGGACTGGCATAGCTCAGAATCGTCAAGGCATCTTCGTAGACAATATGATCAAAGTTGATCGTGACACTTTTGATACGATCACCTAAACAAATACCTACGGTTAATGAACAAAATTCGATTAATCCGATTAATTCAGGATTGCGCTTTGTTTCGTTTCCGTGGAACATCTGGTAATTATACGATCGTGTTAGATTATTTTTGCCAAATTAACGACATTCCAGTACAGCATGGGTATTGTCATTTATAGAAAATTCTAAATACGCTCTTTTATAATTATGCTAAGCCATACTTTGAATTAAATGCATAGAGATTCTACGTAAATTCCTAGTCCTGGTTTTTACCTGCCAACCCTCAATATCAATTCCTGACCGATTTACGTGTGTGCAGAATTAAACGATGTAATAAATTTTATAGCGATTCGTGGATGTTTTGCCACGACATGTTCCTTTGTTTTGTTGTAATGTGATCCTTAACGTTATGCTCCTACTATTTATTTGAACTGAGTAATTATGATTATTAATATTTGGCAGGGCGACTTGTTACTAATACGTGTTGTGCTATATTTGATACCGTTTAATATTAATTTGTTGGCTGGTAATTTTCTTGGTCAGTTCATTTTTTTTCCAGCACCAACACATACTTGCAGCGACTTTTAAAAACACAACGTAGTGGTCCTTGGTATTCCGGTTCAGAGTTGGACTGGGTCACCTGGGTCACTGAATTACACTGGGTCGCTAGGTCACGTCATACTCTTTTCTGTTAGACCCAGTGACCCAGTTTGACCCAGTGACCCAACTTGACCCAGTTTGACCCAGCGACCCAATTTCACCCGGGGACCCAATTCGACCCAGTCACCTAGTTTGATCGAATAACGCAGTTAAGTCAGTGCCCTCGGTTCAAGTGTACAGATTATGCAATAAATGAAATGCTCGTTTGTTGAAAATAATACTCGATTGCTTGACAACTGCCATTTCTGTGATGTTTGCTTTAATACTGCCGTAAAAAACTTTCCATGTCCCGAATTGTATTAGAATAATGTTATTTCTTTGCCTCAGGGCTTACCAGTTTGCTTACAGGTGTTCATTCACATTTAATTTTTTTCTACTAGTTAGCTTAATCCAAATAAATCTTTTCTCTAAATACTTTCATTGACTACTTGACTACAAACTATAAACAAATGTATTTGATTTTTTTAGGTATTAGTTCTCTTGAATGAAATTGGGCTACGTGCTTGTTGGCGAATATTATTGAGGAAGTTTTTTTTTAAATTAAAAGTTACTTGAAATTGTTTTGGATGATACCTAACAATAATTTAATTACTGGGCCACCGGGTCAAGATGGGTCACTGAGTAAAGCCGGGCCACAGGGTCAAACTGGGTCACCGGGTCAAGCTGGGTCCACTGGGTCACCGGGTCAGTAAACTAACTGGGTCACTGGGTCACTCTATGCTTGACCCAGTCCAACTCTGTTCAGGTTAGGTAGCTGTATCTAACGATCATATGCCATGGGGTTCAGGTAGTTTGGGAGGGAAAGTTTTGAATTTATGAATATAAAACGGTTGAGAAGAATAGGCTCAACTACCAACCTGGGTTAAGTTTGCCCGACTCCAACGCAGGCCCTCTATGAAGAATGTCCCTGATGAAAATACCATCGCGCATATTTCCGTGTATGTTGAAACCTAATCCGGTAAAGTCCTGACTTTTTAATAGAACCGTGTGAATTTCATCGATCTAAAATCAAAGACCGGTTGACAGATTGTGGTCGAATTGTGCAAACTTACTTGTGAAATCGAATCGTCCACTGCCTTTTGTTTCTCGTTTTTAGCCAAAAACGCGGCCACAGGTGACCACTGGCTCCATTTGGATTTTACCGAGTCGATCTTGCTCGAGTTTTCCAACGTTCGATCGAACGGAGTCACAGGATCTGAAATGTGACGTTAAAGGGCGCCAGTTACACTTAACGAAAATACGCACCGGAAAAGCCGTCGTTGTCGAACGCGTACGAATTCTTGCCCTTTTCCGGATCCGTTTCGAGCACCACGTGTTTATCTGCAACGTAATGAATATCAATAAACCAGGAGTTCAATGTATGGACGCCCCTCCCCCATACCAAGGATTACCATGAAAGTGCCAGAGGTAAGAGTTTTTTCCTACCAATGTGTAACGTTAGCACCAACGCGAAAAGTCGACTGACCACGTACGTAACTTCATTTGAAATTGCTTTTGAATTTATGCGATTAATGGCCGCCTTGGACTTAGTGGCACTTCAAGATGGACCGAGTCCTTTTGAACTAGTAGCCCAATCTTGGAACTGTTTGAAATTATGGATTCTACAGGCCACATTCTATAAGAAAAATTTTTTTCCGGATCGATCTGAGACAATTTTTTTTTCGTGGCTCAAAAAAAAAGGCAGTGTATAACCTTGCTTTTTTACCAAAAATCGACTGCACCAAAATTTCTCGGGAAAACACTTATTAATTTTGGTGCGTAGAATCCAAAACAATTCGTACTTTTTCGATCAGACTTCTCAATCAAACCTAACTATCACCCTAACCTAACCTCACTAAAAAAATTTCCTAACCTTAATCTCCTCGCACATTATATTCTCCTGATACAAGACCCCTAGGAGTTGAAGGAGGTGGTTGGAAACGGAGACGGAGTTTAAATATAATATCATTGATAAATTCAATGATGATATGTACAAGTGCGCCATCTCCTTGGTAATCGATACACTTTTTTTCATTTTATAGTATTTTAAGTTTAGTTGAGATGTCGCCACGTGCGTAACTTCATTTGAAATTGCTTTTGAATTTAAGTATGCGATGAATAGCCGCCTTGGACTTAGTTTTGCTTAAATGGCACTTCAAGATGGACGGAGTCTTGCGAAGTACCTCTTCCCAAAGTTTAGGACGTATTAGGGATAATAGAGTAAAAATTATACAATCCTTTACTGGGGGTAATCCAAATTTCTTACACGGGCCCTCCAGTATACGAAGTTTCGGTTACATTCTTCCAAAGGCCATGGGGGTTAAGTAGTGGCAGAGGGAAATCGAACCTTGGTATACTGGTGGGTATTCCATACACCCCAAAACCCCCCGGTGATATACATTGTCCAACTGTCGTGATACCCGGAGTGCCTTCTGCAGGCTTCCGAAGGGTGGCAGAGACAGATGCGAAAATCTGACCCCATTTCTGTAAAAAAATAACTTGAGGTCGTAATTAAAAATCATTTTGCAAATTGGTAAATGAACCCGGGCATGCGCATTCCCCGCGATCGCACCCAATCTCGCGAATGGAATTTGTTCCGCCCTGTAGACTTTAACGAAATAAATGCAAGTAGGCGATTTGTTTACAGGACGACGACTTAGTTGTATACAAATTTGAAAGTAAAATGCTACCTCTTCTTATTTAATATGCGCGCGGCGAAAATAAACTTAGATTTAGCGATTTTATGGGTCAAACGCATGCCGACGCGATACAGAAAAATATAAGGAGTCGAGGGAAAATATCACATTTTCGATAAGTGAGACAATCCATTCGTTACCTCAAAGCGGCGCGGCCTATCTCCTCGGGCAATTAACATTCCACCGCGGTACAACGTACAGGTGAAACGGTGGCCCCCACAACTGAGACCTTCGATTTTTAAACTATCGCGGCCTGTGCCGAGGAAATGGTCGCGTATATACTCTGGTTTACTTTAAAAATGCATTGCACAATTTCTACGGCCAAACGGCGAACGTGAAAGATGCGTAAAGCGCGGATTTTTTTTTCTGTTTGGAAAAGTAAGAGGAAACCTGTTCTCAGGCAATACGTTCACTGAATTATCGATTTATGTCACGTTGTAAATGCTAATGACAATTAAATACATAAAGCTATAAAGAATGGTCAATGATCCTTTGAAACTTTTGACTTCAATTTAAATTAACGTACAGGTTTTTCGATCCAAAACGAATATATAAAATATCAAAAATTGCTATAACGGGAAATTTAAAGGACGGTTTAGGTTTCAACCCCGCAACCCCAGCCACCCCCCTAAAAAAAAGAATAATATGAACCCCTCAGATCTCATTTTAATGGCCATGAGTTACAGAAATACCCAAGATCTTTGACTCGATCTTTGATGAGTTTATTAGTAATTTCAGAAACCATATGAAATTTGGTAGAAATTATAGTGCTTTAAAGAAAACCAGCAAATTCCGATTACTTCCGAAGATATCTCGGGAAAACCGACATGTTTCTATTTTATTTTGGTTTCCTTCTGATTTAAAAAAACCCTTTCTCATTGTCACTTTTTGAGCTCTACAAGACAGGCTTGAGAGACAACGGTTCGTTTCGGAGGAATGGTCAACTTTATTTTTTTATATGGCCCGTAAAAAGGTACGTACTGTATTGAGTAGCATTTTTTATTACGAATACGGCAGACAAAAAAAGACACAAGTTGGAAAGTGGTTTTCAACAGAATGGTGCACCCGCGCACAGGGCCGGATTTACCATGGGGCCTTGCGGACCCGGGTCCATAGCGGCAAATTTGTAGGGCAAAAAAAAACAAATTTAGAAAATAATTCTACTTTGTATTAAGATTGTGTAAAATTAGAGCTTCTCCCGCAAATTTTTTGTTGAAAACGCCCAATTAAGGTGCCCTCTAGCCTTTTTTTATCAATGGGTACGTGGGAGGGGGTAGGGGGGGTTATAATATAACGTCACGTAACCGTTAGATTTTCTGAACTCTTTGGAACACTATACAGTGGTTACATATTCACATGTTTTTATATTGGATTTCATTGTTTAAACTGTAAAATAATACGTGATTTTAATAACTCTCCAGATGACGGAGAAACACGTGGCAACTTTAGGTTTTCTTATGGGCGCCATTTTGAATTTTCACATTTTGAGATTACGTCTTTTTTTCTCTTTACAACGATATATCACACATGGTGGTTCAGTATCACATTTTTCCTAAAAATACAATTTTTAATTTTTTGAGAAGAGTGCTTTGGAAAAACAAAACGTTCTTTTGTTGTGAACAAAAGGTTGACTTATTTCATGTAGTGTATGCTGTTGTATTGCGAAAATGCCTTTTTCAATTGCAGATCAAAGAGATATGATCCAAATTTACTACACTCTCTTCTCATCGAAATGCCCACATGACTGCTGCAACATACTTGCAGCGTTATCCAGAGGGGCAACAACCTAGTTTGAGGTATTTTTCTTTGCTGCATAAAAACTTGGGCGAATATGGTTCTTTTAAAAGATGTAGACAGCAATATGGTGATAGACCCAATGAATATGAGCAGGCAATTTTGCAAGCGGTTGAGATGAAAATCGAATTTCTACTTCTCTGACAACGCTGCAACCAGACAGATGGATCAAACTGTCAAACTTTTGTTGACAACAAAAGAACGTTTTGTTTTTCCAAAGCACTCTTCTCAAAAAATGAAAAATTGTATTTTTAGGAAAAATGTGATACTGAACCAGTATGTTTGATATATCGTTGTAAAGAGAAAAAAAGACGTAATCCCAAAATGTCAAAATTCAATATGGATGCCATATTTGAAATCTCCATTAAAAAGTGTCCGAATAATGTGCTAATTAGAAATGTCTACTACGACTAGTTTATCATAAAAAATTAAAAACGAAAATCAGAAATTTTCGTTTTTTTGTCATATCTTCAAAAGTATTGTCTTTTCAGATTCTTATTCAGCACGGAAATTTGCAACTTTGCGCCCATTTAACCAACTTTATATCTCTTAAGATAAGTGAGATCCCCATAGTGGCACTCAAAAAATGGACACTGTGTATATACTTACTACTAATTAATTCAATCTGATAAAATTAGGAAAAAGAAAATCGTATTAACACTTTTCTGTAGAGTAAAAAATATTTTTGGTTGGGGAATCAAATGCTGATAATTTGCTGGGGGGGAGGGGGGCTATTGCGAGGGGCCCATAGGCACAAAATATGTAAATCCAACCCTGACCACCAAACCTCGAATCGCACTGCGGGTTTGGTAGGTTTCGGAATCCCCGGCCCACCGACTGGGATGGTTCTATGCGCCTGTTCCTAATAGACTCGTTTCTGTTCAACTCGAATGACCTTGAAATTTGGCGCACTCGCATATCTTAAGGTCAAAGTGGGCCGAAACCGGCCTTACTTATCTACTGCAAACTGCGGACCTTTCGGGGAACGAAGGGAACACCTTGGTGGAGCTCGGACCTTGTTCGGTTCGCAGGCTTTTTAAAAGGGCCATGGGAACTAAGGTGCCTAGGTAAGGTACAAGCACCACATTCGAAGGTACAAACAAGGATTATGGAGGGCCTTCTGTGGTAACCGAGGGGGTAATACATGAGCAAAATGTTGTACGAAAGACTACCAGTTGCCAAAGATTACCACAGACTACCATAGGACTACCAGTGACTACAAGAGACTACCCCATGAATACCAGAGACTACTCCAGACTACCACACAGGTGGCAGCGAGATAAGGAGTTGTATCTGGACTGCGACCGATGTTGGGCAAGATCCTTTAATTCTAGACCTAGATTCAGATCAAAGATCCGCACCTAGATCAAGATCGTCCTAAAATGATCTAGATCCTTTATAGATCCTCCATAGGTAAATCTGATTTACATGGGTGGATTTGATTCATTATTCGGAAAATGCTTAGGTACTTATCTCATTCTGTGTAACCCCTTCAGGTTTTACTTTTATCTATGCAAAATTCGCAAAACAGCAAGAAAAATGATGCGAAAAAGTCCTTCTTTGATAATAATTATAATAACCGCCTACATCTGAATTACTACTTAAGGCAAAGTGGTGTGCTTACCTACATAACAATAACGTGTTTTTCGGATAATTCGGGTAGACCTGGCGGCGGCATGCCCATGAATCAGTTGTACAGGGTGAGTCAACGATTGCGCGGAGTAACTTAATGCCTTGAAGATAAGACTTTTCGATAGAGCCTTTTGTATTATGATATGGTTGAATATTCTCCACATTTTAAAAATATTTGGAATTATACAGGGTGCGCCCACAAAGTAGGGCGCCCAAATGGTACATTTTTTTTAAATAGAACCCCCTGTATTTGAATGCATTTTTGAATTCTACGTGTAATTGTACGTCTTTTTTATTATATGGTTAATATCCGAAAAACTAGTAGTTTTAAAGATAATTAGATTTGTAAGAAAAATTGGGCATTTGCAAGCGTCAGTATATTGTCAAAATTATTAATTAAATTTTGATTCCAGGTTTTATATCTTTTATCCTGGGTTAAGTAAAAGCCAAATAAATACATCTACTATAAAACATTAAAAAAAATAGCTTACAGGGTGTTTTTTCTAGATCCAAAGTTACAAAACTTCATATTAAAAATCTCACTTTTTTTAAATGGAACACCCTGTATATTTTTTTGTCATCATTTCGCTCCTCCAAAAACCTTTAACTCTTGGTAATAATGTCCTATACCTATCTCTGATAGTTTTCGAAATATCTTGGTATTCCTGGTTTTTATATTCTAATCTTAAATAAGTCATATGTAATTTACATAATATGCAAAAAAAAGGGAATTTTTATCTGCCTCGTTCAAAGCTAAAATCATATTTATTAATTCATTTTTCTAATAATTCGTTTAAGTCTATAAAAACTAGAGAATAAATTTGATAGTAAAAACATAAACAAATATGTTGGTTTTTCTACTTTTTATATTTTAATCTGAAATAAGTTCTAATTTACATAATAACGAGGTGAATTATGAAAAAAAAAATGAAACTAATATCACTGACTGGATGACATTAGGAGTTAAATTAAATTTGCTTTATAGTCAAATGTTTTTACTTATTCTCCAGTTTTTGGACTTAAAAACCTTTAAAAAATAAATTAATCGATATGATTTTCGTTTTGGACGGGATAGATAAAAGTTGCCTTTTTTTGCATGTCCACCTCACTATTATGTAAATTACATATAACGTATTTAAGATTAGACTATAAAACCCAGGAAAATTCAGATATTTCGAAAACCATCAGAGATAGGTATAGGGACATTATTATCAAAAATTGAAGGTTTTTGGAGGATCTAAATGATGACAGAAAAATATACAGGGCGTTCCAGTTAAAAAAGTGAGATTTTTTAATATGAAGTTTTGTAACTTTGGACCTACCAAGAAAAACACCCTGTAAGCTATATTTTTTATGTTTCATAGTAGATGTATTCATTTAACTTTTACTTAACCCAGGATAAAAGATATAAAACCTGGAATCAAAATTTAATTAATAATTTTGACAATATACTGACGCTTGCAAATACCCAATTTTTCTTAAAAATCGAATTATCTTTAAAACTACTAGCTTTTCGGATATTAATCATATAATAAAAAAGACGTACAATTACACGTAGAATTCAAAAATGCATTCAAATACAGGGAGTTATATTTAAAAAGATGTACCGTTTTGGCGCCCTGCTCTGTGGGCGCACCCTGTATAATTCCAAATATTTTTAAAATGTGGACAATATTCAACCATAATATAATACAAAAGCAGTCAATCGAAAAATCTTATCTTCAAGGCATTAAGTTACTCCGCGCAATCGTTGGCTCACCCTGTAATGTAAACAATTACCGATACTACCCCCTAAGCTAAACTACCCGTTGTGCTAATGACTATTCCCACTAAATCCCAAAAACTTGAATGGAACACAGTATTTTATTCTTTAAATATAGAGACAACGATTTACTCCTCCAATGTTAAAAACATTTATAACGTAAATAATTAAAATTGATCTTTGGATCTACTAGTGGAAGATCTATTATAATATAATCTAGATCTAGATACAAGATCATCTTCTAAAAAGGGTCTAGATCCAGATCTAAGATATATGTGATTAGCATGGAAACCTTGGCCTCGACCTAGGCATGTTTTTAAACACACAACACAAATACATTATTACTGATTGATTCGCTACCATCTTTAAAACTGAATCGTCACCTTCAATAACCAGCACTGCAACAATCAATCGAATTAATTTAGAAAGTATGCGATTTGATAGACAAAATCACAAAAACCATAGTTTATGCCGGAAATACCTACATACAAGCAAAATGGAAAATAATAAAAAAGTTAGTTAATGCTCATAGGAATACCAAAAACTACCACCAGAAAACCAGCGATTACCATTGACTACCACAGGAATACCACTGATTACCTTCGGAATACCAGTGACTACCGCAGGAATACCAGTGACTACCAGTCATGTGTACGAAAGATTACCACACCGACTAATCCCTCGGTGGTAACATTCCTGAAGTTCAAAAACTTTGAAAGACCCAGGGTCCTATCCTCTGAACCTGATTAGCGAAGGAAATGAGGTAGTGTGCCTGGCTCCCCTTATGTATGGAAAATAGATAGACCAAGAAAACGACCTCTTCGTCCATCGTCTCCTCGTAGTAGGCAGAGAGGCAAGCAGGGAGAACTGGGTTTAATTAGCAAACACGAAATAGTTTTGCGTAAATCACCGCGACTTTGGAATCCCGAGGTAATTTGCATAGTTTGCCTTGCTCAGTTGAACTTTAGTCTTCGCCTTTTGAGTCCCCCGCATTCCAATAATTCCGAATTATTGGCACCGAGAAAATGATCTTAAATTCCGCTTCGGAGTTATAATTTATTGTGGGTAGGTCTCTAAACTAGTTTCGAATATTCGTGTACAGTTAGTTACTAATTTAGTAACCAAGTCTGAAAGGGACTTAAGAATGCGTCGCACGGAAATATTTCCATTTCGAGAGTCCACCTGAAACGGATGTAAAGAGTACGCGAGGTATTTCAGCTGAATGTGCTATACCGTATTTGGTACTACCCACTTCCTCCTTCCGTTCGTTCACACCCTAAACGTGGAGTGCGCCCCCGATTGCAGTAGGTAGTGGCGGGAAAATCTTTCGCAATCAAATTTGCGTCTGAGTCACCCGCGAAATATTCGACTGGGTAATAAGTGGGCGCATTGTTTACACCTTCATATGACACAAAAGCAATTACGTAACACCTCAACCGCGATTGCCTTGAATCGACGGATACCTACCTTTTTTCTGCTTCCATCGTTTCCAGCCGATGTAGAAGATGTATAATAATAAGAGGGTGGCGATTATTGTTAATATCACCGATAGAGCTATCGATCCGGGACCATAACACGGTAGATCCTCATCGTCTGCACTTGTCGCGGACATCCTGGTCAAAGTGGGCACTAACTGCGACGAGTAAAAATTCCAAACATTCTCACATTTCAACAATCGAAGAACAACACATCCGAGGGGCTTTAATGCACCTGCTCACCCACACACACTAGAAACGCAACTACTGGCATAGCGGCGGCAGGTTAGTAAAAAAAAACGCAGGCCGCAGGTACGTAGTTGGGATAAGGTATTAACCAATCCACTTCGGCCCGGTGATTTCAACGATGGGTGTGCAAGAATGAACAAAACGTGCCTCAATGCTACCGGCGGCGCGCGATCGTCCTCTGTTACACGAAGATGATGCCCATAAAAACTACCTGCAGACGGTACACAAGTAGAACGTGACACAGATTCCATCAAACTGGATATGTAAAATGGACATGCACGGCGAGGCGTTGTGGGGGAAATCCCAGCGTCTCTCTAATTAAGCGCGCTTAATCGCCAAATTGCTCATTAACAGTTCATTATTTGGCGATGAACTATCGGAGGCAGGCGCGGAGGGTCAAGGTGAAGTAATTGCGATAAAATTTCGTAAACGGTTTGGAAGAAAATCGACACTGACACACTTATCGATTACATTTGTTTCACAAAACCGAGAAAACCACCCAAAGTGCCTTTTAGAGCAAGTCGCAATCTCTTTTTCTGTTCCTGTTTTGCGAAACGGACTCGTTTTCTACGCGAAATAGTTTCTGGGGATAATTACGCAATGAGCCTTCAAGAGTTTTGTAGACGTTTCACAGACTAAGATTTGAAAGCCCTTTAGATGCTTGCAAATCTCAATTTTGAAACTAACGTTAGATTTTTCTTTGTTCCAAGCGCCTATGCGTCAAATTTCGTTTAAATGCTTCCATAAATAGAAAAGTTGGCACTGCGCATGCGCAAAACCGAATTTTGAAACTGGCGTTAGATTTTCATTTATTTCAAGTGCCTGTATCCAATTTCATTCAAATACTTTTATAAAAAAAAAAGTTTGCAATTCGGTTTATAATTAGTTGAGATGCGAAAAGGGCACTGTGAATTTTGAATCGATTCGACTCATCTTTTGGCATTGCGTATTATATGGCTAAAGCTATGCCCATATTGAATTTCATGCAATTCAGTTCATAACTAACGGAGATATCAAAGCGATCGGACATTTCTAAACAAAATTATCGTTCACACGGACAGACAGACAAAGGAGCAGACGGACAGACCAACAGACAGACAGCAATACAAAATTATAAACGTTAATAACAGATATTGAACAATATCATGCTGCCTTTTGCCATGCTAAGTTAATAATTAATTGCAACTGTTAACCCATTTCATTCGTGCAAGACTTCTTTATTTATTTAACCACAGCTCTCATCAGGTTACGGGCCCAGTATTGCGCGAATTGTGGTCAGTGGAACCTCAAAATGCTACCATCTACATATACCGAAGTCACGGAAAGGTCTCAAGCCAAAAATTGAGGAGATAAATGCGCTCAACGAAAATCACACTTGAGACCTAGTTCCTAGGCAATGGGGGACGACTAGATTTTTACGGTTTCCCCGTTCTTTTCATTTGTACATTAGTGATTATAAAATACTTTTAGCGTGCGTCTTATTTACGGGCTTCCCCCTCATTTATTAGAAAAGTTTATGTACAGTATCAAAATTTACATCTTTCAAAAATCACAGTTATACCCGGAGGTTTAAAAAAAATCAGTCTGCTTTTCGCGGTTTACGCTTCTTTACAGTAGGACTGGAAGATCTACTTCTATCACCAGATTCCGAGTCGGATTCGTGAACTACCTCTTCAGCGTCATCTAGCAGATCATCTTTGATATCTTCATCTGCCTGTATAACATAAAGAGCTGCATTAACGCTGATATTTAACAAAAATCGAGACTACTTATAATAGGGAAATCCATGCAAACAAATCTGTATGTTTTAAATGAGACACCCTGTATAAAACAATTGCTTTACAGTGTGTAATGAGATTGTCAATTGTCTCTGCATGCAAAAAACTGGCCTTCTTTTCAGTCTACACCAAAAATAGCCTTACAGTTGTATACTATCCAATGCTTACCAATTCGTCGTCACTTAATTTATCTGCGCTTTTTTCTTTACTTTCCACCGGGGTCTTATGTACAGGTATCGATTTAGGTGGATAAACCAAATCGATAATGCACACCAAAACCTAAATGAATACACTTTAGAAATGACATACACGGATGCCGACTTACCAAACCCAAAAGTGCCCCCAACACTATCGTGGCAACTGCAAAAATGAGATACGAACCCCACGTTGGTAAACCGAATTCCTCCATTAAATGAGTGTGAATCCCCTTAAAACTTTTCAATAATCCTCCTTTCAGTTTGTAAAAACAACTTACACGTAACAATTGGGATAATTTAAAGAACGACGATACCAGTGACATTTGAATGGAACTGGGCGATTTCCACCTTGAAATTGGATCAACAGTCTTCCACTTTTTCTCCTCGATAAACGACACAAAAGAAACTTTGTCACGAGTTCCCTTATACTGTCGAAACTCTCCGTTAAGTACACTAAAACAACTCCTGAAATCTAGCAGCGAACGAAGCACAAGACTTACTGAAATATTGTCGGCAATGCCGTCACCATAAATCGGCCGCTGAGCCCCGGCGACACCGTAACATCAACCTGTCCGACTTTAACGCCCAACTCGCTACCCATCAAAGCGAATTCCTTCCAAATGGGCTGTAGACCCTTACAGGCTGGACACCAAGGAGCGTAACTGCAATAATTAATTCACGAATGGCGTTAACTTTGATTTGCTGATTGACACGCGGCACAAAACCGATTTTAAATACATCCACTTACAATTCTACCATCCACTCGTCCTCGAGAATTTTGTGCCAGTTGTCCTCGTGTAATTCGGCGACTGCTCTTTGGGCATTTACGTACAAAACGACGTTCAAAATTAGAAAAAGGACCGACCAAGTCATTTTAAACGGCGCCATTACTAAACTACTGTTTTGTTTTGTTGTATTACGGTGATGCCACTCCTTTTTATTAATCATCAAGTTACAGGGTTTCAATTTTGCTACTATATACAAGGTACTTCGTTTCGAGGCCGGGAAAACTTACAAAAATTGGTTGGTAGCACCACAGATGTAAATATACTAGATATTCAAGCGTCTGGTAAATTAAATCCATTAAAAAACTAATTTTTTCAAAATTTGTAAAAGCTTTCAATACAGACACAGTTGCAATTAGCGGGTATTGTGTCAAACGTTGGTATAAACAGTTTATAGAGAACAAAGGGAAAGTCGTGAGGCTAAATTTTACAATGGACCTGTGAACCAATGAATTACAAAATGCAAAAACAGCAAAACTAAATCAAGACACTATTTTCTACATATACAGATTAACATCGTTTAAAAATTGCTGATATAAGGAAAGGGCCCCCAAATGTTTTTGAAGGCGGGCCTCTAAAAAGTTACGCCATTGAACGTTAGGCGCTATTTGCTTCTTTAATTAGATACAGCTTTTCAAAGTGGTGGTATCCTTTTTCAACAAGTTACAGCAAAGAAATATGTGCTATTTAAAATATTATTGAAGGAGTATATTTACATCTGTGGTTCTAGCAACCAATTTTTGTGATATTCTTGCCGGAACGTATTTGACTACGGAAAACAAGGCTTTGAAGCACAGGAATACAAAACATGTTTTTTTTTTTTAATTTTAAAAACGAAAACGATACAAATTACAGTTATCCAGAAATGGGTTCATGCTTAATTGTGCGCCTTGTAGATAGTAGAAAAATGGCAACACCGTTGCGTCGCTAGCGGCATCACCGTAATACACAACAAAATTACAAAAGTTTAGTAATGGCGCTGTGCAAAATGACTTCATCGGTCTTTTTTCTAATTTTGAACGCCCTTTTGTACGTAAATGCCCAAAAAGCTGTCGCCGAATTACACGAGGACAACTGGCACAAAATTCTAGAGGACGAGTGGATGGTAGAATTGTAAGTGGACGTATTTAAAATCGGTTTTGTGCCGCGTGTCAATCGGCAAATCAAAGTTAACGCCATTCGTGAATTAATTATTGCAGTTACGCTCCTTGGTGTCCAGCCTGTAAGGGTCTACAGCCCATTTGGAAGGAATTCGCTTCGATGGGTAGCGAGTTGGGCGTTAAAGTCGGACAGGTCGATGTTACGGTGTCGCCGGGACTCAGCGGACGATTTATGGTGACGGCATTGCCGACAATATTTCAGTAGGTCTTGTGCTTCGTTCGCGGTCCGATTTTAGGAGTTTTTTTTTAGTGTAATTAACGGAGAGTTTCGGCAATATAAGGGAACTCGTGACAAAGTTTCTTTTGTGTCGTTTATCGAGGAGAAAAAGTGGAAGACTGTTGATCCAATTCCAAGCTGGAAATCGCCCAGTTCCATTCAAATGTCTCTGGTATCGTCGTTCTTTAAATTATCCCAATTATTACGTGTAAGTTGTTTTTACAAACTGAAAGGAGGATTATTGAAAGGTTTTAGGGGATTCACACTCATTTAATGGAGGAATTCGGTTTACCAACGTGGGGTTCGTATCTCATTTTTGCAGTTGCCACGATAGTGTTGGGGGCACTTTTGGGTTTGGTAAGTCGGCATCCGTGTTTGTCATTTCTAAAGTGTATTCATTTAGGTTTTGGTGTGCATTATCGATTTGGTTTATCCACCGAAATCGATACCTGTACATAAGACCCCTGTGGAAAGTAAAGAAAAAAGTGCAGATAAATTAAGTGACGACGAATTGGTAAGCATTGGATAGTGTGCCACTGTATGGTTTTTTTTTGTGTAGACTGAAAAGAAGGCCAGTTTTTTGCATGCAATTTTATTTTCTTATTCAGAATCGAGACAATTGACAATCTCATTGCACACAGTGTAAAGCAATTGTTTTATACAGGGTGTCTCGTTGGGTTACCCTATTATAAGTAGTCTCGGTTTGTGTTTTTGTTAAATATCGGCGTTAATGCAGTTCTTAATGTTATTACAGGCAGATGAAGATATCAAAGATGACCTGCTAGATGATGCTGAACGGTTAGTTCACGAATCAGACTCTGAATCTGGTGATAAAAGTAGACCTTCCAGTCCTACTGTAAAGAAGCGTAAACCGCGAAAAGCAGACTGATTTTTTTTGAAACCTCCTTGTATAACTGTGATGATCGAAAGATGTAAATTTTGATACTGTACATAAACTTTTCTAATAAACGAGGGGAAACTCGAAAGTAAGACGCACGCTAAAAGTATTTAATAATCACTAATCTTACAATTAATTATGTACAAATTAAATGAAGGGGGGAAATCGTAAAAATCTAATCATAATCATGACTGCCTTCTCTTGGATCTAACAGGGCTTCGATTTCCTTCTGGGTCACCTCGGTCATATTTGACGTCGACTTATGGCGAATGTCTTTTAAGTCCTCTGTTAAGCCCGATTCTGTTATGCTAGAAAGTAAATCGGGTACATTTTTTGTTATTTTAATTTCTAATAAAATATTCCACTTTAACGTGAGTTACTTACACCAAGCTCTCCTCCGCGTCGTCGTCCGGTACGGCGAAATAAGGGTTCTGAGAAGCGGGTCGAAATGTGTAGCCCGTCAATACGAAGAAAACGTACGTCGCCATCTCCCTAAACATTTCGTCAAGCCATCCGTATTGAAACGGAACCGTTATGCGTAGCAAATAGACGACGATGCGAGTAAAATAAATGTAGCACACGATCATTATGTAAAAGTGCTGGAATAATTTCAATTTTCGCAGACTGGTCGCGACCTTGCCAATTGTTACGCTCGCCTGCTGTAGATGCCTGATGGACCACACTACCGGGAACAGTATGCAGCCGCAGCACAGCAAGTCGACGAGTATAAAAATATCGCGCCACGTACGATGTTCGCGAGCGCCCTCCTCGCTCTCCTCGAGAATAATTTCGGCTACGTTCGCGAGAACTTGTAGCGGAATTACGACCATAAAAAGACGTTTGTCACGAGGTGCGAGTATATGCTTAATAAACGTCCACCCGGTTCCGATCAGTAGCAGAATCACAAACAGTAGGGTGCCCTTCAGCAAATGAGCGATGTAGTACAAGACCGCCCAGGTGGATAGGTGTACGCCCGACCGTTCGATGAAGTGATAATTCATGCCGTGAAACGCGAGCGACAGCGCCTTCAAAAACACGAGCGTCGCCATCAGGTAGTGAATTTTAAAGACCGGATGTTTCGACTGACGCAGCAGGAAAACCCAAAACGCTCCCGACAACAAAAACAATATGGCCATCGTGCAGTAGAGCGCGGGCAGTTGCATTTCGCCCGCCGACAGAAAATTACCCACATTTTCCTCAGTAATTTGTATCTGAAAATGTCAACTCTAACAAAAAAAAAGGGGGCGATATCCGGATTACGTACCCGAAAATTGACATTCACCTGCTTGGTATTGTAGTTGGGGCAATTGTAGAAGTACAAGTTGTACAGGCCTTCCTCGGCGCTGCTCAAGATTCGCATAACAAACTACGAGAACAAAAGTGCAATTAGTTACTCTGGACGGAACCGTTTTCTTTTGTTAAATTAGCCTCGGGGTCAAAATGTGTTATTTTCATAAACCTACAGGGTGTCTCAAGGGCTATAGAAAAGTGTCGCATAAAAGAACAAAAGAATTTTCCAATTTAGTTGACAAGGTAACCACGGATGTTAGGTTGGTTGCCTATACAATTAAATCGTCTCCTCGTAGCGAAATCAAAATCCGATACATACACTAGTGTTGAAAGACGGCGGTCCTTTACCATCATGCCGAATGGAAATGGGCAAGCGCAGTTTGCTGCACGAACTCGCCGTGACGACGGATTCGTCGCCGGTACTACGTTTTCGTCTGGTCTGCATTAAAATATTTCCGCTTCCCACCAGCGCCTGCTTTACGCTCGGCATGGGAATCTCCTTGCTACTTCCGTATATGTGCACGCTCTTCCATTCCGGACTGCAGTTTACGTATAGCACTTTGTCCTTGAGATTCATTATGAAGTAGATGACCGCCGCTTCGTGCTCGGAATGCACCGGGTCTTCGAGCAGGCAGCGATCGGGGTGACTATCCAGGTACGGGCTTGTGGCGTCGTTCAAAGTTCTATCGACGCTAAAGCCGAACTACGCTCGGCAAGTTAATCGCAATCGCTACTGCGAGGTATACTTACAATGGCGTTTTCGTCGAACGGTTCGGCCTTAAAATTTTGCAGTTGCACGTCCAATTTTCCCCCGTTATAAAAGCCGAAAGTGCTTAAGCCGATGTAGCGGCGTGAGTCATTCTGTAAGTGGTCTGTGTTAAAATTCGAAGGGCACTAGCGACTTACCTCAACTTCCAGTTGGTGTATCCTGCCACACGTAAAGGGTAATTTAATTAAGAAGAGGAGGATTAAACTATATTTTACTGTTGTCATTTTATCGCTTTTATTCACCAACGTAGAAAATTATTGCATTTTTTCTCACCTTTTAAGAAAAATTCAATCGATTTTGAGTGCGTTACAATAACCACCAATAAAACTGTTGTGGCTAATGTTCGAGCACACTCGCTAACCATGTTATTAAAAGAAGGTAGTAGATGGCGCTGTGTTAAAACACGCAAACGAAGGTAGTAGATAAAACACGCAAACGAAAATATAAAACGACACCAAATAATTGTAAAGTAGAAATAGAAATAAATCACTTTAGCACCTAATTATAGTTAGTTCACTTTTCATTTTCTTGGTTTTTTGAGGTAGTGTTCTGCTGGGTTCATATGAACCTGGCAGAACATGTAATAATAATAATCAATTCCAAATCAATATTAGCAATGTATGTAAAAAGTCCCAGTGTATAACAATTGCTCTGTTTACTTAGTTTGTATATTTACAACTGACATCTGTCATTTTTTTTGGTTAGTGATTAAAGCGTAAAAATGACGGAATTTAAAATCGAGGAGGAAGATTTATACGAAATTTTAGAAATCGAACCGACAAGCACCACAAATGACGTAAGTTTCTGCTAAAAATAATCGTTCGATTTAAGGAGTTCGCTTGCAGATTAAAAAAGCTTACAGAAAGAAGGCTTTACAATGCCATCCCGACAAGAATCCGGATAATCCCAACGCTGCAAAACTATTCCATCAGTTAACGAAGATATTAGAGGTGCTAACGGATGAATCGGCACGGAAAGTTTACGATCGAGTATTAAGGGGCAAGAAGGAGGCGGCTTTAAGGCACAGAGAGCTAGATGGGAAACGAAGGAAGTTGAAGGAAGATCTGGAGGCGCGCGAGAGGGGAGGCGTAAAACGAAACGGTAGCGATGAGTTGAAGGTAATTGAAACATTGGAGCTTCTCGAGCTGTACCGTTTATTTTAGGCCGAAATTGAGCGGTTACGAAAGGAAGGTTCCAAATTAGTCCAAGAAGAAATGGAGTACATTAAAACAAAGTTACGACAAGAGAGCCAAGCTGCCGGAACGAAATACAGAGTGAAGATCAAGTGGAAAGTTGCAAGGGACGACGCCACAAATGGCGGTTACGATCAGGAGCTGCTCGGTAAATTTTTATCAAAGTACGGCGATATTACGGCGATGGTTATGTCTCCCAAGAGAAAAGGGAGTGCATTAGTAGAGTTCGAGTCGAAACGTGCGGCAGAAATGGCCGTCGATTTCGAGAAGGGCTTGGCCGTAAATCCGCTCGAACTATCGTGGGTGAACGGCCCTCCGTGCGGAGTACGTAGTTCCACGATTAAGGAATCCGACTATGAAAGTGTGGTATTAATGAAACTAAGACAGGCAGAGGAACGGAAGCGACTAATTGAACAAATGATGGCCGACGACGAAACTTAAAACATGTACAGTTCTTTATTAAAACGATTTTAAGTTACACAATTTCAATTGCCGTCCGCCGAACTGCAGCACTAAGCAAAGCGTTCGTGTCGGGTTGTTCCGTCATAATATCGACACGTACCCACTGTAACGTGCGCGAGGATTCACGTATTGCACTCAGTACTGCTTGAACGTACAGACCATCTTCAAAATTTGCCGCCAAAGAAACGGGCTCCTTGACCCATCCTGCGTTTTCCTTCACGGGTAAGAACGCCTCGCGTAACGCCCCCACCATTTTACACAAACCTTTTATTAACGGACGCGGCAGGCATACATTCGGTACGGCCAGCTGCAAGTCCTCGACATCTAAATACAGCACCTCTTCGCTAGTCTTGTTGCGACGCCCGAACAAATCCCCCCCTCTCACTACTAGATACGTTTGATCGCCGCAGACGGTAATCTCCTGTTGAAAACTACAGGACGCAGTGTGACTGTTTAAGTTCGCCGTTACGACGGTCCCACCTTCCAGTTCCATTTGAAATGTACAAAAGTCCGGAGCCGAAATGTAACGGATGCCCGAAATGTTGTCGGTCGTCTTTGAAAACGTCCTCACGACCCCGTGAACGCGAACCGCCTTACGTCCGGTGAGAAAACTAACGAAATCGATTACGTGACTGCCGATGAGATTAAGCGCGCCGCCGCCCATGACGTGATCGCACCGCCAATCGTAGCTGTCGTTATCGGAAAACAATCTCCCGCTCTGTATTCGAATGTCGATTAACGTAATAGACGAGCCCAGGTAGTTTTCGAGGATGGCACGTCGCATATGCGTAAAGGCCGGCAGGAAGCGATAAGAGTGATTGATGAGCGATATAAGCGTGGGATAGTACTGACCGGCGCGTACCATTTTCAATGCGTCCGTCTGATTTAGACCGGCCGGTTTGTCGCACACGACGTGCTTTCCGATACCCAACGCCTTAACCGAAATCTGCGCGTGTAGATTAGGGGAGCAGAGTACGAATATTAGATCGACGTCTTTGCGAAGGAGGACGTCGTCGATTTTGTTCGTAAAGAATGGTATTCCCAGTTCCTTTGAGATTTCTTGCGCTTCTTGGATGGTGGGGCTCCAAATTGCTTCGATTTTAAAACCATTCTCTTTCAGTATCGGAACGAGGACTCTTACTTCTGCACCGGAACCGAACACGCCGATGCCCGGGAGCATGATGATTCCGTTTAAATCGTCCTCAGATTTGTTTTTTTAGTAAAAATTTATTTTGTTTTGCATTTGAGGTTATGATAACACACTGAACTAAAATCCCTAAATATCTGGGGGAATTTAAGTTGATAAATAGTTAATGTATGAAAATACTAGATGGTGCTGCTTTGAATATTTGGCATGCTTTGACAGCAGATGTTGACCGTACCAACCGTAAACAAACACGACCGAAAATTCCACCAACAAAATTCAAAAAATGTAAAAAAGTAGAGCGAATTGAAACAAAAGCAAAATCGCAACACATATCGTATTTCGTTGTCCGATCTCATTACTTTATAATTAATGAAAACCGAGTAGGATAGAGCAATTCAATTACCAAATGAACAGGTCAACTTCAGTTGCGGCTTGACTTTAGTAATGTAGAATATTTTAGTAATTTCATTTGTTCATTAACTTTACCAAAAATCGACTGCACCAAAATTTCTCGGGAAAACACTTTTTCTTATTAATTTGGGTGCGTAGAATCCAAATCAATTTGTACTTTTTCGATCCGACTTCTCAATTAAAAGTTAGACTAGAAAAAAATTCAAAGGGCTGTAACTTTTGAACTAGTAGCCCAATCTTGGAACTGTTTGAAATTATGGATTCTACAGGCCACATTCTATAAGAAAATTATTTTTTTCCGGGTCGATCTGGGACGATTTTTTTTTTTCGGGGCTCAAAAAAAGGCAGTGTAATAACCTTCCTTTTTTACCAAAAATCGACTGCACCAAAATTTCTCGGGAAAACACTTTTTCTTATTAATTTTGGTGCGTAGAATCCAAAACAATTCGTACTTTTTCGATCAGACTTCTCAATCAAAAGTTATAGACTAGAAACCAATTTCGAAAAAAATTCAAAGGGCTGTAACTTTTGAACTAGTAGCCCAATCTTGGAACTGTTTGAAATTATGGATTCTACAGGCCACATTCTATAAGAAAATTTTTTTTCCGGGTCGATCTGAGACAATTTTTTTTTCGAGGCCCAAAAAAAGGCAGTGTATAACCTTCCTTTTTTACCAAAAATTGACTACACCAAAATTTCTCGGGAAAACACTTTTTCTTATTAATTTTGGTGCGTAGAATCCAAAACAAATCGTACTTTTTCTATCAGACTTCTCAATCAAAAGTTATAGACCAATTTCGAAAGAAAATTCAAAGGTTTGTAACTTTTGAACTAGTAGCCCAATCTTGGAACTGTTTGGTCCAAATGTTTTTGTTTCTACGAATGATTATATGTTTAAATGATCTATAAGCAACCCCGGAACAGCCCTCTAAAAGTTAATTTCATTCTCGTTTTAAACTTACGTAATTTCTTATAAATTTCACACTTAAATGCATAGCAATCATCCACTGCAGGGGTTGTAATTTTGGTAGTGGTCCAAATGTTTTTGTTTCTATGAATGATTATGTTTAAATGATCTATAAGCAACCCCGGAACAGCCCTCTAAAAGTTAATTTCATTCTCGTTTTAAACTTACGTAATTTCTTATAAATTTCACACTTAAATGCAAAGCTATCCTAGACTGCAGGGGTTGTAATTTTGGTAGTGTTCCAAATGTTTTTGTTTCTATGAATGATTATGTTTAAATGATCTATAAGCAACCCCGGAACAGCCCTCTAAAAGTTAATTTCATTCTCGTTTTAAACTTACGCAATTTCTTATAAATTTCACACTTAATTGCGTAGAAATCTTCGACTGCAGGGGTTGTAATTTTTGTAGTGTTCCAAATGTTTTTGTTTCTATGAATGATTATATGTTTAAATGATCTATAAGCAACCCCGGAACAGCCCTCTAAAAGTTAATTTCATTCTCGTTTTAAACTTACGTAATTTCTTATAAATTTCACACTTAAATGCAAAGCTATCCTAGACTGCAGGGGTTGTAATTTTGGTAGTGTTCCAAATGTTTTTGTTTCTATGAATGATTATGTTTAAATGATCTATAAGCAACCCCGGAACAGCCCTCTAAAAGTTAATTTCATTCTCGTTTTAAACTTACGTAATGTCTTATAAATTTCACACTTAAATGCATAGCTATCCTAGACTGCAGGTGTTGTAATTTAGGTAGTGGTCCAAATGTTTTTGTTTCTATGAATGATTATGTTTAAATGATCTATAAGCAACCCCGGAACAGCCCTCTAGAAGTTAATTTCATTCTCGTTTTAAACTTACGTAATTTCTTATAAATTTCACACTTAAATGCAAAGCTATCCTAGACTGCAGGGGTTGTAATTTTGGTAGTAGTCCAAATGTTTTTGTTTCTATGAATGATTATGTTTAAATGATCTATAAGCAACCCCGGAACGGCCCTCTAAGAGTTAATTTCATTCTCATTTTAAACTTACGTAATTTCTTATAAATTTCACACTTAATTGCGTACCTAGCTATCCTAGACTGCAGGGGTTGTAATTTTTGTAGTGGTCCAAATGTTTTTGTTTCTATGAATGATTATGTTTAAATGATCTATAAGCAACCCCGGAACAGCCCTCTAGGAGTTAATTTCATTCTCATTTTAAACTTACGTAATTTCTTATAAATTTCACACTTAAATGCAAAGCTATCCTAGACTGCAGGGGTTGTAATTTTGGTAGTGGTCCAAATGTTTTTGTTTCTATTAATGATTATGTTTAAATGATCAATAAGCAACCCCGGAACAGCCCTCTAAAAGTTAATTTCATTCTCGTTTTAAACTTACGTAATTTCTTATTAATTTCACACTTAATTGCGTAGAAATCTTCGACTGCAGGGGCTGTAATTTTGGTAGTGGTCCAAATGTTTTTGTTTCTATGAATGATTATGTTTAAATGATCAATAAGCAACCCCGAAACAGCCCTCTAAAAGTTAATTTCATTCTCGTTTTAAACTTACGTAATTTCTTATAAATTTCACACTTAAATGCATAGCAATTCTCCACTGCAGGGGTTGTAATTTTTGTAGTGGTCCAAATGTTTTTGTTTCTATTAATGATTATGTTTAAATGATCTGTAAGCAACCCCGGAACAGCCCTCTAAAAGTTAATTTCATTCTCGTTTTAAACTTACGTAATTTCTTATAAATTTCACACTTAAATGCATAGCAATCCTCGACTGCAGGGGTTGTAATTTTTGTAGTGGTCCAAATGTTTTTGTTTCTATGAATGATTATGTTTAAATGATCAATAAGCAACCCCGAAACAGCCCTCTAAAAGTTAATTTCATTCTCGTTTTATACTTACGTAATTTCTTATAAATTTCACACTTAATTGCGTAGCAATCTTCGACTGCAGGGGTTGTAATTTTGGTAGTGGTCCAAATGTTTTTGTTTCTATGAATGATTACGTTTAAATGATCTATAAGCAACCCCGGAACAGCCCTCTAAAAGTTTATTTCATTTTCGTTTTAAACTTACGTAATTTCTTACAAATTTCACACTTAAATGCATAGCAATTCTCCACTGCAGGGGTTGTAATTTTTATAGTGGTCCAAATGTTTTTGTTTCTATTAATGATTATGTTTAAATGATCTGTAAGCAACCCCGGAACAGCCCTCTAGAAGTTAATTTCATTCTCGTTTTAAACTTACGTAATTTCTTATAAATTTCACACTTAAATGCAAAGCTATCCTAGACTGCAGGGGTTGTAATTTTGGTAGTGGTCCAAATGTTTTTGTTTCTATTAATGATTATGTTTAAATGATCAATAAGCAACCCCGGAACAGCCCTCTAGAAGTTAATTTCATTCTCGTTTTAAACTTACGTAATTTCTTATAAATTTCACACTTAAATGCATAGCAATCCTCGACTGCAGGGGTTGTAATTTTGGTAGTGGTCCAAATGTTTTTGTTTCTATGAATGATTATGTTTAAATGATCTATAAGCAACCCCGGAACAGCCCTCTAAAAGTTAATTTCATTCTCGTTTTAAACTTACGTAATTTCTTATAAATTTCACACTTAAATGCATAGCTATCCTAGACTGCAGGGGTTGTAATTTTTGTAGTGGTCCAAATGTTTTTGTTTCTATTAATGATTATGTTTAAATGATCTATAAGCAACCCCGGAACAGCCCTCTAGGAGTTAATTTCATTCTCGTTTTAAACTTACGTAATTTCTTATAAATTTCACACTTAAATGCATAGCTATCCTAGACTGCAGGTGTTGTAATTTAGGTAGTGGTCCAAATGTTTTTGTTTCTATGAATGATTATGTTTAAATGATCTATAAGCAGTCCCGGAAGTGCCCTCTACATATACATCTCATTCTCGTTTTAAACTTACGTACCTAATTTTTTCGAAAAAAATGCAGTTCATTTTTTAAGAAAGTTCAAATATTGACATTACCTAGTATATGAACTTAGTATCAGTATCTATGTCTTACTCACAACACCCCCAGGACAAAAGATTACCTGTATCTTCCGAAATCAACATTAAAAGTATCGCAACACTCTTCTGCGTTCCTGGGTCCACAAATAAATAATTTCTTGCTACAGGATATAGAGGTTTTTTGTAGCTTGCATCATTTTAAATGCAAACTTAAAAATTATTGAAAGGAAAATTGTTTTTATTCCATCGCCGAATATTTTCTGCAATGAAAAATAGTTTGTTGAAATGCCTGCTATTTTATGCATTTATTGTTTGTCACAGTTTAATATGTTATTAATTGTTATATACCCTATACAATATTGTAAATTGTCCAAAGAAATTATACTATTATTTTTAAACTGACGTCATAGGGGCTTGTTGACGGTCCCTATGCACCGGTGAGACCGGTGAAACATTGAACTACCACCATCTAGACCACTACTGAGTGGTGGTCTAGGTGGTGGTATAGTACAATATTTCCTTGCCAGTAATGTGTCATTTTCTGACTTGAGTAAACTATCAAATCAATAAAAACAAACGATAATACTCGTCAGTGGATTTTTTCATTGCGAGAGACTAACTTCACTGACATAGATTTGTGTAGGGTGAATCTTCATCTGTATTAAAATTTGCAGGGCTGCTTCTGCTTCTCTGTCACCTAGTTCTAGTCTTTCTTCCACCTTTCTGAAATTTCCCATATACGTTTCTCTATTGTACCTTCCAGTATACATGCTGGCTGGCGTTAGCGGTCCTTTTTGCAATGTAACAATAAACACGCGTGTCTGGATTTTAAAAGTGCTGCAGAATTTGTACGACTGAGAAACTATGTAACTATGTCAGATTTTAAGTAAAATGGTAACATTAAAAAGTTCGTATAGGTATTTAAATTATCTACATTGCGTATTGCGAATTTCAAACAGTTTTAAACTTCATCCCTTATCAAATGAAATAGTTTTAGATGTTCATTTATAGGGGCATCGAACCCTACCTTTAATTTAAACAATAAACAAATTGTAGACCGTATATTGTTGTCATGTGTTATCATTTAATTAAGGTTTCAGCAGACGGGCAGGTAGCAACTGAGAACATCGCGCAGTAAAATCCCAGGGGATGCAAATGCGCGCGCTTTACGTTCATATAACTACTGTGGCGGCGAGTCCAGTCGCCGCGTTAAACCTTTAAAGTCGTGTTCCTGCTATCCAAAACCTGTAAAGTACGTCTTTGGTGTTACTAGAAAAATCGGCGATAAAGAATGATTAAATTTTAAACCCTTTGTCTAAACCGACACGTAATAGCGCCTTATTTTTGCTGTCATGATTATTTACGAACATTAAACCACGTGCTACTTACACCTTGTATTTTGACAAGAAGTCAATTGTTAAGCAAGAGAATGTCAAGAAGGAAACAGCCGAATCCTGCAAAGTTAGGTACGATGCTGATAATGAGTAAAGTATGTTTTTTTTTCAAAATTTCCCAGCACAATGTAACATGCTTAGATTAAAGTGCCCGCGTTCGTAACACGTGAGTACACGTCACTTCAAAACTTTTTCGCGGTACTTCCGGATTTCCCTGTACACATAAACATTGTCATTTTCTCATTTTTCATAATATTTGGATATTTTCCACGAAAAACGCGATTATGGATCTTTTCTTTTCAGTAGAATATAACGCTGTCTCCGCCACTGTTGGGGGTGGCGAACGGCAACAGCGGGCCCCAGGAGGTGCCGGGGGAACGGTAGCACACAGACAGGGAAATATGCGCTCCCATGACGGTATCCCCTGGGAGTCGTATACCTCGCCCGCCAGCAAACTCTCTGCGCTTCGACCAGCCACGTATACATACTAATATTGCAGTTGGTAATTTCACGGTTAAAATGAGATGATTCCTCAATTAAAAATTCTTATGCCACGCTGTATACATTTAGGTTGTCTTTAAAAGTAAATAAATTAGGTCAAACTGCAACGAATCAACCGCATGCGCCCGTAAAAATTTAAACTATTTTTCATGCAAACACCTTTATTTCCATTTAAATGACTAAAAATGTATTCAAATCAGTAGCAATCATGAATTCAAATGCCAATACTTACACCCTTATTCAAACTAGCATGTGAAGTGAGCTTAAAGTTTACGCGCTCCCACAAAATACCTTTCTTGTTCCCTAAGGCTGACATCTCGGTCAGTTCTCTAGGGCATCTCTTATGTTTTCTGGTAGAATTCCTTTGTGTAACACTTTGGCGTTTATTTTAATTTCAATTAATATTTTATACATAAAATACGTAACGAATTATGTTCCCTATATTAGCCCCAATTTAAATAATTGTTTCACTTTGGACAAAAGCACTTACGCTGCGTACTTGTAATGACATTTTCAACAATTTATTTATCAAACTGCTTGTATGAATGCATGATGGGCACATTGTATCAGTATTTATTGTATAAACCTTCAAATTTCAAATTAGCAACCACGTTCCAACTTCAACATCGCTTGTCACTGTTTTAAAACTCTTTTTCAGTTACACATTGTTATCTAGTGATTTTAGTTTTTAAATTTTGTGCTAAAATTAAGATGTATAAGTCTACTTATTTAGAACGACACAACTAAATGCAACAGTTGCACGCACAATCCTAGTTGAAAATTCCAATTCTTCAACATTTAAATTTCGGACTATTTTTAATAATCGGAACTATTTCATACAAAGCTGGTATGTACCTACACTGCTATACTGCTATTGATGAGGTTGAATAGGTTTAATAATCAATTGTACGCCAATAAAATAAAATAAAGCTGTCGAAGGTTCTTGGATTTAAGAAAAATACAGTTATTGTATAGGACCTAATGTAGTTAAGTCCTAAATCAGTAAAATCAGAGACGGTTGATTTAAACAACTAACATTGCATTATACATTACACTGGCCAATTGAGGCTACTCTCAGATTTATATCCTTACCATCAAATCAGATGCCCGAGTGAATTTGCCAAGTAATTTAGACCTTCAGTGGTCGAAGTATTCTTTCAAGAGTGAGAAGAATACTCTCATATATTTCAATAGTAGCAGTCCTGGTGGGGACTAAGCCGTGTTGTATTTTTGATATTATATCACACTTTGAAAGAAATGAAGTTATCTTCTCTTTCATCGAATATTCATTTATCCTACCCACGAGCAGGACGTATAAGTATAATCGGACGGTAATTTGCCGTGTTAAGAATCCCCTCTTTTGAAAATACGGGTCAGCACTGCACGCACACTTGAAGCAATTTGGAAATGTTCCAGTGCGTAAAAAACAGTTAATTAAGTAAGTGAGTACAGTGATTATAATGAGTTTCACATATTTTAATAATTTAGGGGATATATCAGCAAGTCCAGATGCCCTGTTGCTATTTAGCTTGTTGAATAGGTTTATAACCTCTTCTTCCGTAAAAGGCAATAAATAGATTGAATATGGGTTTTATTAAGGTGGTTTGTAGGCAAATCCACGTGTGGAATAGATTCCCGAAGATTTAACGGCATGTTATGAAAGTGTTTATTGGAGGTTGGCAATTTTTACAGGTAATGTAAGTACAGATTCTTGGTCATCCTTTAGTTTAATGTTTTTATGAATGTGGGAGTGTTTGCTACTTATAGAGTTCAAAACCCTCCTTGCTCAATGCTCTTGCTTTGCGCGCTCTGTATGATTGAACTTGAACTGTAATGATTTCTTTTTGCATTGTTTACCAAGTTTTGGTGAGCTTTCTTCATAGATATTTTCTTTGCGAGACATACATACCTAATATCATTAAGCTTAGCACTAGAGCCACGAGTTGTAGCTGTGACCCAGAGCTTAATTTCGGAGTTATGTCGTTAGTGTTTTAGAGGAAAACAATGTGGCGAGGAAAACTGAAAACATTTTTGATTTGCGTCATCCGTGGAATAGATATCCAAGTTTCATTTTCCAAATACGAAAATAAAAGTTTCGTGTTGGTTTTCGAAAAGAATCTTTTAGAGATGATTGCCCTCGAGGGCGTCGACTGTTGTAAGTTACATTTTATTTTGGTGTTTACTATTACATAGTAGTATATCATGGATGTAACATGAACATTTTTTTGTAGAAATTGAAACGAAATGCACATTTTTTTACTATTAATTTGCGTTTATTTAGGAAAACTATCGAGAAGGGATGCAATTGCAATGTCCGAAACGAAAATACAAACGAAGAAAATGACATTAACAAAACTATATATTTATAGGTCCAACCCTTACCTATGGACGATTCAGTGAGTTTTATAAAAGTTATTTATTTATTTATTTACGAATTTGGTACATGTTTGGATTTTGTTAACAATTAATAACGAATCCGTTGCTGTTGGTGTTATTTATAGACGACCGGATTTTTCCATTTCAAAATTGATTGAATCTTTTGAGGAATGTATTGGTCCATTTTTACTTACAGCTGATGAGCTGGTCGGTTTAGTGATTTTAATGTAAACCTGCTTAAAGTTGACGATCCCATTTAGCTCGAACAGCACTATTTGAAAGGTCTATAATATTGCAAAGCTATATAATGATTTGCAGAGTAATCTAAGAAAATTATCTGTTAGATCTTTTAAAATTCAGCCACACAATTTTTTAATCAATTTTCAAAACGTTTCGTAATAAATATAAATCGTATTAATCTTTAGTATCATTTGTGTTACAGAATACGCTTCCTTTTTTTTGTTTTCTTTCTTTCAATAGAAATTTCCTTATCATATTGTTATCGATTTGTAAAGTATATGTTTTATTGTAAAAATAACTGTACTTGATTAATAAATGACATTATTATTAATTTACGTAATTTTTTAGAAAAGTTACATGTACTTATATAGCAATCCTCGATTATGGGTGTTACTACTTTAGTGGTACAATGTAATGTAATGGTATAAGCAACCCTGCAATAATCTTATAAACAAATCTTTCTTTTACTTTTAAACTTACGGATTTTTTTTAGAATAATTGACGTTTATAACTACAGGGATACACTTACATGTATAGCAATCCTCGATTGCGGGGGTTGTAAATTTTGAGGTACACCAAATCTTTTCGTTTGTTTGATATGTTTAAAAGATCTATAAGCAACCTTCTAATTTGTCTTTCAGTCTAAAATTACGCAATTTTCTAGAAAAGTCACACCTGTGAGTATAGCAATCGTTAATTGCAGTGTTGTAACTTTGCGGTACACCAAATGTTTTAGTTTCTTTCGTAGATTATGTTTAAATGATCTATTAGCAACCCTCCAATTGTATTCTAAAAATAAAATTGAATCCTGATTTAAAATTTCGTAAATTTCTAGAAAATTTTATTCACACGTAGAGGAATCGTCGATCGATGGCGTTCTTCCCTCTACGGTACCTCAAATATTTTTTGTTCAACAGCAAAACCAATTAGGGTAGGGAGTAACATCTTTTAATCTTATCTCGTAGGTTATATGACCCTATTAGTAAACATATATGCACAATAAACTTTAAAAGATAAAAAAAGAGTCAGTATTTATTCAAAACTGAAATTTAACATGTTGTTATGTAATGACGCACAAAATTATAACTTTAAGTGAGTAGAATGAAATTATTATAAAATTATAATTTAATGGCTTACAAAAAGTAAAGCAAAAACAGCAATAAGCGACAATAATATATATATTACAAATTAAAATATAGAACAAAGCTGTCATCATCAAAGAACAATGGAGTTAAACCAAATTAAATCAGATACCTAACAACAGTTACCAAAACTGACAAGGCCATAAATACCTATCACTGATTCTTCACGGTATATACGTAACTTCGAAATAGGAATTGTTTTATAAACCTCATTTTATCATTAAAGATATCGATAATGTTATTTAAGGAATTGTACAGCTTCCATATTTAAATGACGGTTATTACCTACTCATGGCGTGTAAGTATGGTAAATGTTTTATTGTAGTCTAGGAACATTGAATTGTGACAAAGACTATACATAAAAGGTTCATCATCAATCTACTTATTGACAGTTTGTGCAGGTAAACTACAGATATTATATTATGGCAACTTTCCACTGATATAAAGTTGAAGACCTTGTATGATTAAATGGTCTACAAAGGACCCTCCAATAGCTTTCTAAAACCAAAGTCTTACCCTTTCAAATTAGTCAATTTTTTTACATGTACAGCAGTTTTCAATTGTAATTTTTGTGGTACACACAGATTATATGTTTAAATGATATAACCAACCCTGCAACTGCTCTCTAAAAAGAAATTTACTTCTCAACTACGAATTGAAACGAACAAACATTTCATATCTGTAAAAAGCCATTGATGCATTCTTCATCCAAAAAATAATAATTACGCATGGCTTTTTAAAAGTGAAAATCAACAATTTTCGTAAAATGGCATTTTTACCTTTCCGTCATAAAATTGTAGGTATTTCACATAT